TTGTGATCTGGGGCGTTCGCTTGCACAAAGAGCTGCTGGAGGTGGAGGCAGCACCAGGGCACCGGCGGGGACCACGCGCAGCAGATCCAGCAGCTCCTGGGGAAACGCCAGCCCCGGCCCTGCCACGCCGCCCTGAGAGCCTTTTGGGGTTGTTGAATATTCCGAATATTCCCCAGGACCCAGGGAGGGATCTGTGGCAGAGGACCGGTGCCAGGTTTCGGAGCTTTTTATCACGGGCAGATAAATGGAGGCCAAACGACCGCTGCCTGGGAGGTTTGTGGTCCCTCCAGGAGACGCGGCGTGATCCTTATTGGAGCTGGGCTTAAGCCTTTTGATTTAACAAGCTTCCCCCTCCTCCCGTCCTGCCCACGAGAGCAGCTCCTTCCTAGAGCGTGCAGGATCCTGGACTTGCAGCCCAGCCTCCCTCCTTCAATCTTTTCCCCAGCAGAGTGGGGATTCACAAGTTTGCAGTCGCTAAAAAGCCTCCCTGCAGCATATAAAATGAATGCAGATCTCTCTCTTAAGTGCAGTATATCCTCTCCATGAGTGTTTTTCATACGATGAATATTTACCACCTTTTTATGGCTCGGTGCATGCTGTAAAAATGAATTTTGTGGGAAGCCGGGCGACGAGGGGACGTCGCTGCCCCTTCCCTAATAAACAGCCTCGTTACAGCCGGGTAGGAGGACGGCTCCGGCACGACCTGCACCTCGTTCCTGGGGAACTGAAATATTGGGCTGGCCTTTTCGGAGCTTGGCTCCAGCTAGCGAGCGCGAGGAGGTGGGAAGAAGCAGGAGACTGTTTGCCTGGTAGGAGGGAAGGCAGATGGCCCAGCGGTTGGAGCTGAGAAGGGGGATGCGGGCTCCTTCCCCAGCCTAGCAGAGGCTGGGTGATGTGTTGTACGTCGGGAATCCGTCTGTGGCACTCTTCTTGTGTGCTCCCGCAGCCTGGTACCTTGCGTTTGGGGAGGAGTGGGTGACAGCAGGTCTGCCTCTGGGGGGCTGCTCTCTGTATTTCACCAAGATCCAGGAGTGCCAGCTGCTGACCCTTGGCTGTTGGAGTCCTGCTCTGCTCCCGAGAGCGACCAGACACCACTCTGCATAAGTTAAGTTCTCTCAAAGTGAGCAGGAGAGATAAAAAAAAAAAGTCTGGTTCCTTGCTCTGTAGGAAGGGCCCATCAGCGTGTCCCGTTCCTCTCCACTTGGTTGCGCTTTGCTTCCTGATACAGACGCGGAGAGATGAAGGAGCAAGGAGAGACCTCGGTGCAATAGCTGGGGCTTGAAGCCTGCTGCCTGCCGTGTCCCTAAAGCCACCGAGCTGACCTGCTGGCTGGGGGCTGTTGCCTTTATTTTGCTGCTCAGACACCCCCTTTGCAGTGCCATCTCCCCCCTTCCTTGCTAGACCCAGCGCTGGCACACCGCCGCATCATCCGAGCATCCCAAGACGCACAAACCCCCCGCCTCCCTTCCCCCAGCTCCCCCAATAATTTTTTTTTTGTCCTCCCCTCCCCGTTCTCGTTGCCCTCGGTTAAATTACGGCCCGTTATTCCCATGACCTTGTGCTTCGCTCTGCCTTTGTTCCATTGATCCCTGCTGGCAAGGGACGGGGCCGATGTGCCGCCAGGCTCCACGCTGCTCCGCGCAGCCTCCTGCCTGGCCCCTCGCCCTCCAGCCTTTGTTGTCAGCAGCCCCGCGACTCGGCGAGCTGGTGCTGCTTCTCGCCGGCAGGGCACGAGCCTGTCGAGGGGGAAAAAAAGTCTCTGGGGTCCCTGCAAACCTGTCACGTCGGGGAAGGGGACGGGCTGAGCAGCGGGGCTGGAGCGCCAGAGCTGCCTGAGCAAAGCAGCTCCTCTGGTGCCAAAGGAGAGGGGAGAGCTGGGGGAGGTGGGATGCTGCCAGGGTATTTCGGGCCAGGCACTGGGAATTGTCATCCCCAGGGTTTGAGGTCGATTGGGGGGGCTTAAAAGCAAGGGGAGATGTTTTCCTCCTGGAAAAACAACGTGGAAGGGGGTGGATGAGAAGGGCTCTCTTCCCTTGTTAGATGTTGGCTATCGGAGCCTGGGTGGATTCCTGTGGCGCTTGGCTCGCTGCTGTGTTTACGCAGGGCTTCTGGGGCCAAAAAGCTTTCACAGCAAACCCAGAGATACGGAGAGGGAGCGTGAGATAGGGCTCGATCTCCTCCCACGGTGCCTGGAGCACAGCGCAGCAGCGCTTGGTGCCGCGCATCTTGCTCCAGAGTCTGCCCGTTTCACAACACTGGGAGGGCAAAAATTTGGGGACCACCTCCAAGTTGCACATTTGGCCTTCTCCAGGTGAAACCTGTGGTCGGTTATGGGGGCAGGTTGGGTCCTCACCTCGCTTTGATGCAGTCTGTGCCCTTGGTGCGTCTTCTCCGCCGCAGATCCAGTTGTAAAGGGTGGAGGTAACGTCCCCCATCCTCTTTGGGGAAACCTGGAGATGAGTTTTCTAATCTGCCCAGCTGTCTGAGGCTCCCAAGTCCTCTCCTCAAAGCTGATGGTGATGCTGGGGATCCTCAGACGTGTTGGTGAGCGTGAAGTCACCCAGCTCCACGGAGGGCCGGGAGCCTGGGGATCAGCGGGACCCTGCCAGGTGACGTTCCCACCTGTGGCCCCAAATTCCCTTCCCACAATGGGAAACAAAAAACAATCCATTTTGATTTCTAGCTCATCAGGGAAAACACCACACTTGGTTTCCAAAAATCTCTCTGGATTTCCCTCTGTTGTTGGGCCAGGAGCGGCCCCGAAGGCGGTGCGGGGTGTGGGGTCCTTGGGGTGCTGTCGGGTGCTCGTGGTCGGGGCTGTGGGGGCGATCAGTATGCCTGGGGCTTCCTCCAGCACTCCCCGCTTGTCGTATCGCCCAGCCGAGCTTCATAACGGCGCCGTTCTGCTGATAATGTCTTTCATTTTCAGCCGGAATATTAAAAAACGGCCCCGATTTGGCCGCCTTGCTATTGAAATGCTCGGCGGAGGGCAGGGGAGCCGAGGCAAAAGCAGAGATTGGGAAAAACAAAACAAAACAGAAAACAAAAGCCTGCACAATTGTGGGGGCAGGTTGTGGGATCGTTGTGCTTCAAGACTGGCTGCGAATGGTCCCCTCTTCCTTGCTCAGTGCGTGTCTTGTTGGGTTGGTCCCCCGGCTTCTGGGGGCAGAGGTGTCTCTGGCACGTTCCAGGACTTTGCCTTGAATGGAAAAAGAAAATAAAAAAGGAAAATTTTCACTCTGTGATCTGCCTGCCATCAAAAGTGCTGGGGAGGAACCCAAATGCAGCCAGGACAAGCCCTGCTGGGTGCTGCTGCCCCCTGGCCAGGCTGGGAGCGGTGAATGGTGAGCAGAGCACTGGGACGTGGTTGTTTCAAAGCCACAGAGCCCAGATGAGCGCGCTTTGGGGGAGGAAACCTCCATCCCTGAGGGGCCGCAGCATCAGGGCGGCATCTCCAAGAAAATCACCACGAAGAAGGAAGAAATAAATCCTTGTGTGCCTCTGATGCTGCCTTGGCGAGCTGCTGCAGCTTTGGGGAAGTTATTGGAAGGGGAAACCGAGGCAGGAGGAGGGCTGAGGTGCGGATGGTGCCAGCGGGGCTGACTCAACACCTGGAAAGGGCAGCGCCTGGGGAACCTGCGCGCTGCCACTGGCTGCCTCCATCCCTGCCCATCTGTTTTCCAGTGGCTGCGGGTTTGTTGCATTTACTTGGGGCTTCGTTCCGGCTGGCCACGAGCCTCGACGATCATCTCTGAGTGCCAGCTTTGTTACCAGGCTGGGAGACGGGGTCGGGCGAGGTGGGATCGGAGGCTGCCCGCGCCGCGTGGAGCCCTGGCGGTGCCACTTGTGGCTGCGCCGAGCTCCAGGAGCGCTCCTGGGCTGAAGGGTGCGGGTCTGTGCTCGGGCTCTCCCGGTAAATGCAGCGCCGGGGCAGGACCCCGGGCTCACAGAGCTGCACCCGAAGCAGTTGGCAGTGATTCTGGCTACGAAGGGCGGTCGCTCGGCTCAAAATGTCACCTGCAGCCGAAATCAGTTCGCCGCTCTTATAAATAGCACCGAGGGGTTTTGTAACCTTCCTCAACTCAGACGCATCGGGCAAATTTGCAGAAGCTCTGCACGCCTGGTGACTGGCGGGCAGGTGCAGCGTGTGCTCGCTCAGATATGGTGCTTGTTTGCAGGGTTTATTTATTTATTATTTTTTTTTTTTTAAGATGCTGCATCTTTAACAAGCCCTTGATAGATGAGGATTTGATGCGCGCGGTGACAAACAGCCTCTTCCTTCCTGCCCATATGCACCATCATGCTTTCAGTTTTTCCCCAGCATTATTATGGGAGGATATTGATTTTAAATCTGTTCGGGGACGCTGTAATTGTGTATTAGGTATTTTGTGTTGGTTTGTAGGGCTGCACTAATGCAAAAGGCTTGAGCGTTTCCGTACAATCTAGAGGGGGAAGATTGCTAAGGACCTTGAGGTTTTGAAGAGGAGAGAGGGAGGGAGGGAGGGGGGGAAAGAGAGAGAGAGAGAGAGAGAGATACTGTGGTAGGAAGATTCAGAGATCTGTTGTGCTTTTTTTTTTGTTGTTTTTTTTCTTTCTTTTTTTTTTTTTTTCCTCCCCTTTCTCTTCCCCCAGTTGCTTTGCATCAGGGCATGAAAGGAGTGGAAACACCAGGGGGACAAAAGGCAACAGAACAAATGATGAAACTCAGTAAGGAAATCAACTGGATTCAGAATTTATCGCTCGAAAACGTTGCATTGATCAGAGGGCGAACAGTCATTATGTGCTCTCGGACTGCGTGATTAGGAAAGCAGATCAAGGCTCTCAGGATGATGATTTTTCTTACTTTCGCTTTTTTTTTTTTTTTTCTCCTCTGCCTGTAATGTGTGTGTGTGTGTTTGTGTGTGTGCGAGAGGAGGAAAATACCAAAGTCTCGCTGGCTGCTTCTGCAAAGAGGAAAGTCCAGCCTTATCTGATGCTCAGGTCTCTCCTCTCTCTCCTAGATGAGATTTTAGGCAAGAGAAGAGTATGTTCTCCCAACAGCAGCAGTGAGTGTCCTTTAGAAAGCAAGAAAGCCCGAAGTGAGTCCCCAAAGGGTAAGTGCTGCTTCTCCCTCCCCCCCCCATCCCCTTCCCCTTTCTTCTCCTTGCTTAATTGAAATTAGGGAGGGGAGGGGGGGCTGGAGAGGCTGCGGGGGGGGTGCTGGAAGTCGCCAGCGCCGAGGGTGCCCGGGGAAGGCAGGCAGCGCTCTGCTTTCTTTATCTCATCGGAGGGGAGCTCGCGGCGCGAGAAGGGAATTGCCTCTTAATTAGAATAATTATTTTAGGGCTTAAAAAGCGAGCCGCAGGCTCGGCAGCGGATTTTAGGGGTGTTCCGACTTTCCAGGCGGCGTGCCTTGATTATGCGTTTAATATAAAAGATACGGAGAGGCTTATCGAGCTGGCATCTGCTCCTTTAAAGGGAAAAAAAGAGGAGCTAGCAGGGAGGATAGGGCTGCCTGGGTGTTTCGTATGCATTTATGGCACTGTTCCTATAGAGATGGAATCCGCCGAAGGTTCGTCTTTTTAGGGATTTATTTTTTTTTTGAATCTCCCGATTTGCTTTCCGGCTCCTTTCTCCAAACACGATTTTCAAACTTTCTTTACAGCTGGCAAAGAGGGGAGGGGAACGGAGCCTGCAGCTAACGAGTTGGGCTCCAGGTTGCGTAAATGAGGGCTTGCAGGCCGTTGGCTTCGAGGCTTTGTTGTTAAGTTCAGACTAATTAGCTGTCAGGGATGCCCACCTCCATCACCGTGCCTAACCTGCGCTCTTCTGGCTATTTAAGAAGGAAAGAGGCAGGCTGGCTGGCTGGAGCTAGGTCCTGTTTTGGGGGCTTGGAGGCCAGCAGCTGAGCCTCCCCAAGGTGTCCATCCCGAGTAACGCCTCCAGGGAATCTCATGGGGGTCCTTGCACACAGCAGTGTGTCCTGAAGCCTTCTGAAACCGAGTGCTGTACGTGATGAGATGTAAAGATACATCGCAGAGGCTTGTACCACATCCTAATCTTGCATAATGTTCCCCTACATTGTCTCTTCCTGGTTCCTTGTCCCCAAATTACGAGCTGAGAGGCAGCATATTTTGAGGGGATGCTGAATGCTAGCGTTGCTCCGTGTGATAACGCCAGCATCACCTAAGAACATCCGAAATCTCTCCTTGCACATAAGCATCTCCTGTCTGCTAAGTCCTCATTCCAATTAAAGGCACCTGAGCTTTTTCCTGGGCTTTTCTGAAAGGCAGGAGGATGCACTGCTGCTCTTTACCTGTTTTCCTTGATTGGTTCTCTGCCCTGCTGCTGTTATCCTAGGAGTTTCTGGCAGCCGTGCAGGTGAGTTCCAGCAGATTGCTGGATTCCAAAATGCATTTGTTAGATGGGAACGAGGGCTCCTGGGCCACATCTGACAGAGCTGCTGTCTGCTTTGCTCGTCTGCTGAGGCCGTGCCCTTCCCAATTTCAGGACCATGGTGCTTAGAAAACGAGCCCAGGTAACAGCAGCCTGTGTGGCCGGGCTGAGAACGGGCTAAACTTTAATCAAGCCATCAGAAACCGAACTGCTGCGTTGGATTCACCCTAGGAAAGCGCCCGAACCTGCAGGGATGGAGGTTTTGGCTATGGGAGCAGCAGGGTCAGGCCATCCCCTGCTGTTCCCTCGCTCTGCCTTCCCACCGTTGCTCTTCACCTGCGTGGGCTGAGCGTGCACTAAAATAAATCCTGCTCCTTAACCTGGGGTGACTCAGTCCGGGATTCCCCCCCTGGCTCAGAGCGGGGTGCCCAGGAAGCCCCACACAGCAGCAAATTTTTGATTTTCCACTCCCACTTTTTTCTCAGAAAGCCTTCCCTGCCCTTTCCAGCGCTGCAAGGCGGAGTGGAAACTCTGAGCTGGGCCTTTTGCTAATCCCCCACATTACCTGTTTTTTTATTGCGTCCCATCACAGGGGACTCCCCTGCTCTCTCCAGCACCACGCAGGCGTTTTAAGGCTGTGCTGCTGCTAGCACACCATCATAATAGCTGGAGGGAATAGGAACGGAGTCTTTTGTGCTTTTAGGGCCTTTATTTGCCCGCTCCCTACAAGGCAGAGAGGGTAAAGAAGGGGTAGAGCTGGAGTTTCTGTTCCCTGTGCCCAGGACAGTGAGAGCATCTTGCGGACTTGTCATCCTGCTGGCAGTCAGAAGGATGCGTGCTGTGCCATTTCCAACACCATGGGCCCCAGGGGCTGGGGATTTGGGATTTGGGATCCACTGCTGCAGGGTGGATCCCAGCTGTGCTCGGTGGGGACGAGAAGTGAGCACAGCCTGAGATTTAGGGGTGGGAAGGGAAATGGGGACAACCTCCTCGCCAGGTCTGCGCCCACCCTTTCCCTTTGTGGGGCTGCAATCCTGGGGGCGCACAGGACTTGGTGCCCCTTGCCTCATGGCCCTGACACAGCCCTGGCACTGCTGCCCCATCTCCCGGCCAGCTTTTTGGAGAGAAGCGACCCCACACCTCCAGCACATCTTGGGGACGAGGCCAGGAGAACAGGGGCAGGCGGGGCAATCACCGCCTCTCCCTCCCCGAGCGAAAAACCACCTGTGGGGCTGGCAGCCCTTCCAGCCGGGCAGCAGCAGCAGCAGCCCTCCCTTCCCCCTCGGCGATGCTCGATGCTCGCCGTGCGCACGCCGGAGATCAAAAGCCAGCCCTATCTCGGTGGAAACGGGGCCGCGGCTGTCAAACAGAGCAGAACGTTCTGGCGTCTCGTATGGAAATGCGAGCGGATCAGAGGCTCGGCGCGAGGGCTGCGCTGGCAGGGCACGGAGGAAGCTTTCTCCCCGGGAGACAATTCCCCAAGCGAAGCCCCGGCTCCCGAGGCAACGGCGGCGTGGCTGGAGATGCGCGACGCGCGGTGAAACGGAGCGCTGGCAGGAAAAGGGGGGGATAATGGGGAGGAAGGGTTCGGTTCCCCTTTGGACTGCTGTGAAATAAATCTGCCGGGAGCCTCCTCGGCGTTTGGGAGGGTTTCAAACCAGGCTGGACCAAGCGCTGGAAAATCCAGCGGGAGGAATGTTGCGCTCACCCCCCGGGGCGGGCCGGTGGCCTCGCGCGCTGCTCTTTCCGCCGCTCTCTTTCCTTTGCTGTTGGAGGTGATTCAAGACAAAACCCAACCTTACTGCATCCTTGGGTAAGGAAGTGAATGGGAGCTGGGTCACAGCTGCGCAGTTCAGAACCAGCTCTGACAATTTGTTCCTTTATTTTTTACTTTTTATCTGTGGGGCTTGCCCGGTTGTCGTGGCACAGGAGGCGCAGGCTGGGTGCTCCTGCCCACCCCTGGGGCTGTGACGAGGTGGCGCAGCACCTCCACGTCCCCCACCCCAGCCCACATCATCCAGGAGCTGTTTTTTGGGGGGCTGGCAGTGGGGAGAGGGGGTCCCCATGGCTGGAGATGCTCAGGAGGCCCCGTGTGTGCCCTCCTGGTGGCCGTGCCAGAGTCTGCTCCACACCTGGCAGCTGGAGGAGATTTGGCGAGATCAGTCCCTCCCGCATTCCCCCCCTCGGTAATGACAAAAGCAGACAGCAAAGCTTCAGCAGGGCTGGAATTATCGCTGGCTGAGTCATGTGAAATCTTGGAGTTTTCAGCGTGGAAAGCCAGCCTTTCCCCGGGCTCCTCCTCACCGCCCCCCCCCTCGCACCTGAAATCTGCTCTGGGGCTGATCCGATGGAGTTTATGGTAATTAAGTGCTATTAACTCCCCTCCTCCTTCCTTTTTTTTTCTCTCTAATGACACAGCTGTGTTAAAAAAAAGCAGTGATTTCCCTAAAGCAGGTCTGCAGCACACGGCTTTGCTCCTTAGACCTTTGGTTAAGAGCATCAGAAGGGAGCAGGGAGAATTTGGTGCCCCTGTGCGTCCCCGGGGAGGTGTCAGGGGAGATGGGGATGGGAATTGGGTCCCTGTCCCCATCCCCATGCTCCTTCCACGGGTGCCCTGCAGGTTTGGGTACCTGCAGGTGTGGCTGTCTCTTCTTTTGGGGCAGGATTTTGTGTGCGCTGTGGGGTGAGGATGAACTCCTGGTGCCTGCTGGCTCAAAGCGGGTCCCGGACCCGTGCTTTGCGCAGGGAGCCTGCGGTCCCCGAGGTGCAGGCTGGAGATTTCTCTTTTTGAGCAGTGCTTTGGGAGCTGGGGGCAGCTTGATTTTCTTTATTATTTGTTTTTATGTATATATGCAGGCAGTAGGGTGGTCTCATCGTGCACCCAGCACAGCGGGAGCCCTGCCCGCATCCCCGTGAGTAATGAAAAGGTTTTGCCCCTGGGGAAGATCCCAGATAAAACAGCCCAAGAGCAGCCAAGGCAGAGAAGGGTAATTACTGGGAGTTGTGCTTACAGTAAACACAAAGCCCGTGGGGTTTCAGCTCCCCAGCAGTCGGGCTGGGATCCCTGCTGCCCAGGGAGCAGGCAGGGCCCTCCTCAAAGCTCGCAGGCATTTCGGGAAGGGGGAGAGGTGGGCGTGCTGGGCCATTTGTAGGCTTTTCTGGGTGTGAGGCTGAGCAAACCGTAGGGACTGCACGTGGTGCCACTTCTCGGGGCACGAGGACAGCTTGCTGCATCAGTTCTGTATGTGGTAGTCATGGAAATTGTCCTAACACCCCCCCCACACCCACCTCGCTCTTTCCTTTGCCCCCCATCCCTGCACTCAAAGCGATTTTTCCACTCTGTTTCTCTATGGAAAAAGACCAAAAAAAAAATAAAAGTAAAGCCCAAATCTCTCTGCTCTTCAGAAAACTCCCACACGCCTCTGCTGGAGGACGCGGTGACTCAGATGACCCCGGAGGAGCACTACAGGCGCATGATGTCGGCGCTGAACGAGCACGGCACGTTCGAGGAGCAGCAGCAGCAGCGTCTCTACCAGCTGGCCAACAGCATGGCAGTGCCCAGCCACGGAGGTACGGGCACGGGGGGACACCAGGGCTTTGGTTATGGCTTGTAAGATGTTCTGGTGAGGATCCTTTGGACCCTTTTTTCCCTCATCTCCCTGGAGGTGGCTGCTCGCAGCTGTCTGTAAGTGCTAACACCTTCTGGAGCAACCCATTGATGTTGCAGGATTTCGCTGAGCGTTGATAACGCCAGGTTTGGACCGTCTGTGCAATAGCTGCTGCCCGCAGACATGGCGTAAATTGGTGTTAATGACCTTTTGCCTTAACGAGAATTAGATATCCCATGATTTTACGGGCAATTAACATATGCAGATGGAGCTGGGTCGCAGGGAAGGCAGCTCAGCAGGCAGACGCTGATGTCAGGGGGACAGGTTCAGCCACGGTGTCATCTTCTGGAAGTGATTGTGTTTGCATCACCAGGGATCAATCTGCTCCTTTGCTAGCCAAAACCAGATCCACTGTGAAGTAAGAGGGTGCTGAAGGGACAAATCCTCCTCTACACCCCGCCTGGTGAGGGCTTCATTGGGGCATGGCTGTGAGGACCACGTAGATTTCAGCTTCCAGCACTAAGACGTTGTCCCCAGACCTTCCCAGGTCCTCTGAGGTTGAGCTGGGGACAGCTGAGAGACCCCCCAGCCCCTCTTTATTTGCTGCCTGCTGCGTGTGCTGCTTGTTGTGCTGCTGTACGATGCCCGCCTGGCTGCTGGCTCAAGGCTGGAGCAGTACAGGAGCGTTTCTGCACCAATATTTGTGCTGAAGAGAAGATGCTGCCGCTCTGCTCTTCAAAACAAGCTGATGCTTGTAGATACAGGAGGGAAAATCCAAAGCCTGGCTCCAAACACCTTAACGGGTACCGCTGCGTGCCGCTGCCCTGCCCTGGGCAGGTGCCAGCACCCAAAGGGCACTGCAGGAAGGGAAGGAAAGGAAGGATCTCTGGAGACTTTTGCCTGCAGCTGGGGAAGAAGCTGCCTAGCTGCAGCGGGGCTGCGGGATGCCGTGCTGTGCCTAAAGGGGGCACCAGGCAGTTGCAGCTTCCAGCCGGGGAAGCGCTCAGCAGAGCGCAGGAGCGCAACCTCCCCGCACCGCTGCAGGGGTGCCTCGGCTGCCTCCTTGGCCCAGGGGGAGGCTGTGCGGTGTCCCGGCGGGGTGACCCAGCTCTCTGCATCCCTCAACGCTTGGGAGATGGAGGAGATGCCTCTGCTGCAGCACGGGGAGCAGAGCTGAGCGCTGGTGCTGTGCCAGGACGCAGGGTGCGGGGGCTGGCGGGCGCTGCCGGGGGGTCCGGGGGAGCGCGAGCAGCATCCGTGAAGCATCCAGCAGGAGCTGGAGGAGAATCTCCAGTCTGGAGTGCAAATCCCCAGGGCTCCTTGTTAGGTTAATGAAGAGGCTGTCTTCTTTTCCACTCTGTTTGATTTGATTGGCTTCTCTGGGGGCAGGAAGGCGATTCCTTTCGCTGCGGAGTAAGAATTTGCTCATCAGCAGAGGCACAGCACAAGGCTGTGCGCAGACGAACGGTGGTGAACACGGCACACGCCTCGGTGCTCGGCTGTCCCAGGGGTTTCCAAGAGGTGCAGGGCTCCTGCAAACACCATAGTTTGGGGGCAAAACCATGCCCTGTAGGGCTGGAGTTGTTGTCCTGTGAACCCAAGTGTGCAAAAGCACCAGAGGTTGCGCACAAAGGGACAGCACCTCCGGACACCCAGGTCTGCCTAGACCATGCTGGACACATGCTCTGTAATACTCGGCACCAAACGGGGTGCACACACACCTGTATTTAACAGGAGAGCCCCCGTGCCCTGGGCACCCGCTGGTGCTGGACACGCAGACCACACGCAGCTGCTGCCACCCCCTTCTCCCCCCGCGTCACGAGTGCAGTAGCTCATTTCCATGAAGAGCCTGACGCTTTATTTATTATTATTATTTTTTATGATTACGATTAAATCATCTCCTCAGCCTTTGCGGGACGAGGGGGCACCCTGAGGTTTTGGGGTGGGCATTGGAGAAGGGGAGCCGGCACCGAGGGGCTCTCCGGTCCCACCGCCGAGACAAAACTTGGTGAATTTTGGATGGGCTCCGCGCCGCGGGGCCCTGGTCGGGCCATAAATTATTCGTGCCACTACAAAGCGCAGTTTATCTGCGGGCTCGCACGGAGGCACCAATAACATTAATAATTTAAAAAATGTTAATAATTTAGAAATCTTTTTTTTTTTTTTTTTTTTTTAATTGCCTTTCTCCTCCTCCCCCCCCTCTCCTCCTCCTCCTCCGCCCCCGTGCTCCCAGCGGCATTCATCCGGCATTCTGCATTCAGGCTGCCTCCGTGCCTGGCTCCTCCATCCGCCGGCGTCCCCCTGTCAATCAATCTGATTTCCCAACTGTCAGAGTGCAGGATTGTAAATAACAGACCCTCGGGGGGGGCCGGGCGAGGGGCAGGGGCACGGGGAAGGGGGGGAGAAGGAATGGGGAGAGCAAGAGGAGACGGGAGGGCGGGTGTGCGGGGGGTTGCTGCGGTCATTCGGGATCAATGCGGCTCCTGGAGCTGGCCGCACGCCAGCCTTCTAAATTACAGGCGCTGTGGCAATCAGGAGCGACCTGGGCTTTGCAGATAATTAATTTATAAACATTGGAGGTGCGCCGTCCCCGGCTCGGAGAATTCTCTCGGCTTTATTTTTTTTTTTTTTACACCCTCCGATGGGGTTTTGGTGCCCCGCTCTTCCTTTGGCTGGAAATTTGTAGGGTGTTGGAGTGTTTGTCCCCTCGTTTGGTGTGGCTGTGTGTGTGTGAACGTGGCTAGAAGTGGCCAGGTACCCATGTGCTGGTTGTTCCCAGCCCAGCTTGCACAGGCTTTGAGCCCTGACCACGGCAAAAATACTCGATGGGGCTCGGGCATGGGATGCGTGGATGCTGCAACCCCCAGAACCCCCCAAAAAATCAGCGTGCTGGTGGAGGAAGGCAAGGAGAGGGAACAGGTAGCATGGCCAGGTTGTGCAGCACGCTCTCATTAACTTTGCTTTATTAATTGGTTGTGGGAAGAGGGCTGATGCACACCGCTTGGCGGGGAGGGCTTGGAAATCGCAGGCAGCTCCTGAGCAGGGTGTGCTCGTTAAGATAAATCCTCCTCTCCTCCTCTCCCCAGCTGTGTTTTGGTTTCCTTTCGCAGCGTGGCACGCCTGAGTGTGCGAAGGAGGTTTCCTGTAAGCGTGCATCCGTGTGCGTGCATTTCCTGCCTGTCATGTGAATGGCAGCAGAGGTTTTGTTGTGGGTTCGAAGCGAGCCGTGCGTAGGAACCAGGCACCGCTGGTGCTGAGCTGCCAGAGCAGCTGCAGAAAAACCCCAGTCGGTGCAGCTGGGAGCCGTGCCCGCGTCCCTTCTGGCCCTTTTTGGAGGTTTGTCCACCTGTGGTGGTCCCCCAGGAGGAAAGCAGAGTGGGAAGCTGTTGCCTGGGCATCTCCTGGCGCTCCCCAGCAGCCCTGTGGCTGTCACCATCGCGTGGCACTGGGCCACCGCCTGGGCGATGGGGACAGGCTCCTGGGGTGGGGGGGAGCTTGACCGAGGGCTGCGTTTTGCATTTTTTTCGGGCTGCTGAAGGCGCCGTGCCCCGGGCTGGAACGAGGGGGGGCCCCAGCGCCGTGCCCCAGCAGCAAAACCACGCCGGGCGCGCCCCAACCTGCGCGAGCGAGGGGCCCCTCGGGATTTGGGGGCTCCGGGTTCTGCTGGAGCAGCCCCCGGAGCTTTTTTTTTTTGGGAGGGGATTTTGGGGAAGCAACCCCCCTCCCGGACCGGGTCTGAACAGCTCCCGCTCCCTTGTGCCCCCCTCCCCGCCTGCCTCCTCCCCTCCCTCCGCCAGGAAGGCAATTAAGCAGCAATCCGCCCCCCTCCCTCCCTCCCCTCCCGGAGTTGCACAATTTCCTCCGCTGCCCAACTCCCTCGGCGGCGGAGGCGGCTCCGGCTCCGAGCCCCCGCTCTGCAGGGTGAGCACCCGGGGGGGGGCAGCGGCTGGGCTGGGGGCTGCGGGGCTGGGGGCTGCGGGAGGGAGATTGGGATGGATGGATGGAGAGGGGGGGGGGGACCCGCTGTCCCCAGCTGGGGAGCCGGCAGCAGCCGGGTTGGGGAGCTGGGGGTCCTTCGGGCAAAAGGAGGGTGGTTTGGTGGTGTTTTATTTTGTGGGGGGGTCGCGGCTGATCCTTTCCCTCTCCCCAGATCTGCTCCGGGCTCGGCAAGAGGTGGCGGCGGCGGCGGCGGCGCGCAACCCCGGCGCGATGGAAGCGCACATCCCCTCCGGCAGCAACTCGTCCAGCCAGAGGAGGAAACAGGGGCTGCCCCAGCACAGGGACACCCACTTCCCCGAAAGGTACCTTCGGGGGGGGGGACACGGCTCTGCCAGGCCGCTGGGGAGGGCTGGCCGCGGTTCCCCCCCGCCCCGGGGCGGGGTTAGCAGCGGGCACGGCTTGGGAAAGGGGCTGCGCTTTTTGGGGAAGGGCTTGGGGGGGCTCCAAGCAGCCCCGTGGGGACCCCAAGGGGCAGCACAGCCCTGGATGAGGGGGCACAGAGGATGGGCTGCCCCGCTGTCACCTCTTGTAGGTGTGGGGGTTTTGGGGTTTGGGGGTGGGACACGGAGGGGGCGATGGGGGCTTTACGCACTGCCTGCCTGCTGGGAGCCATCCCAGCCCTGCCTCGGGTCCCTTTCCAGCCTGTCCTTAGGCACAGAGCAAGTGAAGGTGTTGAAGCTGGGGTTTTAGAGCTCCCCCAGATAGGGAGAGAGGAGGAATGCAGTAGGGTGGAATAAAAAGAGGAGAATTTTTCCTTTTTTTTTAGAGGAAGAAGGAGGCGAGGCTTCCTTTTTCCACTGACAGGAGTGCTGGAAAGCTGATTTCCCTCCCTCCCAAGAAATTCTAGCTCATTTATCTTGCTCTGTGCCACAAGCCATTCCCTCCACAATCAGGAACTTCAGAGGGAAATTAAATTAAAGCTGCGTGAGCTCCTGACAAGGATCGCAGAGGTGGGGATGCAAAGACTTTGGGTATCACGGGACAAGCAGTGGAAAGCTCCAGCATCTAGCCTCGTCTGGCTTTCATCTCGGGGTGGGAGCAGCTGGATATATGGATTCTGTAGCGTGCATATTAACCCTCTGGGTTTCGAGTCCCTCCGTTCGTTACAGCCTCGGGGATCCCGTCTGTTTTTCCCTCTCTCTGAGCGAGGAGGCTGGGCGCAGACCTTCCTCCTGCGGGGTGCACTTTGGCTAACCCGCCCCGCCAAACCCCAAGCCAGGCCACGTGGATCGTAGGCAGACCTGCGAGGAATGCAGGGATAGAGGAGCTTCAGTGCAGCCAGGCAGAGGGGGGGGAAATTGGAAATTTTCTCCAGCTCTGTGTGGCCTGGAGAAGCGCCAGGCCAGCCGGAGGGCTGGCTGCAAGAGCCCCCGCGGAAGGGTGGAGGCGGCGCGCGGGGAGGCGCTGCACGCAGGGGGGGCAAAACTGCACAGGAGGGAGATCCCTATCGCGCCCAGAGGTGCTCTGCTGCCAGGCAGGTGCTGTGATGGAGCTGGGCAGGGCCAGGAAACGTTAAATCGGTTGGGAACAGGGCAGGGAGGCAGCCAGCAGGCTCAGCAGAGGCTGGAGCTGGGAGCTGTGCGCCTCCCCGCAGCGCTTCTGTTGGCGATCCCGTTCTCCGAGTAGCCCTGCGGGTTGGCACGTGTCAGACAGGGATCCTGGTGAGGTGAGGAGGGGAGGAGAGCACGCAGGGCCCCAGCCTGGCGTGGGTATTGAGAGAAGAACCTGCAGGCCCTCGGGTTCACTTTACAGGTCACCCCGTGTCTCAGTTTCCCTTCCTGCGCTGTGACGGGGCCCTGGTTTTAGGGATTTTCCTGGGGTTTTAGGGATGCCAGGAGAAGCCACGGCCACGCGTTACAAAGCAGAAAAGCACCGTGTGGGTTAAATCCTGCCTTCCCTTCTCCCTGGTGCTGTTAGCCTTGGGTTTTGCTCTTGGCTGCCATGGTCCCTGTCAACCAGGTCAATCACAGCAGCCTTTCTGCACCTTATCGTGCAGGCGTGGACGTTGTAAAGGGTTCAGGTAGGCACTGACAGGGGTGGCAGGCGATGGAGGAAGCGGGCTCACGTGCGTGGGCAAGCCGTAGGTAGATTTCTGACATCTCCTTTCCCCGGAGCAGAAGTAATAATGCATGATGCGGGGGGATGCGAGCTGTTTGGCGCGGCGTTAAAATTCCATTCCGGCTTCCCAGCGGGAGATCTGCGGGGATCAGGTCAGCTCTCCAGCGTGGGCAGGAATAATTAGCCACTCCAGGCGTTACGAGGGGGGGAAAACCCACGCAGGTGACCCAGTTGTGCTGAGCCAGGGCAGTGCTGCCGCTCTCGCAGAGGAAGGGATGGAGGGAGCTTTGCCAGCAGGAGCTGCCCACTCGGTGCTCCGCTTCCCAGGTGTGAGGAGGGTGGGAGGCGAGGAGTCAGAGCCAGGGAACATCTGGGGAGGGAGGCGTGTGCCCGACTTTTTGGGTAGGCGTAACGAAGCAGGAGGTAGGGAGATGGGTGCTGGCTGTGCCAGTGTGTGCTCCAAAAAACACTAAAATGGGCATTTTTCGGGGCCGGGTCCAAGGTCCTTTGAGCAGGGCAGTGTTCCCTTCACCTCTCCAGCGTCCCCAGCTCTCGGGGGCGGTTTGTAAAAGCTGTGCCCCTCGCAGTGCCCGTGGCCAGACCTGGAGCCGGGCTGCTGCTTGAGAACCCATTTGGTTTCGTTTTCCTAAATCCTTCCCGAGATCGGCTCAGCCTCGGCTTACGGAGCGCCAAGCCCCGGTGGTTTGTTGGAAAGGGCTGTCGAGTTAGCTCGGAGTTATAAAAAGACTTGGAAGAGGAAAGGGTACAGCTCGAAGGTGTCACTGTTACGGCTCCAGCCTGGAGAACTTCCCATCTCCAAGCTGCTCCGGCTCCTGCAGGAACGGCAGGTGGCTGCGCCCTGCACAGGCTGGGCTGCTGGGATCCTGCTACCTCCCGAATTTTTTGGCACCGGGCTGGCTTTGCTGCCTTGTTTGGCCTGGCAGCTTCGTGGCCAGGGTGCTCGGCTCCGGGTACGTGGTGCAGGACCTGCTCCTGGGCCGTGCTTCGGACCTGGAGCTGGGCAGACCCCGCTTCTCTGGGTGTTGGGAGATGCTGGAGCCTTTCCCTTTCCCCCCCGTGCTCCTTGCTGCCCTCCTACCCTCACCTTGCCCTGCCCCGCATCCCCCTCTCTGCTCCAAAGCCTTCATCCACCTTCCTCCCACTTCTGCACCTCCTCACCTGGGCAAGGGGCAGCGCAGAAAGACCCCGGAGCTCGTCCTGCCCTAGGGAATTTGGCTTTGGCACCGCTTTGCGTTTTGAGCCACCAATTCCCCCCAGCCAGCCCCTCCACACCCAGGACAGCAGAGGTACGTGTCCCTTTCTGCCTGCAAAACCCGAGCACCGTTTTTTTGAGCAGTCTTTTCATTTCATTTAGTTCCCCTTCCTGGCACTGGCAGCGCCTGTGGATGGCGAGCCAGGAGCTGTGCCTGCCGATTACCTCAGGTTTGAAGTGTCTCTCCCTATCAAATGCAAAGCAGAAGCAAGCAGGGCTCTCATGCATCCCTTTTTTTTTCCTTTTTTTTTTTTTTCCTCCTCCTTCTTCCATCCGTTCTAAATTTATTTCCATGCCTTGCCGCTTTCAATCTGCATTTCCTGACCCCCTCACGTCTCCAGCCGCTGCCTCTGCCCAGAGCCTGCCGGGGGGAGCTCGGGAGGCTGCGAGGGGGTTAAGGCGAGAGGCTTGGCTTTACCAGTATAATGTGTAACCCCGTAATGACTTTAAATATTGATTATTTGAAGGCCATTAGTGCTTATTGTTAAAGAAAAGTCAATACTTTTTAAGCCTCGCGAACCATTTGTCTCCTGTTAAAGGACATATCAAATTTAGCAGCATGCAGCGCAAATCCCCTAATACCCTGCTCCCGAGCCTCCAGCTGGCATAGGAGGGGAAAAAAAAGGGTCGGGGGAAGGACTGGGCAGCACCACGGAACTGCTCTCCAGGGGCAGGGACCAGGCTCATCATTCACCTCCTCGGGGGGCCGGGGCTGTAACTCAGCCCTTGCTCTGGGAGGAGGAAGAGGAGGAGGAAGGAAACGAAGGGGGCTGGTGCCTGCGTGGGAAAGGATGCGAGGATTTGCATTTCGCTCTGCCTGAGAGCGCACGGCAGCCTTGGCTCAGGTCTCGGGGGGCTTTTTTCTCAGGGGTTGCCTTTTTCTCAGAGCTTGGCTGTCTCCAGGCGTGCTGGGAAGCAGTCAGCCAGCCCCGTGGAGGAAGGAATCGGGCTCCCCGGCTCCTGTCCCCCGTGCCAAGGGCCAGATTTGGGGGAGCAGCAGCATCGTCCCCATCTGATGGCCCTAAGCTGGGTGGGAGGCAGGCAGTGCTCGTCCTCGTGGTACCGTGGTTGGGGAGCATCGGTGTGCCAGCAGGGAGCAGGGTCCCTCATCCCCTGGGGATTTCCTGCTTGTCCCACGTGTATTTGGGGTGCCCTGCGTGGGGCAGGTGCCAATGCCTCCCCCTGAATTTCCCTCGCCATCGCTCACCTGCCTGGCCCTGCCCAGTGCTGATCCCTGCTCTGCTGGGGAGCAGCCCCAAATTCCTTCGGGATCGTGGCGAGCGCACTATTAAGGCGTAAGAACAACCTCTGGTTAACGCCACGCTGCCACCAGAGGGAAAAGATCCTTTTTTCCCAAGCCCATCCCCGATCTCCAGCTTCCTGGGTCTCCTCTTGGCTAAAACCCAGAGCCTCTCCTCGTTTTTTAGCATCTCCCCGTAGAGCCTGGGGCCGCTGCGCACCGCTCCCGGCACCAAATCGGGGGACGCATCCCCCGCCTGCCCGGCCTCGGAACAGTTAAAAGCGACTTGATTTCCTAAATTGCTTCTTATAAAACGACCAGCACGTCTGCCAGCCTCGTCTCCCCATGATTACAGCTAATTACGATCGAGCGGACACCTCCTCGCCCCCGTCATGCCGCTTTAATTGTCCGTTATTCATCTGCAGGCTGTCCGGGGTGGCAAAGCACTTGGCAGCCCAGCGACCGAGGCCTCGGCTAATTGTGAGGCCTCGGGGATTAGGGCAGGTGATTACACACTTCATGGTGTAATTACATAAGCATCGCTTGGCTGCTGCCCCGGCTCGGAGCCGAAGGTCAGGCGCTGCGTTACCTGAGATTAATTGGAGCTGCCAGCGGAGTGCGAGGTGCTGGCGGAGCGGTTATACGATTAGCATTAACATTTCAGCAGCGACGGATCGATCCGTGGCTCTCCTCCAGACACAGCGAGCTGTGCAATTAGTTTAGAGGAGAGCTAGGGGAGGAAGGAGGAGGAAAGGAGAGACGGGGAGACAGCCGCAGGAGGAGGAGGAGGAGGAGGAGGAATTCAGAGGGGGCTCGCAGCCCGCCCGCTGCTGCCCATCAGCCTCTTGCAGCATTTCGTGGGGATTTGGAGAGGTGGCTGCACGATGAAACAATTCTGGGAAGACCCAGGGAAAAGGCAGAGCGTTTCCTTGTGGTGCTCGTTGGAAAGCCTGCAGGGAGCCCCTCTCACCCCCAAATCCTTCTCATGAGCCCTGGGGGCAGCCCAGCCCCACCTTGGCACCCCTCGGCCCCACGGAGAGGGGGAGCTCTCCTTGCCATGAGGTTTCCCGTGCCTCCCCGCTGCCTTTCTCTCGCCCTCCGGTCTCTCCCGCAGCAGCCTTTACGGGGAGATGTTGTAAAATGAAAATAAACGGCGCAGCACTTGGCTTTGCCTCTGGATGCCCTGGTGAAGGTAATAATGTTGTAAGTGGCCATCAAAAGGAATTAAGAGACATGCAGCCGGAAAGCAGAGATTTGCTTGCAGGCTCCCAGGGCAGATTTGACTAATGGAAGAGACCTTGGCTCCTCTTCCCTTCCTGCATATTCTTTTTTTTTTCCTTCTTATTTTTTTCTGCAACAAGCAAGCAGGCTCCACCTGCCTTGCTCCTGGGCATTGTCCCCTTCCCCACCCTCAATCCTGCCTCTTGCAGTCACTTTCCACCTTCCCCAGCTCCCCAAATGCTTCTTCCCGCTGACCCCGTGGCACTCGGAGCTCACGTCCCCCTCCCCAGCTCCCCTCTCTCCGCCTCACATCCCGCTTTCCTCTCCAGCACAGGGGATCACCCCTCGTCCCAGTGATTCCTGTGATCCCCCTGATGCCTTCAGATCTTCACAGCCCCAGCTCCTCAGATCTAGAAGGGCTTTTTGGTTGTAAGGGAGCTGAGACAGAAACCCAAGCTTGAAGGGAAAGGCAAAGGCAGCATCCCCAGCGTTGCGTTTGCAGCTCTGGGTAGCCAAGGATGCTCTCAGCAGCCCAGCTCAGAGTAAATGAGGAGCAGGAGGGTGGGAGGCAGGTAGGGCCTGTGGAGTTTGGGCTGATTTCTTCCCCATCTGGTTCTGCTTTTCTGTATTTATTATTTTCTCCTCCTTTGCGAGTTTTACATCCAGGAAACGGGCATCTTTCTTATCTCGGCCCAGCCCCTGGTGGTGCAGAAAAGGGATGCTCCTCCTGAGCCAGCTTTTCAACCTGGATTTCTTTTTCTGGTCCCCGCAGGGAGATATCCCACCCGCCGCCGCTGCTCTCGCCCCAGAACGCGCCCCATATCGCCCTGGGGCCCCACTTGAGACCTCCTTTCCTCGGGGTGCCTTCGGCCCTGTGCCAGACACCAGGTGAGTGCAGGAGGTGCCGCCTTTCAGCACGGGGTTGGGAATGGGTTGGGTTGGGTTGTGGAAGCTCTCCTGCTCGGCCCTTTGGAGAGCTCCCCCCGAGCGAGCAGGGGGTCAATGCTGGGCTGAATAACCCCGCGTCGTTTTGCCCTCCCTGTCCCCAGGTTACGGGTTCCTGCAGCCGGCACAAGCAGAGATGTTTGCACGGCAGCAAGAGATGCTCCGAAAGCAAAACCTGGCGAGGTGAGGAGCGCGGGGGGCGAGCCCTGCCCTTCTTTTCCCTGCTAGTCAGGACAGGGCGGTGCGGGATGTGGGGCTGGGGGAGCCGTGCACGAGCAGCAGAGAGACATCCAGCCGATCCCAATGGATCTGAGTGCGTGGGGACCGCTCTTGGAGAGCCCCCAGCTCAGCTTCAGCCATGCTGCGGGTTAACAAGTTCCTTTTGGGATCTTCCAGTGACCTCCTTTGCCTCTCCCCGTGCAGGTTGGAGATGTCGGCCGAGATCATCCGCCAGAAGGAGCTGGAGAACCTCCACAGGCAGCGGCTGCTGGCCGGCGACCCTCTGAGCCTCCACCCCGGCTTGCCCCCGGACCACCCGGCCCTGCGCAACGTGCACGACATCCCCGAGGGCCACCCGCTGCGGGAGGAGCTGTCCCGGCGCAACGCCATGCTGGTGCTGCGGCACAACAACGCGCCCCTGCTCTCCCTCAACCCCGGCGTCCCCAGCAGCGCCACGCCGCCCAAGGAGCAGCCGCGGCGGGGCAGCAGGAAGGCGGCACAGCACCGCACCGAGCCGCAGGGGCCGAGCGAGGCCAAGGAGGCGGCGGAGCCCCGCGGGGCACGGGACGGGGCCCCGGACTGTAACGACGAGGAGATGAAGGACTCGGAGAGCGACGCCGACGTGAGCGACGAGAAGCCCGAGAGCCTGAAGGCGGAGAGCAGCGGCTCGGCCGCCGAGCTGAAGGAGTGCAAGGAGGCGGGGAAGGGCTGCGAAGGGGCCAAGGAGCTGGGGGAAGGGGCCGCCGGCACCAATGCGCCCTGCAGCTCGTCCAGCGCCGAGTCCCCCAGCCACTTGCTCGGGCCGGGCATCAACAAAAGCGAGGTGAAATACCTGCCGCCAGCCTCCATCCCGCCGCCCCAGCCGCTGCCCTTTGGGTTCCCCTACACGATGAGCCCGTACTTCCACGCAGGTGGGTGCGCCAAGTGGCCGTGGGGCTTGCTGAACGCGGGGCTTGTCCCCTTGCTGTCCCGCAGCGTGCTCGTGGTGGCCCTTCTGTACCTTTTATTTAGGTTAAAAGGCCCCCATTTGCACCAGAGTGGGTCAAGGGTGGTTACGAGCACCAGCAGGGATGAAGCAGGTCCCAAGCACGTGAAGAAAGGCGAGGGCGATGTGATGGGTTAGGGGACCTTGCAATTTCAGGGACCTTCTCCATAAACTGTGGTTAGGAGAGCTGTGAAATCCAGGCAGCTTCAGGGAGAGGTGACGCAGATGACTGGCGGCAAGGGTCTGCCCTACAAAGGGATGGGTCAGAGGTTTTGTGCCTGGAAGGGAGGCCAGAAGATCAGGGCAGGCTGTCGGGCTGCGCTCAGCTGCTTTGGAGCCAAAATTGTTCCTTTCCCTGCAGCAACTTGCCCATCGGGTGGGCCAGACCGGCAGGGAAACCACGACCAGCTCTCCGCCATCCCCAGCCGAAAGCCAACCCGCTTCGCCTAATAATAATTAGCAGAGCAATTAGCAGGAGGCAGGAGCAGGCGGGGGAGGGAGACCGGGGGGGCATGGCACGCGGGGCGCCGAGCCTGCCTCCTCTCCGTGCGGAGAGCCGCAGCGGCGGGGAGCGCGGCTGCCCGGCGCTCATTAGAGCTGCCTTCCAGCCAGGAAGGAGGAAGCGATTTTTCGCTGACAGGCAGGTGGCCAGCCTGATAAATATTCCTGCTGCCGGGGGCTGCCGAGGCGTCCTCGCAGGAGCCCTTCTCTCCCGGCCATTAAGGGAAGAAGCGCGCACGGCTCCGGCGCGCATCGGCCGCGCGAGGCTCCGCGGGGAGGCCGGGCTGTGCACGGGCTCGCTGCCTTCCCCCAGTGAAGCACAGGTTCCTGTAATAGCCCATTTATTATTATCACTTCGAATTTCTATCACCGGCGTGTCTGGAGGCCTTGGCAGAGATGAGCGCTTCTGCTTTTGCTCCTGATTTGTGGAGCCCGCCGCAGGTCTGGTCCTGAGGGCGGTTTTTGCTTTCGGTGGTGGCTGCGTGCAGGGGAACAGCACCGGGCTCAGGATCCCTCGTGCCAGGAAAAGCTCCTGGTTTGGGATCAGGGCACATCCCGTGCAGGATGGGGGAGCCGGGAGGAGAGCTCAGCCTGCTGAAATAGCGAGGGCTGCATTGATCCAAGTGCTGCAGGGGCCCTAGGCTGCGCCAGGGTAGTGTGCAGCAACAAAAACACAACAAAAAAAAGGGTTTTTGGCCCTTGAGGAGCGGCTCTTGGAGACAGGCAGGCAGAGCTGCACCAACCTCCCCCCTTGTGTGCCAAATAAATCCCCGAACACTTCGGAGGGCTGCTCTGCTCTTTTGGCCTGCCTGGTCCCGGCGTTGTGGCACGAGACAGGGACCGTGGTGCCGGGCCGGGAGGCTGAGCTGGCTGGAAATGCCGGCTCCTCAGGGCCTGCAGCAAGGGAGCTCCTGCTGCGGAGGCAGGGAGCCGCTCGGCGTCCCCGCCGGGAGGAATATTGACGGCAGCCAGAGCCGGGTCGATTCCCGCAGCCGCCTTCTGGGGACCTGGCGGCTGCCGCCTGACCTCATCTCGCCGAGGTTTCAGCAGCCCTGCTCCCCTCCTCCTCCTCCTCCTCCTCCTCCTCCTCCTCCTGCTGCCGCCCCTGTCCTCCGGCGAGGTGAAGGATGGAGCGTGCAGGAGGCTAAAATCCTCGCATCGATCCGGAGGCTGGAGAGCAATTAACGGGAGGCTGCCGGTGGGAGGGGGCGCAGGGCTGGGTTTGGAGGGGGAGCGGTGCTGATGGAACAGCAGGAACCCCCCCAAAAGGGGCTGCCCCCCCCCCAGCGGGCCTGCTTTGTGCACCTGGCACCTGAAGCCACCTTGGGCTTCTCTCCCAAGGCAGCTGGACGTCGGGAGGAGGGAGCAAAATTAGAAATGGATCGCGGCCGGGGGGCGGCGAGGGCTCGTACGTGGACACCTGCCCACGAGCCGGGGCTGATGAATCCTCCCCGGTGCCTCCGCGGCGGGCCCCATCTGGAGAGCTGCTCTGCAATCCATTAGCAGCCTCCCGGCCCCTCATTTATCACGGGGCGAGGCGGGGGGGCCCTGGCAGGGAATTGCTGCTGCCCCGGCGGCGCGGCGGGGCCGGGTGACATGTCATTATGGCACCAGCAGCCGCGTCCCCTCGCGCCGCTGGGCACCGATTTGTCCTCATTCCCCGAGCTGCCAGAGCGGGGAGAGGTCCCTGGAGGGGGGGAGCAGGATGGGACCCCCCCAGCAGCGAGCTCCAGAGCCCCAGCTCGGGGTGCTGAGCACCTGGGGTGGGATCTGTTGCAGCCACGGGGAGCCCCGGGACTGGTTTCCCACTGGTTTCCTACTGGTTTCCTACTGGTTTCACTGGGAAGAGGGCGTCCTCCCAACGGGTTTTAGGTTCCGCAGGGCAGAGCCCGAAGCGTGGCTCTTCGCCTTCCCCCTCCCACTTATATTTCCCCCCAGCTGGTGCTGCGCCTTCCTGGCATCACCGGGAAGGGAAGGCGAACTCTGAGAGAAAGCCTGTGGCCACGTTGTGTTTCCTTGTGTGTGGGGACGTGGAAAATCTGCCTTATTCCCACCCAGCGGGGCTGTTTTACTCCGAGCATCTCGCCCCAGTGCTGCCCGTGCCCAGAACAACGGAGTGATCCCCTGAGTGTGGCTCCAGTTCCTCCCTGCAGCTGCTGGAGCCCCCGTCTGTGGTTCCGTTTTGTGGCTCTGCTGGGTGCGCTCCCCACCGGGACTTTTTGGGGGCCGTGTTCCTGGTGCTGCTCCAAAGCCTGGGGGACAAAACCTACAGAAAGGATCGTTTGGTCAGGATAAACCCCTGGGAGAAGTATTTTTTGGGGGTGTTTTGTTGCTTCATGCCCTGAAGGGACGTGTTTTGGTGCAATTTGTTGCTCTGTGCCCTTTACGAGGGCCGTGTTATGTCCCTCATAAACTTTCCCCCTGCCCAGCACGGCCACGGCTGCCCAGGTCCTTGTCAATGACCCAGAAGACGCCGCGCAGCAGCGAGTTCCTCGCGTTAAGAACGCTTTATTTTTCCCCAAAAAGTGGCATTTTCTGGAAATGGGTTTCTTCAGTGCTGGCACAGCTGGGACCCAAGTGTGGTTTGGTGGGACGGACGGACAGACGGACAGGCAGGGGAGCGGGGCTGGGGGAGAGGAGCACAGCCCCCGGGGCAGGCAGCGTTCTGCTCTGCGGGGTGTGCAGGAACACCCCTCGGGGGTTGTTTTTATTTATTTTTTATTTATATATATATATATATTTTTCCCTTCCTTCTTTTCGCCGCCCTCCCCCCCATCCCTGCCCTGCAGCTGAAGAACATTAAGCACATGAAATGCATTAGCTGGGATTTTTCCTTCCCCCTGATCCCCCCCCCCCCCCCTCCCCTTTCCAAGCTGGGGACCTCCAGGAGGAAGAGGCCTACGAATTGACCCTGCCCAGTGCTTTAATTGACAGGTCATTAAAGATGAATGTGCGGCTGGAGAAAAATATTCAGATTGGAGGCTGCTTGTTGTCCGTGTGGGATTTTAATGATTTATGTTTCTTTCTCCTCCCCTCCTTCCCCCCCTTTTTTTCCCCCCCCCCCTCGCCTCCGAACGCTGCAGGCACCATGGGAGGTCTGTTTCTGGATGGCGAGGAAAGCCCCGCGCTGGAAGACATCAGCAAATGGACAGTGGAGGATGTGTGCAGCTTCGTGTCCAACCTCTCCGGCTGCACCGAGTACACTCAGGTAAAGCAGCCTCCAGCCCCAGCAGCCTCCCAGCCCTGCCTCTTTTTCCTCGTGGCCTCCGTCCCCACGGGTGGACAGCCCGGAGCCCTGCGCTCCCTGTAGCTCGTTCACCTTGTGAATTACACAAGAACTCCTTGCTGCTGGTGCTGACCCTAAAAGCAAAAGGGTGGATGGGAGCAGGGTGAGGCTGGGAGCTTCGAGCTCTCCTCCTGCGCCCGTGGGGCAGAGCAGGGACAGAGCCCGGTGGCACAAACATCCCCGTAAGCTCCACGCTCACGCATCGCAGTGCTGCTGGTGGTGATTTTTAAGCTCATCCTAGGATGCCTCTCGGTGTGAGGTCGCGAGGTGCAGTACAAAAACCCAACCCCGTGTTTTTGGCTTCCGCGCCCGCCGGGGCCCATTATAAATGCCCCATTGAGAGCGCGCCGCCTGCGAGGGCGCAGATTCCTGAGCTGTCTGGGACGGCCTCGTAAAGGGGGTCCAGTGTGCTGGGAGGGGGGGGAGAGAAAGCAGCAGATAGAGAGGCAAAGGGCCAGCGCCGAGGACAATCCTGCCTTTCAGCAGAGACGCATCCGAGGCTGAGAACGGATCTCAGGAGGGAGGAAGGAGCAGCGCTGGGCTTTCCGGACACGCTGCTCCAAGAGGAGCTTCCCCGACTGGCAGCCAGGGAGGGCAAAGCTCTCCGTGGGCATCCCGGCTGGCTGGAAGCTGATTGCCAAAAAAAAAAAAGCACTTTCTCCCAAAAAAATAAGCTTGCCTCTTCAGTGCATTGGGCAAAGTTGTGCCCCCCGTGAGTCGTTTTGAGAAGGGGGAAGCTCAGCACCCAGCTCCTGCTGGGGCTGCGGTGTGCGTATCGGGCTCTACGCAAGGTTCCCTTTAGGTCCTGCTGACGTTGGCGTGTGCCCTGTGGAGAGGTGCAAGCAGCTCGCCCCGAGGGGATGGGGAAGCTGGGACACAGCCTTTATGGAAGCCTGGAATTGCCCCACAGCTCCCCTTAACTCCCGGGTGATGGGATAATGTGCTTTCACTCCCAAATCTCTTTCCTCCACTCCCAAATCTCTTTCCTCGCCCCCTACACCCTGACATTAATCCCATCACAGCGTGCTTTGTTTCCACCACCTGTAAACCAGGGCTGCTTTGGAGCAGACACCTGTGTGTGCATCCAGGATTTAGGAAAGGGAATGCTTCTCAGAGAGGTGGAGCACACAAAATGTTCCCTAGGAGGAACGAGAGGAGTTTGGGCTCCCTGTGGCTCAAGGTTTTGGCTGGCTGGCTGCTTGCAGGAGGGTCCACCATGGAGGGGAGCTCGGGGGCTGCTGCTGGTGAGGACAGTGAGGGATGGGGTCAGCACGTCCCCGTGTGCTGATTATTTGCCGGGAGGGACACGAGCCCATGTGAAAGGCTCCCAACCCAGGCTTGCTGCTGCCTGTGCCAACAGAGCGCCCTCGGCACCGCAGCGCTGCGCCTTGCCCACGTTCCCACAACGGCACGGGGATGGGCACAGAGGATGGGAAATCACCTGGGAGCCGGTGGGAAGCGTGGAGAAATCCTTCCCGCAGCCACCTCGCCGGAGGCTCATCCATCCATCCAGCTCCACCTTGCGTGCCAGCCCCCGGTGCGCCAGCAGGGAGAAATCAATGGCTCGGCGAGACAAAGCAAAACGCTTCACGCTACCGGGAGCAGCTCTCAACAGCCTCCTGGCGGGCCCCTGCTCCCGTGCATTTTGCTGGGGGTGCGTGGTGTGAGGGGGTGGGTTGTTCCGCGCCGTGGTTAGGCGCTTAGCAGGTTTTTTTACTATGTGAAAACGCCGGCGTTCGGGGGAGCGCCAGCTCCGGGGCTGCGCGCCGCAGAGCCGCCTGTTCCCGTCTCCAAAGCCACAGCTGCCGGGGAGGTCTGGCAGCGGCCCGCAGGCTGCTGCTGCCAGGAAAAGCCAGCGAGAGCGTGGTGGTATGCAGTGCGTGTAGAGCTCAGGCAAACAAGAAGGTTTCAGCAGAAAAACCCCAAGTCGCTGCTCCCGGCCCCCGACAACCTTCGGCTTCGTCCCCGCCGCGGGTCGGGACCTGCGGGACACCCGAGGGCGACGCTGTTCTCACTTGGAGGCTTTTTGTGCCGGGTTTTAGCGGCGAGCGAAGGGAGGCTGCTGGCTCCTGGCCACGCTGGCTTCGCAGGGAGGAGAAGAAATGGGTATATTAAGTTTCCTGAGGTCAAGGAGCAGAAACACGCTGCAGTCATGGGCGGCTTTGCTGGTGGAGTCCAGCAATAAAATAAAAAAAAGGCTCACAGCAGCTCAGCTGCCGCTCTGAAGGGATGGCTCTGGGCTAGGGGCTGCTGAGAAAGAAGCCTCTAGAGGAAAATAAAATCTCCCCTTGCCGTGCTGCTCAGTGAGGGCACTGCTGTGCAAAACCCCCCCGCGGCGAGGCGGCAGCATCGGGCGGCTCGTTTGGGCAAGCCTCCAGCATGAGCCGGGCTGCGAAACGCTGCGGAGCGGCGCTGTGGTTGGGCTAAAAAAAATACTAAAAGCACAACAAAACAGGCCCAGAGCTGACATCCCCCGAGTGCTGGCAGCTTCTGCTCGCGCTACGGAGCTCGCGCTACAGAGCTACGGGCTCGGAGGCTCGGAGCCCTGCTGTGCCTACAAGGACCGGGGCCATAAGCTCACGTAGCCAGCCCTTAACCTCTGCAGCACGTAGTAGGTGGAAAATTCCTGCACAAACCTCACTGCAATACTGTTGGGCTGTCGGGTCAGCTTTTTCCAAATAGCCACAAAAAAACGGTGTGTGATGCAGGATTTGTCAACAATTTAGATTCGTATGGTGTCGTCTGTCCTTTTTTTGGGGTTTATGTGTTGGCTCCTGGCTGTGGATTCAGGATGTAAACGCTGCCCGTGGTGAGGGATCTCTGCCCCTCAGCCCTGAGCCTGGCCCCGTTTTCCCGCAGGTATTCCGCGAGCAAGCGATCGATGGTGAGACCCTGCCCCTCCTGACGGAAGAGCACTTGCTGAACAACATGGGGCTGAAGCTCGGCCCCGCGCTGAAGATCCGCTCTCAGGTAGGAGCAGTCCCACTGCTGGGCGGTACCAAGGGGCACACGGTCAGGCTGTCCCCAGCTGGAGCTGGTTTAGTGACTGTAATTTTCCGAGTGATAATCGTTCAGTTATTTAATTTGGGTTTCAGGAGCGCGTGTGCTGGGCTCCAGAAATGGTGCGTGTGCTCATCCATCAGTCAGGCAGCTCTTCCAGGGCAGACAGCGCGCAAATAGCTCGGGATGGGGATGCAGAGGGAGCCTAAATCGACCCCGGCGAGGTGCTTGTGGCGAGGGAGAGCAGCTGCAGCCAGGCAGGGGAGGCAGAGGATGCCAAATCAGCTCCACCTGAAATAGTCTGCAGGGCCTCGAGCGGGTGATGCCATTTCGGGAGATGTGTTTTTGTTCTAGACCGGCTGCAGGGCCTCCTGCTGCTCCTTTCCCTTGTGTCCCAATGGCTCTGGGCAGCTCCCTTTTGGGGAGCTCGAGGCCCCGAGGCGTCTCGCAGGCTCAGCATCAGCTGCTGGGCGCTTTCCCTCCCCGGTAACATCAAGCTCTGCCCCTCCTCGGCCGTGCTAGCACAAACCTGCTGCCTGTTTATTTCCTCCTCAACAGATCATTTTGCTCCTGTAGCACTATTTCTTTAAAGCAATGCCAATCCTCCCCAAAACACCTTTTTTTTCTTTTTTTTTTTCCCCTTTTTTTCTCCTGCCTTGGCTCCCAGCTGCCCGTGGAGGTTTGCTCGCGGTCACAGCGACCCGTTACAGCTGCCTCCAGCTCCTCTTGGACACAAAGCTGGCCGAGCAGCTCTGCTCCAGCTGCGTTTTTTTTTCCCCAAACCCATCCAAAAACCAGCAACCAGCCCCTAGCACACGTCAGGACCAGGCGGGGCTGCAGGGTGCCACCGGGCAGCACACGGAGCATCCCTGCCCTGATCCAGGAGCCGTGCGTTTGTTAGGTTATGTTAAAACAATGAGGGAGCCTTTACGGCTTTCCCTACAGCCCTCACTGTTTACGAGGGGGCTAATAAAAAGGTTCTGTGGGCAATTGTTCCCCGTGGGTCAATTCAGTAGGAAATAAAACTCGTATGTTTCTTAAAAAACAGGGAATGCCAAATAGCTCGCAGACATACCGAGCGTGGATGTGGTAGGGGGAGGAATATGAGATAGGGGCTGAAGCTCGAAAAACCCTGCTTCGATTTAATCAATAGTGTTTAAAGTTCTCTAATAAGGCAGGGGCTGGGGGGGGGTAAGTGGGGGAGCAGAGCCCTGATGTTGCTCCCTGCATAATGCCCCGGTTGTCTGGTTGGAGCACAAGCCGGTGTTTTTGTTTAAGCCTAAATGTGAACCAGCTGTGTAGGTGCTGGAAAGTTGTGAGGCCTTTGGCCCTCGCTGGGAGGCAAGAGCTGCTGCAGGAGGGTTTTCTCCGGAGCTGCAGCAGGGAGAGGCTGCAGGCTTACAGCTTCCTGCGCCGCTAACAGAAGCCACCCTGTAGCCAGATCTTTTTTTTTTTTCCCCCTCTTCCCATTAGAGCAATTCCTGCTCTTCAAAAATGTTCAGCGGGTGCTGGCCTGTGGCTTTCTAGCACTTTGGGGCTGGCAGAAGCTTTCTGGTGAATCGGAGGTGCCTGTAAATGGGATGGGATGAGGCAGGTGTTGCCAGCTGGCTGCACCCCGTACTGGAGGCAGCTGCCCAGGGGGTGACCCCAAAGCCTGGTGCAGCAGGGTGCACGGGGATGGATGCATCCCACTGCCAGGTTTCACCCGGGGCCATGCAGAGCACGGTCACACGTGGCTGTGCAGCCTTACCTAGCACAGGCTCCAGGTTTCCACAGCCCCTTTCTGAGCCCTGAGCATTTCAGGGGCTGGATTTGGGTCAGCGTTGGGGTTTCGGGCTTGCTTTCAGCCTGGAGCACAGCGAGGCCATCAGCGTGGGACACAGGCAGGACACGTTGCAGGAGGGATTCTTGCACTGCCCATCCCAGCACAGCTTTAGCCTGCGAGATGTGAGCAGGGCTCCAGCTCCAGCTGCACTTTGGGGCCATGCTCTTTGTGAGCCATGCCCCAAAGCGCCCGGCACTAGAGGGAGCGCGCTGGCGCAACAGAGCCCTTTAGGAAAAGGGAGAGGGGGAAGAAATCTTCCCGGATCTTCTCCAGCAATGCACCAAGGGGGTTTTGGTGCAGCAGGAACAGCAGCTCTTCATTTAAATGGTGTCACTTCCCCGGATTTGGGTCCCTTCAGGTTTCAGCCCCTGGGGCGCTGCAGGACCGCGCAGCCCCTGGGGCTGGGGCTGGGGCTTTCCGAGCCGGGTTGCGCACAGGCTCAGCCCTTTAACCCCTGCGTTCACTTTCTGTTTTTTTCCCTAGGTGGCCAAGAGAGTGGGCCGAGTGCTGTACATGGCCGGCTTCCCCATGGCTTTCCCTCTGCAGCCCCCTGGTTTGAGGCCCCCGGAGCGGGACCTGCCCCCCGCCGACCTGCGGCCGTCCTCCACGGGCAGCGTGGCTTCGCCCTTCAGCAGCGGGCTGCCCTCGGCCAGCCGCATCTCACCAAAGCAGGAGAACGGCAACCCCGCCATCCTCGCCGGGCTCAACGACACCACGAAACCTCCCTCCTAACCGCCGGCCGGCTCGGGGCTGCTGCTGGAACTGAGCTTCGGCTGGGGGAAACCCAAGGGAAGGCGGCGCGAGAGCAGGAGAGCCTCCCTCGGCGCCAGACACGGGAGCGAGGAAGGGAGGGTTTTAAGGTTTGGTTTTGGTTTTTTTTTTGGATGCATTTGCTTTTTGTTTAAAAAAAAACTCACGGAAGTTTTAAAAACTGTATAAAGGGAAGGAAAGAAAACTATCCAAAGATGTTTTTCGAGGCAAGACGAGTGAAGAGGAAGATGATGGTGGAGGACGGCGGCGGTGCCCTTCCCTTCCACGCCCCTTCGCGCTCCCCAGGCTGATGGAGAGCTGGGAGCGGGGAGGAAAAAAAAGCTCCTCTTTGCCTTCAGAGCCACACGGCTGGCAGCAACTTCTGGCAGTGACTCGGAGCAGGGCCAGGGACCGGGCACTGCTCCTCCCACCGGTACTCAGCACCCCTGAGGGAAAAGGAAACCCACGGAAACGGCACGCGAGCGCCTTCCCAAGCAGCTCCTCCTCCCGGGAAACTGTCCTCAGTTCCTCATTCAGGTGTCTATGCATCTCTAGCGACTTTTAAAACAATACCAAAGACAGACAAAAAAAAAAAAAAAGAAAAAAAAATAGAAAAACTTAAAACTAAAAGGCAAGTTCCGGTCCATGTTTACTTCAGTGTGGATGGTACGGCACAGGCGGCGCGCGGCCCCTCGGCTGGGGGCTGCCCTCTCCCCGGCGCCTTTTCCTTGCAGCACACACCCAGGAGGACTCTGCTCCAGCCCCGCAGAGCTGCTTTTTTTGTTTTTTTCCCCTTGTTTTGTTTTAAAGAAGAAAAAAAAAAAGGAGTGTGTGTGCTGATTTGGGACGAAGGGTCACAGGCCTCACTCCAGCGTGGCCCTCTCCCTCTTGTCGCGTGTCCTACGGACTCATTTCTACGTTTGGGTTATTATTATTTTTGTTCGTTTGTAGGGTTGGTTTTTGTTCCTTTTAAAGCCTTGTTACAGAGGTGGATGTAGTTGCACATTCTGGCCTGCTGTGGACCATGAGACGGATACCTGTGCGTTCCCAGAGGAGGGGGAGGGATGCTGGGGGGGGTCAGGCTAAAAAAAAAACAAGGGGCAGAGTTTTTACTACTGTGAACGAGACGGAAACTCCTGGGGGTGACCTCCTGTGACTTGTACAGTTGTGAGCAACAATCACATGTGGTACTTTTCTCTCTCTCTCTCTCCCCTCTTTTTTTTTTTTTGTTTAAACGTTGCACGTGCTGCCGTTTTTTCTTACAAAAATAGCTTGGTGGTACATTAGCTTCTTTATATTGTAAAATAATTAAAAAAAAAAAATTGTCATTATCCATCACATCACGATAAAAATGCTTTCCAGCAATCAGTTTAAATAAAAAAGAAAAACACTTAATTTACAAATGGTACCTGGCTTCCTGAGCCCCTCGTGGATGGGTCCTTTACCCACGAAGCCTCTTTCATCGTGTGCATGCTGCTGGTGGTGGGAACCCGGTGTTAAATGGCAAAAAACCTCCTTGCCCAGCAAAGTTAAGGGAAAGGAGGCAGGAACAGCCCCTTTCTTTTGGAAGAGAAGGTAAGTTCAACCTTTTTCTTGCAGTTAGGGCCCTGCAAGCCTCGTCCCTGCAGCCACATCCCAGCTGTCACCGCCTGGGGACAGCGGCTGCGTTACCAGCCTGGCCCCTCAGTCTGGAGCAATCCCGACCCCTGCTAAAGCAGCAGGTGCTCAGCCCCCTCAGGGCTCTCTAAATAATAAATAAATAATAATAAATTATTGATTTCTGAGGATACTCCCTCCTCCTTAGGGGCCAAAGGGTATCTGGGCGCGTGTTTAGGGACAGAACTAATAATTATTTTAACTACAGCTGCGGGAAGAAAGAAACCACAGCCCTTTCTACCCCCTAAGCTCCAAAAAAACGTAATGAACTCTGAAGGACACAGACCCAGTTCCCCCACAGCCCTCCTGCAGCAGTGATTTACCCGTTACCTGCACAGCAAGGATGGTTGGAAGCAGGAGAGGAGCAGCACGGGGTGCAGGGCAGGAAGAGCAGAATTACAGCTTGGTGTGGGTGTCGCTCAGGGATGGGGCGAGAGGGAGCACAGCAGCCGGGCTGCGCGACACGTGGCTTGACTGGTCCTTTTTGGCTGCAGTAAGGGAACGTTTCTGAGCTGTGGTTAGTTCTGCTCCATGAAAACAGCCCTTAAAAATACAGATTTTTAAATGTTTTAAAGAAAACAGCTCGTCTTCTTGCGGTGTGCCTGGAGGGGAACACGTAGGCAGAGCAGCAGGCAGTGATGAACAAGCCCGTGCAGGCAGCTTGGCCACCCCGGTGCTGACACCGAACGGGGACAGAGAGGAATAAAGATAACATTCAGCCCTGCCTCTCTCTCTTCCTTTCCAAGAAATCTGCATGAAGAAAAAAAAAAAATACCCTTGAAAGGCATGGTTAATTTTCAGGAGTGTTTTTTTTTTGTCAGATCACTCTGAGAATACTTAAACCTGTTTTTTAGGGAGGGCTTGCAGGGCTCACAGCCAGCAGCCGGGCACGTTCCCGGTGCCACCACGGGTGACACCGGGACTGTCACAGCGCACAGGAGCACCCTGGGTGCCCCTTGGCTCACCAAGCACGTGGCTCTGGGGTCTAGCCAACAAATCCTGGGCAAATCCTACAATTTTTCTGATGTGAAAAGCGTATTTCCTACATTATTACCTTGGCCTCCTTACTCCACCCTGCTCCCACACCCCAGGGCTGGTTATTTCAGGTTCCCACACACTCAGCATCCTTACAGCCTGGGCATCTGGCTGAGCTGCCTCGGCTGTCCCCGATAAAAGCTTTCCCTTTGCAGCGAGGACACAAAGCTCCAAACGCTCTGCGCACTCCTTGAGGACCCCTGGCTAAAGAGAGGGTTTGGGGAGAAAGCCCGGAGCAAAACGGGGAGGCTGGACGGGCAGGAGGCCCCTCAGACAAAGGGGCTGCTCCTTCCCCTGGCCAGCAGAAGCTGAAATGGGAGCCTACGTTATTTAAACCAGATTTTAATGAGGGCTTTTTATTACCTACGCCGAGCAGTTTTACTGGCTTTGAAGTGCCCCCCCCCAAAAAAAAAACGTTACCAAAAATATATAGAGTCTGTAGAAAAAGCTTGAGAAGTCCAAGCGGCTGCTGCGCCGTGTCACCGTAACAGTCCTCGGTGGCACCTGGGGATGGGTCCCCCCCCTCCTTACCACCTCCTGGAGCCCAGCTGGAGGTGCTGGAGGCTGGGGGAGGTCCGGCGGGGCTGTAAGGGCCCGGAGGTGCTCAGTCCTCATCGGAGAACGCCAGGTCCTCCACAACGTCCTCACCGCCTTGCGCCAGCTGCTCCAGGTCAGCCCGCGACAGCCCCTGGGGGCCTCTCCTCTGCTTCCGCGGGGCCTCGGTGCTGTCGTCCTCTGCGGGTGGGAAGAGAGGGAGAGAGAGAGAGAAAGAGGTGTAAATCCTGCTTTACTGGGGGGCAGGTGGAGGCAACTCGTCGCTAATTAAGCCCAGAGACTCGTTAATTTATTGGCAGCGCTGCAGCTCCCCGAGAGCGGTAGGTGAGCGCCGCAGGGCGCAGCGCAGGCTCTGGGGAGGGGGGAGAGGTAACGGTGCCCCAGGCACGAGGGAGGGGATGAGGCAGGCAGTGCCCCCAGCCCTCTCAGCAGCCTTCCCCTCACGGAGACCCCTCTTGGGGGGGTGAGGAGCTGCCAGAAAGGAGCTGTGACAGCCGCAAGGCTCCCAGCAGCGTGCAGGCTCAGCACCAGCCCCTGGGAGCTTCTTTCCGTGCATCCCCTGCTCCAAAAAGGACACAAAGCCACCTCTGGCTGCCCACACCGGGCTGGATGCTCACGCTGAAAACCCCACTAAAGCACCAGGTCTCCCAGACCCCAAAACAAGGTGATTTTCCCTACGTGTGCCTGCGTACAGAGGTGGGCAGGGAGGAGCAAGGCTGCCTCGTCCTCCTTGCCAGCGCTGCCAGAACACGCACTGAGCCCTCGTCTATTCCAGGCGAGGTGGCTGGGCTGTGAGTGCCAAGCCACAGCCATCTGCCACGCTGAATCAGTTGGGTTTTGCTCTCGCTTGGCCTCTTTCCCCCTTCTGCTCCCCAAACTGGTTAAAAGAAACCACCCCGGGAGCTTTTTGTGGCTGTTCCCCGCAGCCGCGCATCACACCCAAAGGCAGGCAGGGGCGCAGAGGCTTGGTCCTATAAATCCCAGGCCTAAGCAATGGCAAAAAAAGAAAAAAAGGATGAAAAAAAAATAGCAAAGGAACAGCAGAGCAGGCAGAGGAGCCCTGGCAGGCCCAGCTCCCGTCTGCTCGCGTGGCAGTGACTTGGCAGAGGCAGGCAGGAGCGAGCCCAGCCGGGGTGCAGGCGGGCTCACGAGGTGGCTGCGGCTCCGTGCGAGGGCCAGGAGGGGCTGGCACAGCTGCACCAAAGCCTCCAGCCTCCCCCGTGGCACAGCGTTAGCCCCGAGGAGGAGCGCAGCCTCCACACCTCGCCTGCGGAGAGCCTTGAAGCGAGGTTTCTGTGCCCTGCCGGGCTGGGCTGTACTCACCGAGTCTGTTTGAGCCTCTCTGCAGGAGGCCCCTGCCAGGAGATGAAAGGGACTGGTGGCTGCGCAGCCCTTAACCCCTTCGCTCTCTGCTCGGAGCTGGCAGGGCTCCCCGTGTGCGTGCAGGGATCCCTCCTGCCTCCCCGCAGCTCACAGGGACAGGGGATGTGGCTCCTTTGTAGGATGCAAAAGGAGCCTCGGGCTCCCGGCGCTGTCAGGAACGTCCCTTCCCCTTTTCCTAGGAGCACTACTCACCGTCGGAGTCGCCGTCGTCTTCCAAATCTTCCTCGTCCTCCTCCACCTCGTACTCTCCCTCCTCGTCGTCATCGTCCTCACCGTAGTCCTTGCTGCTTGCTTCGGAGCTGTCGTCATCCGACGCTGCTTTGGCTTTGGATTTCCCTGCAAGAGTTTTTACAGCGTAAACAGAAAATCAAGGGCAGCACAGGGCGTCACCACCCCGACACGTGCTGAAGGGGAAGCTCACCACTCGATTCCTCCTGCCACATCTCCCCACGAGCCTTTTGGCCTCACACCGGCGCCCAGAGAAGGATGCCCAGCACTTCAGAGGCTCTCCCCTTCCTCTGCACGGGGATTTCACCACGCAAATCAGCGCCAGGAGACGCCGAAACGCGTCCCCGGGGAGCAGCACCTCGAGCTAAGCCCGGTTTGCCTGCCCTGCCTCCCGACCTGCCCAGGCAGCTGCTTGCTCACATCTCAGCCCGCTCTGCCAGGCTTTTTTGCCCCAGCTGACCCGTGCTGCTCGCTGAGCCGGGTGCGGAGCCATCAATAAGCTCCCTGCCAGTGCCGTGCTGCCACCGATCCGTCAGCCCCCCGGCCCCCCGGGGCAGCTGAAGCCGTGGCTCGTGCAGGGAGCCCCCCGGGAGCCGGCTGGCAGCGCTGCTGGATGCTTATTGATGGGCACCTGAGCAGCTCCGGAGAGGGGAACGCGCTCATCCATCACCCCGAGCACGGGGAGGAAGCAGGGGTGGGCAGGGAGCGGTGCCGGGCTGCTCCCGAAGGCTGGGACGCAGGCAGAGGTGGCTACGAGGGGATTTAGTGAGCTGCAGCCTTCCTGCGCCCCGCCGCCAAGCTGGGATCCTGCTACCTCTCCAAGGCCTTCCTGCGCCCCGCCGCCAAGCTGGGATCCTGCTACCTCTCCCCCAAAATGCTTTCCTTGAGCCATGTGGGGAACTTTTTAGGCAGGTTCCACAATTTACTATGGCCCCCTCGTGGTCGGAGCCAGCGAGTGGCACCATTTTCTCCAGAGGCTCCGGACTTTCTTGGCTCACCAAGAACACTTCCAATGTCACCTGCTAGAAAATAAATTCATCCCAAGTGCATGCAGAGAGAGGGAAACCGTTCTTCCATCAAAGGTTCTCGTTCTGGTAACCAGCCCCTGGGCTAGCTGCTGTTTTGCAGTGAAAATCAAGCCCGCTGCCAGGTAGAAAAACGTTTTTGCTCCTCTTTTCCACGTGGGGAACAAAAGTTGGATTTCTGCATCTCCGCCCAGCGTGCAAAAAAGGCAGCAAACGCGCCTACGTTCTCCAAGGCTTTGGGTCAGGCGTGGAAAAAAAAGGACTAAGGCAGAAGCCAAGGGTTTAAAATGAGCTGGGGTGACAACGTGGGAGAGGGAGAGGAGGAGGAAAGCCTCCCAGCTGCCTTCTGTCACTCTGAAAAGCCACCAGCGTGCTGTGCTCCCTCTCCACGTCAGTCCACCTTTTGAAGTGAACATGCATCTCCCTCAGGGCAGCAAAACCTGGCGAGGAGAGGCGAGGAGAGGCGTGCCCAGCCCTGCAGCCCTACCTTTTACAGCAATCCCAGTGCTCTCCTCATCAGAGTCAGTGTCCAGCTCGAAGAGCTCCTTGAATTCCTTCTTGTCTTCCTCCTTCCTTTCCTCTTGCTTCTTACGCTTAATTTCGGGGAAGTTCAAGTCTTCAAGCTGGGAAAAAAACAAAGAAAACACCAAACCAACGTTAAGCACGACCTTAATTTGTACTTTTTACACACAAAATGCTGAGCTTAAACGCAGGAACTTGGCTTTGCCCTGCCTGTTGGGTCTGCCCGCTGCCAGCCAGGGACACAGGGAGGGATACCTCTGAAGAAGAAACTTTCCAGCAGTGCCCAAAGCCGTGGCAGCTCTCGCAAGCTGTTTTCTTGGCCCTAAATTTCAGAAAAGGTGCTTTAGGTCTGTCCCTGCCATGTCTTGCCCTGTTGCTAGCCCTTCTGGAGATCAATGGGCCAAGCCTTGCTGCTGCAGCCCCAGCCAATATCAATGCCATTAAGTACTTGCAATTGACACCACCTCGCTGCTCTTTACACCTCTCCGGAGGGGGATTAGGGGGAGGATTTACTCGCCAGGGCTCGGGCCAGCAGGGCGAAGATAATCAGAATGCAAATTAAATCCCAAGTGCTCTCTGAACATCAGCTGCCCGCTGCCTGTGCCTGGCTGCACACCTCCTGGGAAGCACTCATGCATTAGCACACATTAGCTTGCTTGGAAACATTCGCCCTGCGACTAATAACTCATTTGCTCTCTCCCACCCCTCGACGCTCTCCTCTCCGACCACGGCCACTGCTTCACCCCTCCCATGGTGGGAGATGCAGCGTTTGGGAGGGTGCAAGAGGCACAGTGTTTGTTCCTGCAGACAGCTCCAGCAGTTTCTCCCGACCTGGTTCGTGGTTACGGTCCCCAGCTGGGCAGTATTGATTCCAGGAGCTGAGAGCTTGCAGCACCACGACGGAGAGCCAGAGGCTGGCTGGAGAAGGGGAGAGGGGAGCAAAGCAGGCTCCTGGTTTGAAATCACCATCCCACCTGCTTTTTTCTGCTACCAGACTTCTCCTTCTGCTGACCCTGCAGAGACCTGGGTGCTGGGAAGATATGTGAAGGGAGAAAGCAACCTGTGGGTGCTGGGGACACGGAATCACCGCGCTGCCCTGATGCTGGCAGCCACGGGCAGCACCTTTGGGTGCTCCCTGCCAAGATCCACGCTGGCTGCAGCCCTTGCGTGGCAGCTATCGCTCCTCAGCAGCTCCAAAAATAAATGCAAAAATCATTCAGGGGCTCGTTCTCCTTCTGCAAGACCTTCTGAGTGTCCCTAGGAGTGCCCTCAGGACCAACACGCAGGCAGCAGAAATCCCTCCCAGCTGCACAGCGACCACAAAGCAGGGGAACGAGGACCTGCCCCGAGCCTGCGCCCGCAGATCCAGCCCGTGTTCATCACGCAGGGGCAGTAATTAGGTAATTTGGGGGCCAGTCTTTTAATCCCCAGCTAGAAGGTCGCTGCAGACCGAGTCTCACGAAGCCGATTAGTCTGCATCCCATTAAAAACCTTTGGGAAAAGCAAAGGGAACGGGCAGACGGGGTCAGCGTTGTTATATAAGGCGAGCTGCAGCTCGGAGCAGCTGAGAGCCAGGCTGATTTTTTTCTCTTTTTTTTTCTTTTTTTTTTTTTTTTCCCTGTTATTATTTTTCCCCCCAATGGCTGCTAATGGGACATGGATTTTCCCAGCCCTAATGGGCCTCATGGTGTTCACTCTCCTGCTGGGGCTCACAATGCTGCATCATTAAGCTAGCAGCCCCCACCGAGAGAGACAACAGCCCCATTCAGCACGCCGAGATGTCAGGCAGCCTCAGAGCTTTCTGAAAGCCAACTCCGAAATCTCTCTCCACGCTTTATCTGTTCAGCCCGCTTCCTCCAGGGGAGAACAAGTCCCTGGCCCTGCCCTCAAACTTCCCCTGGTTTCCCAAGTCATCCTCCTGAGCCTCGCTCTGCCAAAGCAACCCCCCCTTCAAGGGGAGCTCTCCCTTTAGCTGGCCCTGGCCACCCCACGCTGCTCCAGCTCACCTTTAGCACGAGATGGGGGCTCGCCTACCCAGAGCTCATCTCCTGGCCCCTTGCGACAGCTGCTTTGGTACTGGGAAAGTCGTGGCTCGCACCAGTAAGGCCAGTTTGGGGCCAGGTTAGCCTTCATTTCTGCAAAGGCTGCCTTCTCCTGCTGGGCTTGCACCGAAAACAAGAGGCTCCTTTTGTTCCCTCTGCCCCCCGGGGGGAATTTCTTCTTCCCCCTGTCCTTATCTCGGGGCTGGTGCCCGGGTGCTGAGCATTTCTAGGGTCTCGTGGCACGCTCCGGGGCTTGGCTCCGAGCCAGCCATGCTCACGTCCCATCGATTATTTTAATTGTTCCCCACCATACGCTGGAGACACCAATTATATCTATTTCCTGCTCCCTGGCCGGGCAGCCCAGCTCAGCCACTTTCATTGCATTAGCATCGAGACAGCTTTCCTCTCCTTTCCTTTCCTTCAGGCTCCTAATGCAAGCACAGCTCCCACCTCCCCCTCTGCATCTCGTGCCCTGAGGAGTGGCCAGGACCTTCCCTGGGGCAGGAGATGTGGGAAATGGCAGGGCCAGCCCCGTGGGGGGAATAAAAGGCCAAGCAGGACTCATCTGGGATCTTCCCCTCCCTGATTTCTCCAGCGATCAGTCTGGTGTTTCTTACTCTTTCTTTGCCAGTGATTTCCAGCTGGATCTCCTTCTCCCTCAGCTTCTTCCACTGGGTGTAGTACTTGGTCAGCGGCGTCCCCTCCTCTTTGACCTGCTTCTCCCACTGCTCCTGCGGAGAGAAAGGGGTGCAAGGTGTAAGGGAGGTTGGCAAAGCTGGTCTGCAGCAGCACCCTGGCAAATGCAGGGAGTTGGGAGCGGAGTTAAAGCACCTTTTTGCAGCTGCTGGGTAGAAAACTGGCAAGGATGACTCCAAAAACGAGCAGGACGAGTGTGGATGCAGACACTCGAGCAACCCCCGAGTCAGGAGTGGTGTCAGTGAGTGACAACCCCCGCGAGGTCCCCTGGAGGACCACCGAGGTTTCTGGGCATGTCAGCCCCAAATGTGGGCTCCCAGCTCCCTGCTCTCCCCTTGTGGCACAGGCCTGGTTCTCAGAGGTGCTGAGAGCTCACGGCAGCTCTCCTAAATCAGCTCCGTGCCTTCTGGGATCCGCTGCTCCTACCCCAGCCTCTGCTGATCGCTCCTCTCCAGCTGCAGGGCGAGGACACCGCTACAGCAGCCAGGGCAGACAACGCAGCCTGCTGAGAAGGTAACGAAATTTGGCTCGAAGCTGAAGGCAGGGATCACAGGGATTCATCGGAGGATCTCTCAGGACAAAATCCGCCCCCTGCTCTTGCAAGGGAGACATCTGATCGCCCGCTAAGTTCTTTTTTTTTTTTTTTTTTAATTCGGGAAAACCTCACGCAAGCAGTTACAAGACCTAAATACAAAGGGAGCCTGCTTGCCTCTTCCCCCTGCTCCGTGGCCAAGTGTTTATTTTTGCAACCAACGTTCCCCCGCGGGGGCTTGGCCTCCTCCCAGCCTTGGGAGAGCGCATGAAAAACGCCGAGCCCGCTTCCGCGGGGGGAGCACAGAGGCGAAAACACTGGGAGTAGTGGGAAGCACACGAGATGTTTAGAAGGTTTTTTTGTTGTTGGCTGGAAGGGGCGAGGGGTAGAACGTCAGATTACAGCCTGTTGTTTTTAACCTGCCAGGGTCCCTTCGCTTCCAACCCGCAGAGAACCGTGGCTGTTACCTGGATTGCCGCAGTGCCCGGGGGCTTTGTGCTATCCCACAGGACAAAGACAATTTTATCAAGCCCAGCCATGACATGGAAATAGGAATTTAACAGGCAAAAGGAGCAAGGGAAAGCAGCAGCGTGAGGCGGTGAAATCCATCACCCTACATCAGCTCTTGCTCTGGCCCGGCACCGGGAGGGAAGTGGAGATGATCTGTGGCCTCCGCAGCCGGCACCAGGCGCGTCGCGAGAGCGCAGCCAGCCAAAACGGCCCCCGGCTGGTAATTCCCCGGGTCCCAGACCCACAGATCCCTTGGGAGCGTTTGTAACACGGCTCCAAGCTCTGCACCGGAGCCCGTGGCTGCTCCCCAGCCTCCCCCCGGCGGGCTGGCAGCGGGGCTGATGGACCTCTGGCTCCGGCAGCGCCGGCTGGAGGAGACGCCAGGCGGCAGACAGCGCGGCTCTCCTGGAGCTCTGGCCCACGAGGAGTAATTCCTGAGGAGCACGGAGTCACCCCCTTCGTGGATCAGGCTCCCATCAGGCTGCCAGCTGCAGGCAGGCAATTTGTTGATGCTGCTCGGGGCGGAGGGCTTCCGAGAAAGGCTCTTCTTGGGGGAGGCAAAGGTCTGGTCGCTCTGATGCGGCTCTTTCGGGTTTAAAGAGTGTCGGAATCCAGAGATGAAAAAATAAAAATAAAACAATCCCATTTTTCTAATCGGCACGCCTCAATGGGGATTGTAAGAGTGGATGCTGTCGTACCCACCTCAACCGTTTGCAATTCTCCTTTTATTCCTGCCTCTGCATCACCGTGCTGCCAGGGGACACCCAGCACGGATCAAGCCCCCGGTGCTGTGCAAATGGAAAAGGTCACTGGGATGGGGATGGATGCAAATTTGGGAATCCTACAGCAACGAGGCAATGCCTGCCATCAGCTCATTCCCTCCCTGGGCTGGGCTCAAATGCAGGAAGAAGCACCTCTTAAAGGGCAGGAAGAGAACCTGTCCCCAAACAGGCTGGGCAAAACAGAGCTTTTGTTTCCCCAAAGCTGCCCCAACCTTACCTGCGGCGCTCCTGCAGGTGCACCAGCATCAGCTAGGAGCTGTGCGGGCAGCAAGATGTTAAAATGATGGCTCGGTTCTTAAAAAAAGGGGCTGCTGCCAGAGCTGCTGGGAAAAGCAGACAGTGGCAGGGTTGTTGGAAACCCGTTTTTTCTTTTCAGCCAACGATCCTCCCCAGCCCATCGTTCCAGGGAGCCCTAGGGGCTGAAACCTCTACCTCTGCGGAGCGGGTGGGTGGTCACGGCGCTGTCTGCCCGCAGAAGCTACAGAACAACAACACAACCCCAACCACTGCGCTCCAGACGGGAAGCCTAATTCCTCTGGCAAAGCAGCCCGAGCCCGAGCGGCGTTTCCAGAACCCAGGACTACTCAGCCTCTTCAAAACCAGCACTGTCAACCCCTTCATCCCAGAAGAGCAGCGCTGTGCCCAGGCACCCGTGTGCCAGGATTTCCAAGGGTGATTTTCCTGCAGTTCCTGCACTTTGATCCCCTCAATTACCTCCCAGACACAGATAATTCCTCCTCTCTCCTGCTGGGCAAGGAATTATCCGACTCACCGCTGACTCTCAGGCGGAGGCGTGCGCACACAGCTCACCTGCAGAGGTTGCTGCGCCGGCTAAATGCAAAGCTCCCCGTCCCAAAGGAAAAGCAAACGAAGCTTCGTTAGCGAGGCTTCCCTTTGGCTTCGTTTGCATAGGGCCTGCCTTGCAGATACCTCGGAGCTGAGCAGGTCAGCGGGTCCCAAAGAAGGAGGAAGCAAAGCAAAGTGAAAAAAAAAAGCTGTGAGCAGGGATGCTGAACGGGCTCTCCATCCCCGGGAGGGCGTAGCTCAGAGCAAGCTGACTCCTGGAGCAGGGGAAGCGAGGAGGAAGGCGGCCTCTGCAGCTGTGCACATGCCAAGGAACTTCCTACCAGGGGTGAGGAATCACTGGTGTGTCTGGTAAGGCAGGAGGGGAGCAGGACAGGAGCACGGTCCCCTTGGAGGCAAAAAAAAAAGAGCAACAGAAGGTTCCCCTCCTACCCCAGGCCGGCAGAGAACAGCACAACGGAATTAAGCCCAGGCAGCTGCTTCTGGAGCGTTTGAACAGGTCCCTGCTTCGAGCTGAAACCAGCAGCTTCCAGTGCCTCCATCTGCATCCAGCTGGCTGCGGCAGCTTCCTTACGGAGAGGCCCTGGAGACCAGCACCTCTTGGCACGCCTCGACAGGCAGCTCGTCTCCGCCTGCTCCTTTCGTGGTGCCTTCCCTCCGGACCCTTCCCAGCCAGGGGAACACCCCTAGCCACGACAGGTTTTTTCCAGGAAGACAGCATCTCGTTCTATTAGCCAGATGGCCAACTATTTACTACCTCACCCTCCAAATATCCTGTTTTCTACCCGTGCAGTTCATTTCCTAAAATAAGAAGCGCTGACCATTACCCCTGCTGCTCTCCTTCAGCTCATCACTGAGGCAAAACTGCCCTGAGATGCAGCCCAACACCTCCACGGGCCCTATGAGCCACCCAGCACCACTGCATCTTTTCCAGGCACTGAATGTGCTCAGCATTTCCTCTGCAGGGTGGGTGTTGCTTGGATTGCAGACAGCAGGACACACCAGCATCTCTCCTGGTGCCCAGCTGCGGTGCCCAGGGTGCCTGATCACAGTTCTTTGGGCTCGTACCTTTAGTTGGTCTCCAGTTCTGCCTCCACAAGAGACCAGGAAAATGGAAAAAGCTTTGGCTCAGGATTCTGAACTGTATCAGTCAGATTCAGCTGCTGGAGAGGTGTCTCCACAGACCAGGAGGAAACAACACGGTGATAGAGGAGGTGAAATCCCCCCCCTTCACCTTAAGGCATGAGCTGGCACCGGCGTACCAGCAGCGGGGTGATGAGAAGCCCGAAATTCCCCAGCAGAGGATGTGCCCCAGCGAAGCGAGGCGCTTCCATACGTGCGTGTGTGGTGAGTAAGAGCAGGGTGTAATTTATGGGCTGTGTTTTCCATGAGGTTCTTGGCTGCGGGGCCCTGCCCAGCCGGGTTGTTTGCGAGCGCCTGCCGCACCCCACGGCCCCGTTTCCAGGAGCTTGTCCTCCCTCCTCCCCCTGCCACCCGCTCGGCCCCGGCAGCCGGAGCCTGCCTGTCTTTCCAGGAAGCCCAAATCGAAGCAGCAGACTCACCACAGACTCCCTGCTGGCCACCCCGAAGGTAGCTTTCTGACGCCTGCTGGCGATGTAGGCAGAATTTTCCTGCACTTTCTCCAGCAGCTGCCGGATAGGCTTGCAGTAGTTGGCGATCTTGCACTCCTTCAGGAAAGATTTTAGCTGGGAGGAGGGGGAAGAAGAAGAAGGAAAGCCACGTTAGAGTTTCCATGCACAGACCCCATCAGCAAAAAAAACAAAAACCATCTCCCACCCTCGGTGAGGGACAGCACGGGGGTGCCTGCTCCCTTCCATTCGCACCACGGAGCAGCATCCTGCCAGCCTGGGCTGGGAGGATGCAGAGATACAGATATCTGCACCCAATCCAGCTGTGGGGCTTGCTTAGGAACAGCTCTGCACCCTTTAACTCGAGCTCTTTCTGAAAGGATGCACTGCTGGGGCTGGAGCAGCACAGCGGCGGATATTGGGGTGGGAATCCCAGTAGGTGAGGCTGGGAGGCAGAGATTGAGAAAGGAGTGCACAAAGGATCGTCTGTGGGCTGGGACTGGAGGTCTTTGCACGGCTCAGTGGGAAAACTGGGGGCTGGCAGAGCTGTAGGGCTGTGGGTCAGGCCAGGGGGCCATGTGCAGAGTCACACGGGGTGAAGTTTGCTTAGCGCCTGCCTGCCAGCCCAGCTCCGGCTGGAACCTCCCATTTTTCGAGGGCACAAACCCACGCAGGCACCACAGAAAAATGCACGGAGCAACCCCCACAGGCATGTGCCTCGATAATTCCTCCTTTTAAGACCCAAGGGCTTCGGCGGAACGGCTGGGACGAGAGCCAGGCTGCCAGGAAACCACAAACCCAAAAAGGGCACGGGCCAGGTCCAGCCTACTCGCAGGGAGCTGGCCCCTGCCCTCCCTCGGCGCAGGAAACACTCCAGTACCCCCAGACGATGGGACTGTCTCACTGCCAACACCATGTTTTTGTGGGGTTTGCTTTTTTTCTCTCTCAGCAGCTCTCACAGGGCTCTGACACCGCGGTGAGGCAGCAGAGGATGCTCCAAAGAGGAGGAGAGATGGGAGCGCGCGGATTGACCCCGGTTTCCATTTCAGCACACTGCTAGGTTTCCACCAGCTCTCCAAATTCTGCAGGGCGACCTTCTTGCCGGTGTACCAGACGCTTTGATTTAGGGGAAAAGAGACCCAAGGGGGCAGCAGAAAATGGTTAACCACGAGGGAGCCTTCACCTGCCTGCTCCACGCGGGGAGAACGTCCCCATCAGCTGGCAGCAGGGGCTGCTCTCCTCCCTTTCTCCACCTGCCAGCCCTCAGCCAACTCCGAGAAAGGGGAGATAAAACCAACACCTTGCCCCCTTTCTGCAGACAGCCCCGCCAACAGGTACAAAGGAACCATCCCCAAGCGCTGCTGCCGGCCAGCCCCGTCCTGTTCTCGCCCTCCCTTTCTAAAATATTTATTTTTTTTGCAGGCGCTGCATATTTATCTCCGCGGAGAGATGCATTTGTCATTCCATTTATCTCCCCTGATCCCCCCGGCTGCAGCCCCAGATCCATTTCATCCGCTGCCACGGACATTCTCATTTTTCTTCCCTTGCACGAGTGTCACCTGAAATCCTGCCGAATCTCGGGCTCTATCGGGGCGGTTTGGCGGCGTGCGCTCGCTCTCCCGGCCCTGCGCTTCATTTCTCCTCCGCCCCCCTCCTCTCCCCGACCCAGGCAATCCCTCACAGCCCCACTGCTATCTGCCACGGATATTAACGAAAGGTAATGAGATCTCAGCCCTGCGTTCGGAGGCAGGGAACGGCCGAGACAGTGAAAGATAGAGGGGGGGGAGAGAGAGAGAGAGAGAAAGGAACCCTCTGCGTGCCTTTTTCCCCGCTGCCAAGCACAACAACCGCAGCTTTCCAGAATAAAAGCGCTCAGAACATGTGTTTGTGTGTGTGTGTGCTGTTAACATCTCACGTCGGCTCCTAGCTAAGCAGCTCTGTGATTAGTGGGATTGATCCCGTCCAACTGCCAGCCTCAAACGCCAAGGGTTTGTACCAGCGGGGAGACCGCAGCGAAAACCCAGCTCCTCTTACAGTAAACGACATGGGCAACGAGAAATGATGGGCTGCAGCTGGGCTCATGTGTGCCAGGGAACCCAAAGCAACCCCAATCCTCCACTCTCAGGCAGCAGGGGCAATATCCAGCTGGGTCAGAGTGAGCAGGAGGGGGGGCAGCTGGCAGGGACCCCGGCACCTCCGTCCCTCTGCGAGCCCTGCCCTGACCGTGCCCCCTCCCAGCAGCACCAGCCCCTATCCAAACCCTCCAATTTTCCCCTTTAACCTCCCACCTCTGCTCTGCGCTGCCTGGAAGGACCCTACAGATGAGGGCTTCTCTTCCAAGCACCCAGACGCACGCCCTGAGCTCCTCACCAGCCCGTGGTGGAGTGGAAGCAGCAACAGCCCGGGGGTCGTGCCTTTGAACCGCCTCCCTCCCCTGCTGGCTCTGCTTTCCTTTCATCTGCCCCGGCTGCTTCCTGCCTTCCAGGCAAGGAGGCTCCGAAGTTCAGGCTGAAGGCAGTTCAGCCCAGCTTCTCCCAAAGCCGCCGACCAGGAGGAGATGAGCTCTCGGCGCAGCCCTCGCCAGCTGGAAGCCAGCCCCTGCCCCACGGCGCTGAGCGAAGCACGGGGAGGGGGGGGCAGAGGGATTTTTTTTTTTTCCTAGCTAACTGGAGCGGTGCCAGGGGAAAAGCCTTCCCCCGCGTGCCTTCCCGAAGGCTCCGAGATTTTGGGAAGCTAACCTCAGCAGCCCGGGCCCAGCAGACGGCCACGAGGCTGTGGTTAGTGGCAGCCGAAGAGGAATCCGACAGCGGGAATTCTCTGCGGAAAGCCGGGCTGGTCCCGGGGTGTGTGTTTGGAAGCCACGGGGCGCTCCTCGTTCCAGCTCCAACCTCGGCTCCGACAGCTTGGCTGCTCCCAGCAGCTGCTGGCTGAGACCAAAGGGCTTTGTTCGCCGCCGATAAAGTGAGAAGCAAAAGGAGAGCAGGCACGGGAGCTGCTCTGTGAGCGTGGAGGCTGCCTGTCAGCTCGCATTAGGCAGGGCAGCCGGCTGGCAGCTCGGCGATGCCTCTGCCAGGCTGCAGCAGCAACGTGGGCAGGCACAGCGGCTCGTGGCAGCAGAGCAGAAGCGCGTGGCCCCATGGAGGATACAGGAGCAACCAAAATTGTTCGCCACCTGCCGCTTGTGAGTTAAAAACAAGAGGAATGGGAGGATGTGAAGGAACAAGCTCCAGCTTGTTTGCACTCAGCAATCCTCCTGTGCAAAGCAGAGAGGGCGCTGCTCATTCGAAACAAGCCACCAGCTTCAGCTCCCGGTATTAGGGGAGGATTAGGCTCCATACACCCAGACATGACCCCATTAGGCTGCCTTATTGCAGGGAAAGAAGTGTGTAAACACGAAGTGGTGAGGAAGAACTGCCTGCCACGGAATGCCAGGGCAGAGGGAAAGGAGAGCTCTTTGCAGCAATGCTCTGAGGTGCGCTGAGGGAGATGGACAGAGACGGGGATTGGACGCGGGGAGAAAGTGCCCCAGCTGGAGGGGACACAGGCAGGGAGAGAGGATTGCCATCTTGTGGAGAGCACGTGAGAAAAGCCATAAGGCAAGGAGAAACACGAGCTCTGAGAGCACAGGTGCTGTGGTGAGGTAATACAGCAAATCTGGACAACTCTAAATCGCCAAGGACTGCATTCACTGGTCAAAAATGCATCTCTACAGCCCGTTGTCCCTCTCTGTCTCCCAAAAGAGCGGCTCACACTAAAGCCACTTTCACCTACCTTCAGCCTCCTGTTGGATGCCTCTGTTCCTAAGAATCCCTCAAAATGCAAACACAAACTGTGACTAGGAAAAGGTAAACAGCTCTCTCCTCACATTATCAGGACCATCTAAAGTTTGCTGCTAGGTTAAAGGAGCTCATCCCACTCTGGGGACGTTCCAAGAGGTGTCCTATACCTTACCTGGATGATAGTGGGGAGAACCAACTCTGGGAACCCGATGCTGTGGGCTTGGCAATGCAGATACTCAAGAATCAGGTCATAGAGCTGTTCGATGAGGCCATCCTAGGTAGAGGGAGCAGAAATAGAGATATCAGATAGGAACTAAGCCCCTCAGCTCCCAGACTGGGAAATGAGCCTCTAACCTACAGGACGGGATCACAGAACACATGGCTAGGGCCAGTCCTGTTTGTAGAGAGACTGTGTTGCTGAGGATGTGCACTGTTGGTAGCTGGGTTCCACTTACTCGGAAGGCTTTCTCCTGCAGGTTGGCGTTGGAAAGCTTCAGGATCACCGCGAAGTTTATCGGCTTAGCACTCATGCGTCCTGGCCTCTTGTTGAAATCCACTTGCTGGAAAATCTGCAAGAGAAGCAATTGAGCGTAAGGATGGTCACGCCACGAAACAAACAGACACCCCACGACTCAACCAAGACCGTGCAGTTGATGACAGAGCTGAGAAGACAATCCAAGAGCCCTGACTCCTGCCTGCTCGTTCTGATCGCTGTCCAACAGCTTTTTTTAAATGTCCCAGCAAAGGACAGCTTGGGAGCAAACACCAAGCATACTCGAGGCTTTAGAGCCCTGAGCATGAAAGATGCCACGGAAGCGTGGTGTAAAAGGGAACCCACACAAGCAACAGCACGAGGAACTAGAGGTTTGCTCCTCGGACCTGTGCTTCGGACAGCAGGGTGGTACTGCAAGGCTTGAGTGTGCTTTGGAGCTGTCCCTGAAGACGAGATGCTTTTCAACAGCAAGGCTAAATGCTGCTTATACCAACCGATTACCTTCTTATTGTCACTGAAGTAAGTGCCTGAATTGTCCTAGGAAGCAGATGGACCAGGAAGTCCTTTCCACAAATACCCCTTGCCAGGCAAAGTCTCTGGTCTAATGCCTTTCCCACCAGTGTCCCTTGTACCAATTATAACTGAACAGCCTTTGAATAAGCACAGATTATTCTCCACGGACACATTTCTCTTTATAGCAAGGGACGTGGGGAAAAAACTGGCTCCCTTCCAGAGGCTGAGCAGAGACTACACACGTAGCTCCTCAAAAAGAACCCCAACAGGCACACACAACACCCAGGGTAAAGCTGGATGCCCAACACACCGCGGCATGTCAAACCTGCATCTTTGCTGTTACATTCTTCCAGAAATGGGAAATGATAATGCTTAATGCTCATGGTTAGGGAAAAGAACATTTATTTCATGCAAAAGCTGGCAGAGGTAGACCTCAGGAGAAAGCTGAAAAGAGCTGCACAGACCGCTCGCACCAGGGCACGTTCCCAAAGACTCCCATCAGGGGATAACAAGCAGCAATCAAGGGAGGTGGTCGCTAATAAGGGAGCTTTGTTTCAAAAAGCCAGCCCCAAATGACCAACTGGCAATCACTTGCGTGCCAGCTGACAACCTTTGAGGGGTCTGACAGGGAACGCAGCCTGCCTGCCCGTGCCTCTGAGCACGAGGTCCCTGCCTCCAAGGCGCTCAGCCCCTAGATTCCCAACACTTCTAAATATTACTTTCGAGCAGGAAATAATTTCTATTCCCTCTACGCGGCGATACATTCATCATCAGAGCCCAAGCAGCCCAGAAAGGCAGCGCACTGATTGCTAGAGGGTGAGGTGGGGGAGAGGGAGGGCACTCAGGTCATTCTGGTGCCCCCGGGCCAGAAAAGCATGGAGCCGGCTATTGATTTTTTTACATTTTATTTGTCAATCCAGGTTATTTGGAAGGGAGGGACAAGCCTGGTGGCTTGTGAAAACAAAGAGCCCTAGCCTAGGGAATCGATGCTATAAACCTCGTTATGCACGGTTATTTCTTTGGCCAAAACAGTCGTATTGATCCCCGAGGTCAGACGCATTAAAGAAAAAGGCAGCGGGCGCTGTGGGATCCTAACATGCCACTAGGCAAGTGGGAAAATACAAGCAGAGGGTTTGAAACCTTCCCAGATGTGCTGGGGAATCTGTCGGGACACGTGGAAAGGGGAAAAGTGTGGTTCCCAGCCCTAGATCGTGCAGGATGGCCCAGAGAGCGGCCAGGCTGAAAGAGGGGATGACTGTGTCTAGGAATCCTGTGGCAGGGCAGAAAGGTGATAATAAGGGACTGGAGGGCCAGAAAACATCCAAAGCCAAGGACTTGGCTGGAGTGAGACCCACCAGCAGACAGAAAAAAGGACAGGAGTGGGGTTTCAGCAAGCTCTAGCTCACTCCTCCTACGTTGGTAGGGTGAAGGGTGCTGGGGTGTACAGCTTGCACCAGCAGAAAACCAAGCCCACGGCCCCAGCACTCTTATTTTATTACCCCCACCCCATCCTGACTTTTCTCAGGCTCCAGCAAAGCCTCCTGGCAGCTACTTTGATCAGCCCGAGGCCGGCTGCCCCAGGCCAGCCCCCAGCAAGGAGGCAGAGCTCTGCAGGACCCGCCTGCAGCCTCCCCGCGGCTGCTCCAGCACCCTCCACCTCACCCCCGGCACCCAGCAGGGCTGCTCAGAGCCCAGCTGCTGCCAAGCTGAGAAAAACTGCTCAACTTTTGTAATATATTCCCGTTTTGCATCCTCTGGGGTTATTCCTTCCCCCCTACAGGACATTGCATCCCCCTTAGTTGAGCTACGGGAGGTTTCTCCAACATGCTAAGGTCCTTCTGAAGATCAGGGCTCTGCTGGTGCAGTAATTCCTCCCAGCTTTGCACCTTCTGCACGCTTTTTGTCCTTGTCCCTGTGTTCAAACCATGAGTGATAACATCTCATCCCCCTGACGAGCAATGACCCAGCAGCACACCCCACAGCCAGCTTCTCCAGCCCCCAAATCCTCAGCCTGGCTGTGAGGTGTGGGAGATGGCACCCAAAGCCTTGATAACAGGAAGATAAAACACCCGGGGGGCTCTTCCCTCATCCACAGAGCCAATTGGCTCTTGGTAGGAGGCTATTAGATGGGTCAAGCATCATTTCACTAAGAAAAGTCCTGGCACAAGCAGGGTTGTGCAGCTTAAAAGCTGCAGGGCAGTATTTGGAGGGAGGGAACACCCAGGATAAGGGATGCATCTTCAGCTGGTGCAGAGGCTCAGCTCAGCAAGCCTGACATTGTAGTTTTTCCTCCGTGCAATAATGCAAAGAGCCCCCAGCTTGTAGAAAACTTAAATCTATGACAAGGTCCAGGATTATGGGCCCCCAACAAGCCCCCACCCAGGTATGTCACCGGGCTTCAGGCCCCCCGGGGACCTTCTCCAAAGCGAGCTGCACATCCAAACCAAAACTCAAGCCATTGAAGTGTCAAAGTGAAGAGCTCACGCCTCCCTAAGCACGTCAGGGTTAACCTCTTTCCCCATTCCTCCGCAGGGAAGCTAATTTTAAATTGGCATGCCAAGCCTGCCTGTGGGGAGATTTCCACCTTGTTTATCCACACCTGCCTTCCAGCAGATGAGCCACCGCTTCTCCTGCTGCAGAAACTAGTGCCTGTCACAAAATAATTGAAGTGCTGGGGGAAAAAAAAATAGCCTGGGATCTCACAGGCCCTCCAAGGGTGGGAACAATACAAAAATAAAAGCCTGCCTGCTTTACGCTTTCTCTCAAGCCGTCTCCTCTCATCTAAGAGGTGATTTTAGCAAGCTTCTTTTGCTCCCCCCCCGAAAAGCAGAGGCAAAAGAGGAGACAGCCCTGGGTGCCCGTGCTGGGGAGCATCAGCTCCTGTCAGGCTGCATCAAGCAGCCAGCTCTCATTTCGACTGGCAGGGGCTTGGGGAATTCCCGTGCCTGGGGGAATTGCACAAACATTCAATCTGCTGGCTCCTGAAAGCACGGCAGCGACAGGGCTGAGACAAGAGGTAGCCAGGGCTGGGCTTCTTGATGGAGAGGGGGGAGGGAAGCAATCGTGGTCCCTTCTTAGAGAAGGTTTTCAAGATCCACACTGAGGCTATACAAAGCTCAGCCACGTTTTTTTTCCAGGGCTTTGTGCACGTCTGGTGTCGCTCACTCCAGAGCCTGGCTACGTTTGGATCCAGCTGCATCAGCGAGTGAGGGGCAGGCTGCCGTCCTTCACAGCAAATGGAGCATGGGAAGGCTTCGATCTGCCCCCTGACCCCAGCCCTGCCCCTTAAACCCAGCATTTAGGAGGGGCTGAGCAGCGTGCTGCTTCTCTCTCACCTCGCTTTGGATGCTGGGTTTAAAACGTGCTGGTTTTGTGACACGGTGTGGTGCAGGACTGCTGTCTAGGGGCAGAGGCACTGCCAGGTTTGTGAGCTGGTAGGAACAGGCTTGTTGGTAAAGCACCAGGCTGGCAGAATGCTTCTCCTCCTCCCAGCATGACCAGACACCAAGGGATTTCAGGATCCCTTGCAGGAGGTATGGGAAGGGAAAAGCAAAACGCTGGCAGCTGCTTGGAGATGAGTTTATCCCTGGCACCTTGGGTTCAAATTTGAAATTAAGGGCTAGGAACACGTGTGCAGGCATTTTAACCCTGCCCCCTGTCTCTCCTTTGTCACCAACACCTGGACAAGGCAGGCCCAGCAGCGCCTCGCACGCAGCAGGCTGGGATGTGGTGGGGAGGAAGCTCAGCGTGCGCTGTGGTCACGGCTGGCTGGGGCCCGACACACGGATTGCAGCCCCACGGGGAAGGAGGTTTTTTTCTCTCGGAGCATTGAAAATTAAAAATAAAAAGCAGAGGAACCGTCCTGCCCCCCAGGCTCTGCTACAGCAGCGTGGAGATGCCTCTATGGGTGGATGTGGCTGGCAGAGTTTCAAGAGTGTGTGAAGGAGAGGAAGGAAGCAGGCAAATGGCAAAGCCGCACAGGCCAGGGCCAGGGCGCGGCGGAGGGGGGCGGGAGAGCAGGAGGAGATTTATAAACATCGCTGGCTTCCACGGGCTCAGAGGATGTGGTTTGCAGAGGACGTTTACAACAACACAAAACCACAAAAGCCTTGGCTTCAACAGAACTTGATTAGGAACGAGCCCAGCTGACTCAGGTCATTTGTTACAGAAGCCTCCCTCATTCTCCTCTAACAGCCAGCCTCACGCTGACCTTCGGGGGCTTTGCATTCCTCACCTTGCCCCATTCTCCCTCAGAAGTGTTTCTTCAAAGAAAAAGCCACTTCTGTACTGCCCTCTCACAGCAGCAAGGCAGGGAGACATCAGGAATCTGATCTATGGGAATCTGGATGGAAAACACAAGGCACCAGTATTTCACCAAACAGCCTGTGTTTCGCCAGGCTGCCTTTAAGGGGATCTTTTTGACCAAATTAAGCCTTGGAGCACCTTTTTCCTTCCATCTCCCTTTGTCTGTGGTTATGACAAACTCTTCCATTTGCTAAGACACAAACACATCAAGGGGATCACGTAACAGCTTGGGGACTTACTGCAGCCAGTTGAATCAAAGCTCCTCCTTGGAAACCCTTTGCCTATTCCAACTGCATCAGCCAAACCACCTAGGAATGTCTTTTTGCACCCAGCTGATCTCAGATAGAGGAAAATTATGAATTTAATCCTGTTTGCTAACCGCACGCTGTCTGATGGTGTTTGCCAAGGGGTTTAGGGTGTGAGCAGATCCCAGGGGGAGCTGTTGGTGGGTATGGTAAATATAAACGTGTTCATTAGGTAGCAGACAGTTGTTGCTACACCAGCAGGACCCACTGACCTCCAGGATAAATGGCAGCACGGGGATGAAGGTCCTGGTGTTCTCAGACAGCAGCGTAAGGGCACGGATGCAGTGCATGCGCAGCGGGTAGAACCGAGCTGTGGGCACCAGCCTAGAGGGGAAAAAAAAGAAAGAATATTAGGCCAGGATAATACAGGAGCTGCACTCGCAGCCCCCAGCAGCGTTTTAGAGCCCTTCCCACTCTACAAAAAGGAAGAGAGCTTTAGGATTGCACAGCAAACTGAGCTGAAGCTATCCCACAGTGGGGAAAAATTCATGCGTGCTAAAGCTGTGACACCAACAACCAGGTTCTGCAACCAGAGCACCAGGTTCTTCTGGGACAGAGGAGGGGAAGTGCTACGAGAAGTGGCAGGAACCAGCAGTGAAATGCTCAGCTGAAGCACTGAATTTGCCAGAAATGGGCTCCCCCAGCACACAGGAGGGACTGCAGGGAGAAGGTGGTAACCAATTTCAGGTTGCGTACCCTCTGCGTGCCCACACAGCTCGTGCTGTCACCTCAATAGCCACACTTGTCACTTGGAATGTCACCAGGGCAGGAGGAGCTGGACCAGCAGCACGTCAGAAAGGACAGAGCAGGAACGAGAGGGGCATCACAAGACCCTCTCAGCCCTCTCCAACAGAGGAGGAATCGCTCAGCTGCTCCTCTTTCAGAGAGGAAAGAGGATCGAAACTGCTAGTGATGAGCAGGGAGGGAAAGAGGCCGCCTTTGACCATGCTTTAGGCTGTTATGCCCTTGGATATTAAAGGGAACTAAGCACAGCTGCCTTTGTAAGGTGGGGCACCGCAGGCTCAGCTCCCCCGGTGCCACCTAAGCCAGCAGCAGAGAACACAGAGCCCAGCATCAATCCCATGGCTACCCCTAGGACACCAAAACTCGTTACCTTACCCCTCCAGAAACCTCTTGCTATGCACACCTGTACTAGAAGACAAATGCCCCCAGCACTAACAAGTTTTTTCTTTTTTTTTTTTTCCATGGAATTCTCAAACAACAGCCCCACATCCAATAAATCCCTCCCTCCCCACCCATAAAGGGTTTGATGAGAAACCCAGGGGAGAACACACCTGACCTGGCACCATAAATCACCTCCACCTCCCCCACCCTCCCCCCACGCTAAATAGTGGAATAATTATCACTGGATCCATTATAGGAATAAATCTACTTCCCGCCCCGATCTGGCACCACTAGAGATGACGAAAGCCATTCTCAGGAATTAATTGATCGAGGGATAAACCTGTTAAATGTATAGATTTACTGTAAACCAAGACCATTAATTTTAGAGTGCTCTGCGATGCAACAATCTGTTTAACTTCCCGATGGCTGGATGCTCGGGGAATACAAAACACAGCTGGGCCTTGGCTCTGCTGAGGAAGATCTGCCCAGGGGTCACACCAGCAAGTTCAAATCCACTTGCTCTGGTTTACAGCTCATGTTTTTCATCTCAGAGAGTGCTCTCTGTTGTCTTACCATCACCATCTCCTGCAACACCTGCCCTGCTTCTCCTGTGCAGCAGGCTGTGGTGCAGGGAACAGCCCCAAGGCACTTGGAGGCTTATTTTTACTAGATACAGTTCCTTCTGCTCTACTCCTGTCTGGTCACAGTCTTTTTCTGACTGGGGAGAACACAGAAAGCTTCTTACGGTATCGGTCTCTGCCCCACCAAGAGGGGACAGCCAAGGGAAGGAGCTGAAGGACACCAAAGCTGTGCTTGCATCTGTACGTGCTGGGAGGCTGGAGACCAACCCTCACAGGGCATCACAAATCCTCATTTAACTACAAGCCAGGGCAGAACCTCACATTTATAGCCTGGAGTAAGAGCAAGGTAGGAAGTCAAGCAGACAAGGTCAGGAGAACGCTTGCCTTCAGCCTGGAAAAAGGGACAGGAGCACCTGCAACAACTCTGACACACAAAAATAAGCAGGAAAGACAAACAAGTATGCAGACCAGACCAAAAACTTTACAGACCACAGAAGCAAAGAAAAGCAGACATCTCCTTTGTGTTCTGTCTCTGCAATACCTACAGCACTACCCCAGTGGTCAAAGCAACTGCAACCTTTCAGCTGTTTGCAAGATCAACACCGCTGATTTTTACAAGGCAATGCCATTAGCAAACTCAGCAGCGAGGCTTTTTCCAGCAGCCCTGAAGTCAGAAGCGATCAATTCCAACATTTTTCCATTCAGCAGTCTGCCTTCCCCGATCACATCTGAGCATGTGCAGCTTGGACACGTTTCAGGAACGGACCCCATGCATTATTAAAAGTAGTTTCGGCGTGTTTTATATGCTGGAGAGCAGGGAGAGGGAGCAAGGAAACGAGGGAGCTGATTTTAATTTTAGCAGCAACCCTCTGCTGCTAGTTACCGTATTTAATCACATTTCCAATTCTGCCTCGGTCCCTGCCTAGAGCAAAAACAAACCGATGAGCGGTGGTTTCTCTGCAATCCCCTCCCGAAAGCCACCAGGGTGGCACAAGGAGCTGGTCCTGCAGACAGACACCCTGCTCACTGCCCTTTCGCTGGAGCAAGGCGCCACCTCCTGGTTCTGAAGGCACTTGGGGAAGGAGAATCTCCTCCAAGGGCTATTTATCCCCCTCCGGATGCTGCCAGGAGCACAAGTGAAATGTTCTGCGGATGGAAAAGCCGCACAGCATCCTTCCCTACCACCCCATCACACACACCTGGGATCTATTTCTATTTTCCCCGTGCTAAAATTCATCTCTCAGGCTCCCCAACCTTTGACACCTTGTCAGACGGTGGCTGCACTTGGTGCCGAGCACCTCTGCGCATCGCTGATGCGAACAAGTTTTATTTGCTGCTCTTGCTGAGACTCACCCAGTTCACCTCTCCTTGGCCCCAGCTCGCTGATTTATCTGCCTGGACAGGTAGAAAACTGCCTCGACTTGTCTGCAGGACAACTGGAGCTCGGCAGCAGCAGCGGGAAGCAGCCTGTGCACATGGGGGATGGGGAGAAGGATGTATGCACACCAACGATCGTTTAAATCTGCTTATCTTCATCACCACTTGGGAGTTTTTCAAGACCAGGCGGGTGGGGTTTTAAAGCTGAGAATCTGGTTACAGAGCTAACAGGATTTCAGGGATCACCAGAGATTCAGAAATTCCCTCAACACCCATTAACAGCAGCTTCAAAGCAGAAAAAAAATCAAACACACGGGGTGATAGGGGAAAAAGATAAGTGAAGTAAAAAAACTGCAAGCAAAAAACAATGAGAAAAGCTTTCATATTGCTCAAAATAAGCAAAAGCAGGCTTGTGCACAATTAAGACTTCAGCACACTTCTGATTCCAAAACCAAGTCCTTATCTCCTCCCTGATTTCCAACTCCCCTCAAAATAGCACAGCTCTGAGACTATGAGGAACTGCTGAGCATGAGCATGGCACGGCATGCATGCACTTGGACAGCTCCACAGAAATACCCAGACAGATATAACTTCTTGGAAAAAGCTCTCAGGAAAGGAATTCTACCTGGTGCTGCCACTCCTCTACTTGTGAGGACATTCCAACAGATGTTGAAAGGCAAAACTGTCCCGTCTGGGTTAGTACTTCACATGAATGCTTGGAACTACTCTTATTTTAAGCTTACCTGTTAGATAGTGTCCTCTTTCTCAATGAATTCTAAGAAATACAAAGCTCCAGCAGTTCAGGTATCATGCTTTTTAGCAAAGCAGAATTGGACTAGGCACCAAAACTAACTGCATTGCCTTGTGTCTCCCCAGCTCCCCATGAGATGATAGCAAAGAAGGGTTTAGGTTGTTCAGAGATGCGCCCAGACTGCACAAACTCCACAAATAGTTTGCAGTATGGCAAAAAAGCAGCTGACACTACTTTCTGTCCTCACTGCTGTTCACCACTTAGCTACTTTTGAGCCCAATCCTTCCTGCAGCATCTGATTTCACACCCCCTGAGCCCGTGGTCTCAGCTGGTGAAGCAGAGGCACTGACTTCCTCTCCAGCAACCCTTTAATTCCTTCATGCAACGTGCTCGCAACACGCCTGCAGCTGTAATACCTCCATCAAAAGCAGCTCTTGGGTTAAATCCGAATCACATAACAGTACCACCCCTTTGGAACTGTTTTACCACATCCAACAAGAGAAGGATTGCCAGAAGAGAAAAAAACCACTTACTTTATACAGCCAATGATGACCTGTGTCAGAGGATAGATCAAGGGCTCCATGACCTCGCTGGGGTAGATTGTGCTGAGAACCCGACACCAGAAATAGAGGCAGTGGACGTACTGCCAGTTGTAGACAGACTGGAAGTTCTCCTGCAGAAAAAAGATGAACATACTTGAAAATGGGGCACCTGAGAGGGGCTCAACTCTAATTTCTCTCCCCAATTCATTTCTTTCTCCTGCAGGACACTGCGCACTGCCCAGAGGATAACTCACATTCTGGCTGTGGCTTTGATGCTGGTGGCTCTTCCACCACCCAGCAGAGTCAGATGCAGCACGCCATAATTTAGTGCTGGTTAGTGCCTTGAAGGAAATAACGCACAGCACAGCCTGCTTTTCTTCCCAAGTACGGCTCATTGGAGAGGGATGATTTAATGACTCAGCTCCCAGCAGATGGTGAGATGCGGCCAAGCATCAGGAAGCCTTTAACCGTTCACTCACAGGCCTGGGGACAGTCCCCAGGAACCCCCAGGTAGGAAGGCTGGAAAGCAGCACTGCTCTGACAGCCTCAGTCAGCTGCCTTCTGGCCTCTGCAGACCAGAAAGGAGAGAAAAAAAGCATGTAAACTACTACAGGAGGAAATTCCTCTGGATTTCCCCTCTTTGTACTCAGACTCTGGCTGTGATGGGGCAGCTTATCCTTCCCACTCAAGGCCTCCCTTCCCTCAGATGTGTTAACCAACCTCCCTGCCCACCACCCCACTATCTCTGAAGCATAATGCCAGTATTTTGAAGATGTTTCTGTGAGCATTCACTGTCACAGCAAGCACCGAGCCATCAGCCTAGCACTCCTCCCTGCTTTTGGGAAAGACACAGTCCAGGCCAGTTGAAGTTTTCTACTGCAGAGTAAAAATGACAGAGCTGAGAACAAACTTGCAGCTCTGTTTCTAAGCCAGCCTTTATGGTTACCAGCAAAAACAATGCAAGAGGCCAGTGTGTCTGACACGCCGTGACACCAGAACGGTGGTTTCAGGCTGGCCCAGACCAAGTCTTGCACAAAATCCAAGCCACGTGGTTTTTCAAGAATGTTTGGGCAAGCCCCTACTCCTTCCTGCCATGTGCTGGAGCAGCCCATAGTGCCAGAGTAAACAGAAGCCCAGAAAGAGTGCAGAAGTCCCTTAAGGACACTCTTTCCAATGAGTTCTGCAGGCCCAGAACGCACAGCATTGCACCAAGATTTTAGGAGATAAGATTTTAAAAGGTGCCTCAGCTCCAGCCTGTTTCACACAGGCTTTCAAGGTTCAGGTCACCCCTTTTGTATGGTGAAAACAACATGTGCAAGTCCCAGAAAAAGCACAGAAGCCCTGAACTGCAACCACCGGCCCAAATCTTGTGATAGGAACTTAGGCTGCAGCTGGAAGTGGCAGAGCTCTCACCAGGTCACTGAGATGTACCAAGGTTTGTTCTCAGCTTCTTCTGTAAACAGCGACCTGCTCCTGTAACCACCTTCCACAGCCACCCACTGCTCAATTTAAGTTAATTGGCTTACTGCAAGGATTTATACCTTTTGGTTGTGCTGATGTCATTTAAAATTCCCGCAACCCTCCCCAGCTGTGAAAACAAGTGGATTTAGGTCTTGTCTGGGCCAGACTCAGTCTTACACTGAGTGTGTAAGAAGCCACCACAATCCAATTAGGGCAGGCACATACATCCCAGACTTCGTTTATCCCCATGTCTGAACAGCCAGGAGATTTAACCGGTCACCAATCCTGCAATGTTTGGGAGCAGCTCAAGCATTAATCTACAGGGATCCGTTTTGCTGAACGTGAACAAAGCCAGGATTAACAAGCTGACTCAGATTTGCTAGGTCAGACTGGAGGCGGCCCAAATCAGGGCTGTTCCCAAAAAGTCTGAGCTGCTTTGTTCAATTGGATGGGCAATGCCAGCTGCTGATGGATTGGGCAGACACACACACCAGGGTCATTCCTGGTCTTCTTTACCCTGGGCTTTTGCAACAGAGGCTGCCAACTATAAATGCAGAAGAGGGAGAGGGGAAATCCTTGCAAGATGAGGAGAGAAAAGTGACTCCCACCCCCTGTAGTGGCCTGTTCTCTCCTTCCTTGCTGAAAACTAACACACAAAAGAAGAATTCACGGACAGCTATGAAGATTTCAAGCTCCCAGTCCCAGCAAGTAATCCCTCGGCATGTTATGAAATGGATCAGACAATTCCTGACTCTTCAGAGAGGCCACCAAAAGCCTGAGGTGGCTACAGTGGCTTTCCTCCCCACAGCAGGGCACCTACCTTCTTCTTTATGGTCATAGCACTGCGCAGGTGGATGGCGAGCTGCCGGATATAGATGAAGGCGTGCTGGTAGGAGATGTTGGTGTCCAGGGCATACATCTCTGTCAGCGTCCGCTGCATGAAGTTGATCATGGGCAGCACATTGGGAGAAGTAAATCTTGAGTTCTTCACAAACGAGATGTACATTTGCTGTTGGGGAAAGAGGATGATGTACTTGTTGTCAGAACAAAACCAGTGTTTTACCGACCTTCCCCACTCAGGCGTTCCCAACCACCTGCAAAGTGTTCCTTTAAAAAACAGACATTTCACAAAAAATATTTGAAGAGAATTCAGTCTACTCCTCTCCAAGGAAAGAGTCAGAATCTTTTCTCACTCAGACATTGTTTAGCAGAGCTTAGAAACGTCCTTGCCATTGCTCCTCCACAGGAGGAGGAAGGAGCTGCAGGATGGCTTTGAGCCACACACGCTGCAGGCTGGTCACAGCAGTTAATGCAGCTCTCTGGTAACAAACAGTGGTAACAAAGCAAACTACACTTGGGAGCCTCGGCCATTAGCTGAGAGCAGCACTGAGTAGCGTGTCAGCACTTGAAGAAAGCCCTTGAGAGGCTGGAGGATGAGTATTCAGCCAGCAGACAGGCAAGTACCAGAGGCATTCTCTGTGAAGCCCAGGCCTGCGTGCCTCTCGCAGGAACAACAGCAGCGAGCAGGAGACTCTGACCTGCAGAATTTCTCCCATTTTACATTGCAGGGGAGCCAGCACCTTGCCCTACCTCAGAGGCTGCCCTAAGTTCTTTGCATTTGACTTCAGAAAAGCTGCAGAGCAGAGGAAACAGCAGGCTCACCTTCAGCAAGGTGTGCAGGTACGCGTCTTTCTTGTGGCGGCAGATCTTGTTCAGCACGAGGAAGGCCAGCACTCTCACGGTTTCCTCGCCCGTGCTCCACAAATGAACTACTCGCTGGGAAGGGAAACCCACAGATAAGCATCCCAGCCTCGCCCTGCTACAGCTTTTCATTTAAACATCACCCCCTTGTTGCCCTCTTTCGCTCTTTTCCGCCCCCATTGTTGTTCTTAAGCACTCAGCAGTTGTGACTAAGTTTCTGCAAAAATATTCCACCCACAGCACGGAGTGAAATGCTATCACAGACACACACAGACTCAGGCAGCAAGCACTCCATCTGCAGCAGGGAAGCAGACAGCTTCCCCAGAACACCCCCGTGTCACTTAGCGTAGGGACTCGCGCTGAGTGCACACATTTTGCTCACTCAGCTTTCCCTGAAAGAGCTCCACGGCACTCACAAACCTGGAGGAGAAAGCACAAATCCCCTCTGGGACCAGAAGAAAAGCGAGGGAAGAATGCAGGAGACTGGACTGTCATGTTTGGGGTCCAAATACCATGAGGGGCTCGTTTGGAGGGGTGAAGAAAGTGCTTGAGAGCTACACGAAGCACCACAGCACGCAGCCTTACCTTGAGAAGTATACGGCACTGCTTTGGGAAGGTCAGGTAATAAGGCACTGTGGCATTGACATGCTGAAGGACCGCTGCTCCAACAGAGGCTTCTGTTAAACAAGACAGGAGCTATAAGGGAAAAAAAAAACAAAATCCTAGTTAGTATAGTCCTCCTCACATCTTCCTTTAGCATTTATAGCATTGGTATTTTGCTGTTCCCAAGTAATTCTGGGCTCCAAAGGACTGGAAGAACAGCCCAGCAGGAAGCTGAAAAAAACCAAGCTGTATTCGGAATGGAGCAGGTCCACAGCAGGTTAAATAATTCCCCTGAAGGAACAGCATCTTAGCAAACAGGAGCTCAGGCTACCAGCACCTGAGTTCATCACTTAAAGCCTCACTCAGCTGTACTGCAACAACTCCATCTCCACGAAGCTTCCAGCTTCTTACAGGCAGCGTGACACTGATGCCATTGTCATCTCACCACAGATGGCCGAGGCGTGATGAAGACACTCTCAGTCTACACACAGCTTGCTCGGAAGCAGACCATCTGAGCTGCCTGATGACTTCCAGTGCTTCACCAGATTTTTTTCAGGGGAAGCAGGAATGCTACCGGGTATCTAGAGGTTAATTCGAGCTCAAGAAAAAGGTTTAAACATCATCTTGGTATATCCGGGTTGTTCAGCTCAGTTCCCCTGCAGCCAAACCCAAGCACAGAACTTTGTGCTTTCTAATTTAAGCTCGAAGTCATCTCAATTTCAAAGAAGTTCTGCACAATGGAATATCCACTCCTGCCTGAAATCCCAACTGCTGTAAGCAGAGACATTTTTCTAACTTTGCTTTCTTTCTCATTCTCCTCCTTGCACTGCAAGGACTCTGCAGTGAACAAGTCTCCTGCAAGGTCCCTCACACAACAAAAAGAAAACACTTTTCAGAAACTATCATGCCAGAAAAACCCTGCCACAAAGCATGAGGACACTCAGAAGGAAGCACAGGACCAGGAATTATTTCCATCACTGGACTGCCAGCTTTTCCTTTTCTTCTGCAGCCTTTAGTTCTGCTGCTAAGAAGCACCACAGCTTCAGGAAAAAGCTCTGCTGATCAAAAGGCTGTTTCTGCTAAGTCATCCTGCCCTCATTACCTCACAGCAATAAGGCATCAGCATCCCCCCCTTATGTTCCCTGCCCTCAGTTTCTGAAGAATGTTACAGCGATACTGTTAGTTTTGTATTTTTTATGTCCCATACTTGGGGATGTTACAGCTTTCCACCTTCATATTTACTACAAGAAATGGCAAGATCATAACACCAAAATATGCATTAGAAATTCAGAATGCTGGAGCACAGCACTGACAACCACATGGACACTAATTATTTTGGCAGACAAATTAAGGCAAAGAATTGCCAGAAGGTTTAACTAGTCCTTCTTTACAGACTACCTATTTTCAACCAGTTATTCTATAGAGCTCTGTGCTATTTGTTAGACCAAAAACCTCCAAAAACAAGAGACATGCAGACTCACAGCTCACAAGTGCCCAAAGCCCCCAGATGCACTGAGACTGCGGAGGGCAGAAATAATCTCAGTGAATAAATTAATAATAAGCCCACTGATGCACAGATGAACCCTGAGAACACAAACATGCTGGAATTTCTTACTTGGATTGTACAGGTCAGGTACATTCTTATGTCCAGTCGCAGCTTGCTCCAAATTGGGCTGCTGGAAGGGAGGACCAACCTGGAAGGAAACAAGAGTTGAGTTTAGCTTTAAAAAAAAAAAAAACACAAATTAATGCTTCAGTAACAGAACAGGGAGTTCGCTTTCTTAGCATTGTCAATGAGTAAAAAAAACTGCTTGTAAAGCAAAAATAAAAAAAAAGTAATGATTTTGTCACAGATGCAGAGACGCACTTCTCACAGCATTACAAAATTTGATTCAAGGCAGAGTTCAGCTTCCCAGCCAGGTACCCAGGTCTCAGACTGATTCAGGGAAACTAACGATAACCAGGAAATTGTTATTCCTGGGATCAGTCTCTTCCAAGCTTTTGGCATTGCACTTACAAAGTAGCGGCCTTAAGCCACCCCAAAATTCAAACTCAACCTACACCAGCCAGGCTCGTGCAGCAGAAAGGTAGAACTGGAGCTTCTAGAACTAAAGCCCCGCCAGCTTTCTCTCACCAGCAGTTCTCAGATCTCCTCAGACTTACTTTTGTTTGTTCTTCGGGGCTTTTATAAGCAGCAGCTCTTGCAGGCAGTGGAAGAGGTCCCGGACACAGAAGGACACAAGGGCATTGAACACTGTTTAAAAAAAAAGTCAAAAAAGCATTTTTAAGTGACCTTCCACATATTCCTGGATTCTCAGCTAACCTGAAAAGAGCTCTCTAAGGAGATGAAGCCACCGGAGCCTTCTCTACTCTCCACGTGAAGAGCACCAAGCACAAAAGCAGCCCGACCCTTCACCAGTGCTCTGCCCCAAAACATAACGGGGATTCATAAATACTTTTTAAAGGGTTGCATAGGTACCTTTTATAGGGTCACATGGGTTATAGAATGGGGTAAAAAGACAAAACAGCTCAGTAAAATTAGTTCTAAGAGGCCACAGCAAGAAGCAGCAGCAAAAGTTGTCCAAAGAACTTCAATGTGAGGATTTCAACAGAACTAACTTTGCTCCAAGAGATATAATCCCACTCCCACGAACATGAAGATAAGCCACTCACATGAAACTTACCCTTCCACAGGCTTTGTTAACTCCTGTCTGTACTTATTCTTTTCTAATAGCTGACATTCCCCTTCCCAAATGAGCTATGGGTACATTTCACACAGAAGCACGGCAATCAACTCACCTGCAGCATCAATGACTTTGTACTTGCTAGGGTCAGCCCCGTCATTATCTCCTTTGGTAGTTGCTACGGCCGCTTTGAATGCTTGAGTGATTTCATGGAAGAGCTTTGGTGTTAGCCGTCTCTGGGGAAAGAGCAAGACAAGCAATAGTCAAACTCTGAAGCACTCCTGGGACAGGAGAATTGGAATTACTGGAAGCTTGGTTGCAAAAATAGCTCCATCCTTTCACGTGAAGAAAGGTGTGAAGACAGTTAACAAATGCCAGCAGCCTTCACTTGCTCTAAAATAGGTTTCTAGGACATTTAATTGGTTGGGGGATGAGGAACAGAGACCTAGCTGCAAGCAATTATCCAGCCTGACCTTTCCCTCCCCCTCTTGCAGGCAGCAAGCTATTTTATCATTGCTCAAAATGGGACTTCAGAAAAGTTCCTGGAACTGTCACAGACACAGCACTTAGCAAGGCAGTGAACAAGAATTAATCATCCTGTCTTTTTCTGAGCCGTTCCAGTTTCTCCAGCTTCCCCCCTCTGACAGAGTCAGAGTAATCTTGCAGCCCAAGCAAAAATTGCAGACAAATCATATCGAAATCACAAGAAATCTACAGGCAGGACTGTCACCATCTCCTCCGTACTTGTGAAATACGAACAAAACCAAAGGTGGTCTTTTAGAGGTGGTGACACGTGGAAGAATGTTAAAGGAGAACACTCCAGTGCCTTGTATTCTAGCTCCCTGCTCACCTCCGCAGCTTTCTTCCATTCTTCAACCATCTTCAAGCTGACAGGAATGGTATCAGCTTTCTTATGTTTGGCTGTTTTACGTTCGTCTTCATCTTCGTCTTCATCGTCTTCATCTTCATCACTCGCTTCCTAGAAAAGTTTTTTATGAAGACTGAGTAAATGCTTACAGACTTATTTTCTAGCCCTGCCTCTTTTGCTGAGTGGCTGCTGAAGAGGAGAGCAGGCAGCAGCAATTGTTATTAATGCTGTTAGCAGTGCTTTGTGTAAAGCACTAACAAAATTAAGGTTACCACAAATTCCCCAAAAAAGCTCCTCCCTGGGCCACCTGCACCACCATAGGCCCCACTACACTTTGTCCCTGCACTGAAACTCAAACACTTAACATGTACTTGATTGATTTCAGCTGAAATAATTGGTTCCAGCTGCCTAAATTAACACCTGGTACCTCCAGCGTGTCAGGTGGTACATGCAACCTCTCATCGTCCTCATCAGAGCTGTCTGAGGCATCAAAGTTCAGCAGAGTGCGGTCGTTTTCTTCCAAAAACTTGTAGAACTCAGGGTCTTTTTCCTTCAGCCGGGAGAGCTGGTCTTTGTGCTCGGAGGCCTTCCCCTTCTTCCTGGTAGATGAGAATTAATGGGTGTTAATTCATTAATTCACTGCTGGAGCTTCTGCTGGGGCTGGAGGGAAAGCACACAGCCTGGTAATGAGGTGCAGCTGGGACTAACGGGAATGGTGAGGGGTTTACCTGCTGGGCTCCCACCTGAACACTTTTAACACACATTTTGGAGGGCTTGTTAAGGAGTGCTTTAATTGGGGATTAAAGAAAGCTGAAGCTTAATTGAGGGGTGGGAACAGCTGAAGCTTGTGGCAGACTGGGGCTGTGCTGGGCTGATGGAGGTACCGGCTAGAGGTCCTGAAGAGCAGTTTATGAAGGAAAAAGTCATTTTTTTTAATTTTTCAGGGTTATTTTTACAATTTTTTTAAATAAAAAGCACTGAAACATTGATATTTAATAGCGAAGAACCCAGAAACCCACCCCACGCGAGCAACCTGACGGCAGACCCTCAGCAAAGCCCCCCTTTGACACAAAACCTCCCATTTCCCACCCATTTTTGGCTCCCGGGCCCCGCAGCCCGGCCCTCACCTGGGGCCGCCTGGGCCCGGCCCCGCTCCCGCTGCTTCGGCCTCGGCCTCGCCTCCTCCTCCCCCTCCTCATCGCCGTCGGGCTCCGACTCGAAGCCGTCCGCGAGGAACTCGTCCACGCTCAGCTCCGCCAGGCTCCTGCGGGCCGGGAGGGAAGGGGTTAAAGGGGTTAAAATGGGGTAAAAAGGGGTTAAAAAGGTTAAAAAAGGGGAAGGGGGGGGGGGCCAGGCCCAGGCGCTCACCTCCTCCCGCTGCCCGCCATGCTGCCGCCTGTCCCACTTCCGCTCCCACAATGCCCCGCGGCGGGGAGGGGCGGGGCTAAAACCTCCTGGGGGAGGGGGCACCGTAATGAAGGCGGAGCCACGCCCACTGAGAGGAGGCCACGCCCACTGAGAGGAGGCCACGCCCACTACGAGCGAAGCCACGCCCACTAAGCCCGGACGCGGCGGGCTCCTCTTATAGCCACGCCCACCAACACCGAAGCCACGCCCACTCTAGGCGTAGCCACGCCCACTCAGCGCGAGGCCACGCCCACTAAACCCGAACTAATTCAACTCACCTCGAAGCCACGCCCACTCACCCCTTAGCCACGCCCACCACCCCTAAACCACGCCCACCTCCCCCTAAGCCACGCCCCCTTGCGGGCCTTTCCCCTTCTGGTCCCCTCCCTAAGCCCCGCCCCTTGCCCCGCCCCGGCGCGGGCAGAGCGGAGCCCGCAGCCCCTGGGCACCGGCAGCGGGGCCGTGAGTAGGGGCCGGGGGGGGGGGGGTATGGGGACCACCGGGGGTTTTTTTGGGGGGGGAGGCGCTGGGACCCCCCCCGTGTGCAGCCACCCCCGGGGGGGTGAAGGGCACCGGGATTGCGGGGGGAGCGGGATTTGGGGCGGGTTTTGGGGGGATTTTGGGGGTTTTTAGGGGGTTTTGGGGGGGTTTTGGGGTTTTTGGGGTTTTTTCCTCTCTGCGGTGGGTGGTGGGAGGTGTGTGCCCCGCTATGGTATCCTCAGGCCTGGGGTGTTCGCTGTTTGGTTGGGGTATGGGGGGGGGTTGGTAGCCCCCCCGGTAGGGTTTGGGGTTAGGAAGGGGTATAAAGGGTGGTTGGGTTTTTTTTTTGGGGGGGTCACCGTCACCGCCAGCAATGGGGTTCAATGGGGATGGAGCCCCCGAAAGGGGCACGGTGCTCCCGGGGTGATTCAGCACCGGGAGGGTGAGCGGAAACCATCGGCTTTGGGGGGGGGAGGGAGGAAGGATGGGGACCCCCCATTAGGGTCCGGTACGACCCCAATGAGCAGGGGTCAGGCCCCAGCGGGGCTGGTTTTAGGGACGGGGGTGAGGGGGGGTGAGATGTTGTAGGGGACCTCACGTGCCTGTGGACGCCGGTTCCCCAGCCCCCACGTGGGAAGGTTTCCTGCTGTTTTCGTGGTTTTTGGGGTCAGGGAGGGGGGTTTTTGGTAAATCCCAGCCATCTGCTGGCAGCGGAGGAGGATGTTCGGGGGAGAAGTTGTGCTGCAGGACGAGGACGGGGACGTGGAGGGGCTGCGGGCACCCTGGGGTGCTGATGGGGTGCAAGGTCTGGTGTTTGGGGCGCTGCAGCGATCCCCTATATCGAGCTTTCCCTCCTGGTCTGGTGGAGATGCGTTCAACGGGGCAACATCATGGATGTTTTGGGTGTAAAAATGTGAATTTCCATCCCGAGGGCTCACCAAATATCCAAATCAGGAGCTGGCGGGGGTGGTGGTAGCCCCCAACCTCTAGGGTTGGCCACCCGGGATCCCAATGGGGTCGCTCCTTCGTGCCTGGGGTTATGGGGAAGGTCTCTTGATGTCCCATCTGTGGGTGGTGGCCGGTCCTTTACAGCTCCCCCAGCGAGAGGTTTTTTGGGGTTTTTCCCCTGCATCCCCACCTCGCTTCCATCGCTCACACCAGTGCCAAGGACACGAGGCTCCAGGGGGCTGCCCCCGGAGGGGACGGAGCTGTGGGGATGCCGGGAAGGGGCATTTAGGACGTTCCCAGCCCTTGGTGTATGCAAAGGGCTTTGATTTTGCTCAGATTTTGGGGTGCTTTGTGCCTCGCCGCAGCTGGACACCCGCACATTTTGCACCTCCAGGCCTCTTTACAAGGGACTTTTTCCATTTCTTCTTCCTCCCCGGTGTGGGAAGCCAAAATTATTCGGGTCCTGGCCCCGGTGTGACCCAGGGGTTGGCACAGGCGCCCCTAAAATCCCTCAGCCACGCAGCCCTGCCCGGAGCTGCTGCCGTCCCCTCCCTGCAGGGCGCTGCAGGGGAAGGAGGAGCTGGAGAGGGTGCACGAGAAGGGTTTTTGCCCGGGTGGGCACTGAGCGAGCCAGGCTCAAAACCTTTCTTTTTTTGGCTACGGGAACGTCCTGGTGCCGAGGTTCTGCCTTGCACCCCCAAATTTGCTTCGGGGGATGAGCTGGGGGGAACCAGGAGCTGCTGGGTGCTGGGTCCCCAGATGAAACACCCCGGGAGGAATGGGAGGAGAAGCTTCCATCAGCCCCGTGTGTGCACCAGAACCTTACTGGTTCCAGCCCGGGGAGCTGCTGGCGAGGTCGATGTGCTCAATGCCCTCCCCTGCCCTCCCCAACCCCCTCGCCGAGGCTCCACGTCCTCCCTGGCAGCTTGTCACTTCTCTGCAGATGTCTAGACAGGAGGATTCGGCGCGTGGCAGTTGTGCCTAATTCATTAAAAAATAAAAAAAAAATAAAAAAAAAACACAACACCCTACGGAGAGCTGGGGATTCTCAGCCCTGCTGGCTCAGCGCAGATTTACGCAGGATCCACGGCCTGAGGGTTTGGGGGACAGGAGGAGGGGAAGGTGAAGGGGTTGGGATCGAGGTGCACATCATAGCAGCCAGCTGTCCTTGGAGCTTATCGCAGCTCCTGCCCTCCACGGTGCCCATCGGGAGCTGGGAGAGGGGCACCAGGCACCCGAGCCCTGGTGCCAAGGCCGGCTCCGTGCCCCCTTAGGTCGTATTTCCAGCAGGAGTTGCAGTCCTGATGTGTGTATGGGATTGTTTTAGGGGTATTTACTGCCATAAATCAGTGCTGGTGGTGGCTGGACCCGCAGCTTGTAGAAAAAAACGAAAAAAAAAAAGGAATTTGGGATGCCTGATTTGGGGCAGGAAGGGCAGGTGGGGTTTGTCTGCTCGGCAAAACAGCCCCGGCGTCTCCGAGCTGCCTGCTGCGAGAGGATTACTGATGCAAAAATCCTGCTAGTCATCCTAAAGCTCCTCCGCACCGGCTTCAGAGCCGCGGAGGGGATTCACCGAAAGGGGCTGGCTGCGCACGGAGGAGCCCTGCGCCCCGCGGGACCTCCGCAAAGCCCCGAGGAAGGGGAGAATTTGGGCCGGCAACCTTCCCGGCTGGGTGTCCGGGTGCTGCTCCGTGCCCCCCTTTGCGGCAGCACAACAGCAGCTATTGTTGCTGCCGGCTCAGCTGCTCGTGTCTTATGACTGCTGAAGGGAAGGAGAAAGAAGTCCCCGGGAGCACATCCTCTGCCTGCTCCAGCGGGGAAAAAAGAAGCTCCTCGCGATGCTGGGTGCACCCAGGGGTTCCCCGTGTCCCCCTTTTGGGGCTCTTTCCCTGAGTTTTTCCATTTGTCCGGGCTCCTTGTATGCAGGAGAACAGCCTGGGAGCCCTCTCGGAGGGGCTTAAAATAATAATTCGGAGAGATTGGGGTAGGGGAGAGGAAAATGCACTCGGAAGCAGCAATTCTCTCCTTTTTGACCCCACCACCAGCTCCTTCCTCCCCAGCCTCCCCGCCCGTGCAGGGCGAGCCTTGCTGTGCGTGCCCAAAGCAGGGCTGTGGAGCTGGTTTCCTCAAAACGGGGATAGCAGGGACAGGGCGCACGTGGGAGGGAGGGATTTGGGCATCAAATGCGTCAGGCCTTGGGGAATATCGTGCCCTAGAGGAGGGCACAGCAGCACCTTGTCCCCAGCACCCGGCCAGCTGCACAGGATGTCTCCCCGCTGGCCCGGCGGGCACAAACTCTCCATCCAGGGCCACCAACAAAAAACCTTTCTGCAGGGCCTTCCTGGGGAAAGGGCAGCCCCCGAGCTTCTCCCGGGAGGATGCTCGGTGCCCTGGCTGTTGCTCAGCACGCTGCCTTTCACTCTCGGCAAAATATGTTTTATTTTTTTTTGTGTGTGTGTGCGAAGCGAACAGGCCTCCCTTTGGGCAGGGATCGTTTGCATTAATTAACGGAGCCGTTATGCACGGCCACGCTCCGTCGCTTGGGAGCCAAACAAACGCCTTCTTTTTATTTTATTTTTTTAATTTTGTCCTAACCTAGGAGTCAGGACAAGTCAGCCGCTGCGGAACACGTGCGCCCAGGCTGCCGCGTGCTCCACAAAAGTGGGCTTGTGTTTGCATCCCCCCCGCCGGAGCCCTGGACACTGCCTCCCTGTCTCTCGTGGTCCAGGCGCTGTTCCCCGTTAATTATATCTTTGCCGGGCTTGTCTCCCTTCGTTTCCTGGGAACGAGGGTTTAGAAGGAAATGAGGAATATTTAGTGCCAGCGAGGCTGGGAGCTCGGGGAGCAGCAGTGGGGTGTCCTCTCCATGTTCCCCCCCTGCTGATTATATCCTGGCTGGTTAAAGCCAAGAGCTCGGATGGGAACGAGTCATTTCAGAGCAGAAGGAGCCCTGGGGATGGGGCTGTACCCGCTGCAAGCCTTAAACCAGCCCCATGCCGGTGGTCTCCACGTTTTGGGATGGGGACCCTTCCCCACGGAGCCTGCGGGGCACAACCCATGGAGCAGGGCATCAGCTGCCGGCCTGCCTGCTTCGGTAACCCTGCAGAGCTTGGTGTTTCTATCATTTTAGGTGGTCGTGGCTGGTGTTTTTCTGGCATTTGAAATGGGAACGTGATTGTGGTGCCCCCCTGGCACAGCAAATCAGCCTCCTAGGGTTGGTCATCGTGATTCACCTCTACGTGCGCTGGTGCACGCTGCCAGGAGGGGGGAGAGGCTCTGCAGGAGCTGTTTCCCTCTGCAAATCCTCAGGGAGGGACTGTCCCGTGGGCTGGGGATGCTCTTGGGATGCCGGTGGCACTGGGGTGGCTGGGATGGGATCTCCCTGGGGTGCTGCTCCCTGCCTGGTCGCTTCGTAGCTGGCGCCGCACGGGGCAGCAGGGGCGCGGGGGGCACCGGTGGGGCTTCGCTGAGCTCTTCGGAGGCTCACTGCAGGGAGAGATAATGTCCCCCTTGTCACTCCCGGCGTTTGTACTTGCCCAAAGTCACGCAATGACTCAGTGGCAGGGCTGGGAAGAGAGCCCAGGACTTCCGACCCTCCTTGGAAACGCATCTGGTGGCTGGAGCCGGGGATGCGGCGGCATCACGGGAACCTTCAGCCCGCCGTGTGCGCCCTCGGTGGCTCTCCCCGCTGCTGGAGCCGCCTCGTGTGCTGCCCTCCAGCCTGCCTGGGGAGGCACAGCATCCTCACGGGGCTGCCAGCACGCCGAGCAGCACCCCCAGCTCCCTGCACACCTCTCCTCTCCTGTTTTATGCCCTGGCACTGCTCGGGGGGGCTCTCGGTTACAGCTGGGGCACCGCCGCCGTAGCGATGGGGAGCAGCGTGCTCGGGGGGGGCATCGCACAGAGAATCAGGCTCACAGCTAATAAAGGAGAAGCAATGTCTGTTCTCTGCCTCTAAACCAGGTCTGGGAAGGGAGCTGCTGAGCCCGGAGAGATGCTAAAGTGCCTTCGTGCAGGCACCTCTCGCCGCGGTGTCCGCGCGCGTTACCTGGCGCACATGGGGTGTCCCGGGGACGTCACAGCTTTCTGAAAGCTCAGCTGAGGGGCTTGAGAGGAGAAGGCCAGTTAACGCTTGGGATCCTCTTCCCTTTCAAGGGCACAGCAGCATCCTGCTCTCACTGCTGGGAGGCGTTCCTTGTGTGCCCCTGAATCCTCCTCGCTGTCACTGCCACGGGGAATCTCATGTCGCACTGATGATGCGAGGAGAAGAGGGCATCGCAGGCCTCCCTCCCGCTCTGAAAAGCTGTTTATTCATCTTTTTCCCTCCCCCAGACTCTCGTACACGACACAACTGCTATTTAAAAATGGATGGATGGCTGCTTTCGTGGCTGAGCAGGCACAGCGTGGTGGGCTTCTATTTTTAGGCCGAGCGCGGCTGGCGACGTGGAGGTGTCGCGAGGAGCAGGGAGGCGGAGGGGATTCTCTCGCCGCAGGGATGCGGGGGCAGGCGATGAGCGCAGCACGCTGCCTTTCTTCCTCCCAGCTGCCTTTTTCTCCTGCTGCCTCCCCCGGCTCCCTCCTGCTGCTCTCTTGTTCCCTCCCCACTCCCCCAGCTTGCCTTTGGGTGCCGCTGGCAGGGAGGCAGCCAAATGCCTTTTGAAACGCAGGCAGGAGCCTAGATGCTCACAGCATGGAAAGGAGAAAAAAAAAAAACACATCTTTGCACAAAGAAATGCCCTTGTTTAGGCATTTTTTGTTTTCTGAGAGCTCAGCAAGCTCACGCTGCTGCTCCCTGCGTGCCCAGAGGCGTGCGCGCAGGCTGAGCTCTGCATCAGGTCCCGGCCACCCGGTCTCTGTCCTTTGCTGTCTGTCCGTCCTGTCCTCCTCATCAAACGAGCGCTGTTTGAAGCCCAGGGCTGGCTGCTGGAAGGACAACATCAGCCGGGGATGGTGCAGGGGGGCTCAGGGCTCTGCTTTGCCCCTGCTGCCCATTGGGACCGGAGCTGCGGTGCTGCAGCAGGATGGTCCGGGGCAGCCCTGGGGTTGGATGTGCCTGGTTAGAGGACACGTGGGGGGAGTGAGACCAGCACGTTAAAGCCTGTGTTCCCTGTTCCTGTAAAGGAAAGCTCAGTCTTTGTCCAAAAAGAGGCTTGAAATATAAAAAATTGAGAGAATTGAACCCCAAATCTGCCGGGTTCTGTGCTGGGGCTGTGCAGCTCCGTGCTATGATTGCCTTTGCCCTCTGCCTTGTCCTCCTGAATTGTTTTTGGGCAGCTCTTTGGGCTTCAATTTTGAGGGCAGGTGCACCACAAACCTCCTGGCGTCTTCTGGAAGCAGGAAGAGAACCAGCACAGCTCAGAGGGCTGTGGTCCATAACGCCCCTCTCACCTTTGGGATCACGGCATTCCCTGCTTGTGGTTTGCTCGGTCTGCCCCGGGTTGTCGTGGTCGCTGTCTCGAGGGGTTTATTTAAAATGTGTTCGCTCCATGCCTGGTGGGACTTGTGAGACCAGTGCTGGGGATGTGATGGAGACGCACACGGCCAGGCTGATTTGGAGGTGGTGCAGCTGTACGGAAAACCAGCGGGATCACGTACATAAAGCAGTGCCCTTCCGAAGGCGGGGAGGAGGATATTGATCCAGAGACGAGCACAGCAGGGAGGCAGTGGGTGCCAGCACTGCCACAGCGCAGCGAAAAGCCTCGGCATCACCTTGCACGACTCCTGTCCCTCCAGGGACCGTCCCCTCCCTGTTCCTTAGGAGCAGGGTGCTGCTTCCCTGGCAGGAGCTGCTCTTGCTCGGGGTTTTGGAGGAGGGACCCATGGGAACCATCGGGGTCTGGAGCTGTTCTGGGTAATGCTTTATTTCTCCTCGTCTCAGGGACGCTGAGAAGGGAGATCCCAGCGCCCACCCGCAGCCATGGAAGGCGGCGTGCAGCTCCTCAACCGCGACGGCCACAGCATCTCGCACAACTCCAAGCGGCACTACCACGACGCCTTCGTCTGCATGAACCGCATGCGGCAGCGCGGGCTGCTCTGCGACATCGTGCTCCACGTGGGCACCAAGGAGATCAAGGCCCACAAGGTGGTGCTGGCGTCCTGCAGCCCCTACTTCCACGCCATGTTCACGAGCAAGTAGTCTTCCTCTCTTCTTCCTCTCCCCTCCGTGGCACGGTGCCCCCCAGCTCCCCAAACTTTTTTTTTTTTTTTTTTTTTTCCCGCAATCCCCTTCCCTTTCTGCCCTCCTCCTGCCTCTTCCTGCGGGGAGGCAATCCCGCTGAGGGGGCTTTCTCGGTGTGTTGCCCCCAGATGAGATGAGCGAGAGCCGCCAGACCCACGTCACGCTGCACGACATCGACCCGCAGGCCCTGGAGCAGCTGGTGCAGTACGCGTACACGGCCGAGATCGTGGTGGGCGAGGGCAACGTGCAGGTAGGAGCCTCCCCCGATCCTTCCTCTCCACGAAGCTTACCTCCTGGGGCTCTTCTCGGGATTTTGGGCTGTTGTTCTGTGGTGCCACCTGCGTTGAGCAGTGGTCGGGGAGTTCCTCTGCCCTCCTGAGCCCGGAGATGGGGTTTGTGCAACTGCCTCCTTAAAGCAATATGGCAATGATGCTCTAGCCCCAATTATCTGCCATTTCCTAGCCCTTTAGGGTATTGTGGGCGTCCTTCTTGGCTCTTCCTTCTTTTTTTGTCGAAAACAAAGACTATCTGTCCTCTATGTGCTTTTGTGCATGAAGCCGCTCACTAAACCTCTTCTGCCATTGACCTGCAGTGGGACGAGGGTGAAAATGGTGTTTCCTTGCCCTGGAAGCTCCTTTTTTCCCCATTCTTTTCCACTGCCAGACACTTCTTCCCGCTGCCAGCCTGCTTCAGCTGAATGGTGTGCGGGATGCTTGCTGCAAGTTCCTCCTGAGCCAGCTCGACCCATCCAACTGCCTGGGGATCCGGGGCTTTGCCGACACGCACTCCTGCAGCGACCTCCTCAAGTCTGCCCACAAGTACGTCCTCCAGCACTTCGTGGAGGTGGCCAAGACAGAGGAGTTCATGTTGCTGCCCCTCAAACAGGTGAGGTGCTGCTGGAGAGGTGAAGGTGTGAGCCTGGTGAGGCTTTGCTTGGTTTATCCTGGAAGGCATGGCCAGGAGCCCGAGGGACCCACGCAGAGGGGACAGGGTTTGGCAGGGAAATGTAGCCAGAATCTGTGCTTTGGTCCTTTCTGTTGGATGGGGAAACAATACGTGGAGGAGTGCTGCCAGACAGTGAGCTGAATCCCCTGTGAAATAGGGCCAGGAGGCTCGCAGGGAGGATAATTGCTGGTGCTGGTGCTTGCCATGGGAGCTCCGGGTGCTCTGCCCTCTGCCTGGGAGCACAAAGGGACACGTCTCCCCCATCCGTCCTCGGGGCAGAGGGCAGGGAGCATTTCTCCACCTGCTCCAGCTCTGTCATCCTTTGGCAGGCGAAGCGAGCCTGCTGGGAACAGCCAGGGCACCTGGCTCCATCCCATGAAATATTGAAGGGACGCGTGCGGGCAGAGTCGTCTGCCTGAGCTCACTGATGCTGATTGGAAGTGTCAGGCACTGCAGCAGCTTCAGACACAGAAAAGGGGGGAGGGAAAACGAGCCGAGGAGGGTGGCTGAGGGCAGAGCTGGCTCCGCACCCGTGCTGCAAGATCCTTCGGATCCTTCATCCAGCGGCTGTGCACCCGTTGACCATCAGCACCTGCAGGAGGCCACTCTCTGCCCCTGCCAGTGCTGTTCTGCTGGCTATTCACCCATCTGTGGGAATAAATCCCTTGGTCCCACGCTGTGCCAGCTGCGATTTGCCTTTTCCATCCCTCCCTGCAGGTGCTGGACCTCATTTCCAGCGACAGCCTCAACGTGCCGTCGGAGGAGGAGGTGTACCGGGCCGTGCTCAGCTGGGTCAAGCACGATGTGGACAGCAGAAGGCAGCATGTCCCCAGGGTGAGGGGCTCTGCTGGGTTCAAGCCAGCTCCCAGCCTCTGTCGGGGTGGAAACATGGGGCTGGAGGGAGCTGTGGGGTGGCCAGAGGGCAGGGTGTGGGCAGCACCCTGTGTGTGGGAAAGTCTGAGCTTTCCTGTGCATTCCCCAACGAGGATCTTGAGTAAACATCAGAAACCTCAGAGCCTCGTGCCATGGGCACACTGGGTGCAGGAGGGCTCTGCAGCCCCATGGTGAGGGGTCATTGCTCACGGGATGGGGGCACCCCACTGACGGGACGCGACCCCTCTCCCTTCAGCTGATGAAGTGCGTGCGGCTGCCCCTGCTGAGCCGGGATTTCCTGATGAGCAACGTGGACACGGAGCTGCTGGTGCGGCACCACTCGGAGTGCAAGGACCTGCTGATCGAAGCCCTCAAGTACCACCTCATGCCCGAGCAGCGAGGGGTCCTCAGCAACAGCAGGACAAGGCCGCGGCGCTGCGAGGGGGCCAGCACCGTGCTGTTCGCCGTGGGTAAGGGGAGATCACCCCTTCCGAGCGGATATCCTGGAATAAAAACCCTCTTTTGGGGGCTTTGGGGGTGTTGTGTGCTCTGCTTTGCCCTCCCGTGAGCAGGTGGGGGCAGCCTGTTCGCCATCCACGGGGACTGCGAGGCCTACGACACGCGGACGGACCGCTGGCACATGGTGGCCTCCATGTCGACGCGCAGGGCCCGGGTCGGCGTGGCCGCCATCGGGAACAAGCTGTACGCCGTGGGGGGGTAAGGACGAGGGCAGGGGGACATCGGGGGGGTGTCACCACCTCCACACGGAGCCGTCTGTGCTCCCAGCCTTGGAGGAGGCTGGGGTGGTGACAGGGTCATGGCCCTGGGTTTCAGCAGCGCGCACCCAGCCTCTCACACATCCTCTGTTTTGGTGTTTTTGTATTTTTTGTTTTATTTTTCGTTATACAGCTACGACGGGACCTCGGATCTGGCCACGGTGGAGTCTTACGACCCTGTCACCAACTCCTGGCAGCCCGAGGTGTCCATGGGCACCCGGAGGAGCTGCCTGGGCGTAGCGGCGCTCCACGGGCTGCTCTATGCTGCCGGGGGGTACGATGGCGCCTCGTGCCTCAACAGGTAGGGGATCGCCCTGCTTCGAGCTCCTCCGATGCTCTTGCATGCACTGGGGAGCCCCCACATCTGCTCCTGACAGATGTCCTGGCCCTGGCATAGATTTCTTGCAATCCAGCCAGGCCTTCCAGTGTCTTTGTCCCGGGGGAAAAGCATCCCGTAGCCCTCTCCCACCGCAGCCCGTGCCCTTTGTTAGCTCTCCCCTCCCTTTTTCCCAAATTTTCTTGAGAGCTGCCCCCCCAGGCTGTGTCAAAGGGGCTGGTGTGGGCTTTGCCAGCGCCACAGCTTGTCGTGTTCCTGTGTCCCTGCCCTGCTGCAGCGCGGAGCGCTACGACCCTCTGACCGGCACCTGGACATCCATCGCTGCCATGAGCACCAGGAGACGCTACGTGCGGGTGGCCACGCTAGGTGGGTGATGGCACGAGGACCTGGCTTCGGTGCAGGCCGTCTCCTGCCTTTCTGCTGGTTCCTTTTCGTGTTCTTCCAGTCGCTGCCTCGCCCTCCGTGGGTTCCCTAGCTGTGGGTAACCCAGCCGGCCCTCTGCTGTGTGCTCCTGGCGTGCTCCCTGCCTTTGCCTTGCTCCTCAGCCTCCCTCCCAGTTGGGTTCCAGCAGCTCCCCAGTGCCCCCCAACGTGTTCCTCAGCTCCTTTGTGCCCACTCCCAGCTCGGAGCACGAGGGCTGGCCACGGACGATCTCCCATCCCTAGCAGGGAAGGGAACACCTTACGAGTTTCCTCTTAGTTTTCCCTTTTGACAAGGATCAATTCCCTTCCTGATGATCCGAGCAGCAGTGTGGGGTCAAACCCATCTCTCCTGGGGGTGCCATGCCACGACATCTCACGACTCCAACCGAGTGACTTCTGTCCCTAAGGAGGATGTTGTGGGAGAAGCATTACTGAAGCCACATGAGCCCCATGGGGAGCAGGGGGCACCCGTGGGGGCACCCCATGCGGCATTTGTGGGGGATTATGCGGGGGCTGGGGGGGCTTCAGCTGATCCCTGCGTGTGTCTGCCTGTCTTTGCAGAAGGCAACCTCTATGCTGTTGGGGGATACGACAGCTCGTCCCACCTGGCCACAGTAGAAAAGTATGAGCCCCAGGTAAATCCGGCCTGGTAACCCTTTTCTTTTTCCCCTCCTGGTGGGTGCTCTGCAGACAGAAGGGCCATACGAGTTGCTGAAGGGGGTGGTAGAAGGCGAGAGATCTGCTCTGAATGGTTTGGAGCAGAAGTTTAAGCTGTGACCACGTCCTAGCAAAGAATTGCAGGGGCAGGGGAGCAGGAGGGGTGCCCAGCTCTGAGAGCTCCCTCTGAGGTTTTTATCCACCAGATCCTTCATGTCCTCGGTGCCCGTAGGCCAGCTCAGCTTCTCGAGGAAGAGCAGCTCTCGTTCACATCTCCCAGCTTCCAGCCCAAGGTTTTTTTGCTGCGTGCTCACCCAGGGCACTTGGCAGGGATTGCAGTCGGCTGGGGACACGCGTTGGGGCTGGGGGCTCACAGCTCTGTTCCAGCAGGCTGCAGAGCTGCAAAAAAAAAAGATCAAAAAGCAGGTCCTGGAGGTTTTCTGCGAGCTGTAAAGCCGCAGCCATGCCTTGTAGAGGTTCGAAATAGCCACGGCTCCATCCCCACGCCTGGTTTGGCTGTGCCATGCCTGGTGGCTTGGCACTGAGCTCTGCTCAGGGGGTGGCAGGGCTCCTGCCAGCTGGGGCTGTGCTTTCCCGAGCCTGTCGGCAGAGGTCTCCTGGGGCCTCACACTTCTTCCTGCTGGAGATTTGTTTCCTTTGCAAACGTTGGGTTGGTTTGGTAGCTCTTCTGGAGCCGCAGGAATGTCCCCGGACCTTGCATTCACAGTCCTCCCAGGTGCTTAACTGGGAGGGAGGGCAAAAACCTTCCCCGTGGGGGCTGTGAATGGCAATATTTTGCCTTCCTCCTTCAGCAGGAGCAAACCAACCCCATGCAGCACTCTCCGTCGTCTCGTGACATCCCCCCAAAATGTTTTTTTGGGAGGGATGAGAGGGGGCTCACAGCGTGCTGGTGTCTGCCTGCAGCCCCGCTGGAGAGCTGGCTTGGCCCCGTGGGGCTGGGGCTGAGGAGGCAGCCAGCAGTGCTGCAATCCTGCTCTCTGGGCAAGCAGCTCGTGGCCTCTGCTCCAAATAACAATATCGGGAGGGTTCCTCCTCGCTCGCCCGTTGCCCTGACCTCTTTGGATGAAGGGGAAAGAGCTGGGGGCCTGACCGAAGTGTTTTCTTGGGGGGAGGACTGTTAACTCAACATGGGTAGAGCAGGGGTGAGGGGAAGATGATTTGTACTGGGGCCTCACCAGCAAACATTGCCCCCTCCCAGATCAACACCTGGACGCCCATCGCCAACATGCTGAGCCGCCGGAGCAGCGCGGGGGTGGCCGTGCTGGAGGGGATGCTCTACGTGGCCGGTGGCAACGACGGGACCAGCTGCCTTAACTCCGTGGAGCGCTACAACCCCAAAACCAACACCTGGGAGAGCGTGGCGCCCATGAACATCCGCAGGTGAGGAGCTGGGGGCCAGGAGCTCGTCCCTCCGACAGCTTGGCCGTGTTTGGCACGGCGAGCGGCGCGCTGCAGAGCATTGCCCCAGGGGCTGGATGGCCCTGCAGCTGCCTGGCTCCGTGCTTGCTGCACAAAGGCAACCCAAGCCACACGTCCTGCTGCTCTGCAAGGCGTTTTGGGGTGTGTGTGGGTGCCTGCAGGGACTTTCTGCAGCGGGCGTTGTCTGCTGAGGAATTGATGCCTGGCTCTCTGTGTGGCTGTACAGATTTGGGTGGCGTTGCTTGGCTGCGGGGAGGATTTTAGGCTTGGAGGTCCAAGGATTGGAGGCTCCTGTTATTTAGAAATAATACTTCTGCAGCAGGAATTGGGTACTAGAGTGAGGGGAAAGCCTCAAAGCTCCGTGCTGCGCTCTGCCATGAACGCATGGTCTCTTAATGGGGCATTTATGAGGCTGGGCACCCCCTGTAATGGGGTCACAGAGCCCCCCTGCACCCCGCATGCACTGTGCTGGAGCCTCACAGCCCCGTGGTCTCTGCCCGGTCCTTCCAGGAGCACCCACGACCTGGTGGCCATGGATGGCTGGCTGTACGCTGTGGGTGGCAACGACGGGAGCTCCAGCCTGAACTCCATCGAGAAGTACAACCCGCGCACCAACAAGTGGGTGGCAGCCTCCTGCATGTTCACCCGCCGCAGCAGCGTGGGGGTGGCGGTGCTGGAACTGCTCAACTTCCCACCCCCTTCCTCGCCCACCCTCTCGGTGTCCTCGACGAGCCTTTGACAAAGGAGCAGGACCTGCCCTACCTCAAGGGGACAGGGGCGCCTGGCGGAGCACCCGGCCGCCGTGGCCCGCCCCGCGGGGCAGCCGGTCATTGTAGGAGGAGAGCGAAGGCGCCGGGTGCCACCCCCAGCCCCAACACCCCCAGGGACCCCGGAGCCATCCCCGCTTTCGTTGCACGCGTGGGACCCTCGCGGCGCTCAGAAACGTGCTTCCCGGGGGAGCACCCTCCTTCCAGGGGGCGAGGAGAGGGGGTGCCCTCCGCCCCGTCCACGGACTCATCTCAGCGCCCTCCTGAAGGGTGTGGATTTTCCTTTGGGGAGGGGAATCCCCAAACCATTGCTGCTTTTGGGATTCGGACCATCCAGCTGGTGCCACCCAGGCGAGCACAGCCAGCCGTGGAGGCTCCCCGGAGTCCCGCGGGGTGGCAGAGGTGGACGGCGCTCCTCCCGGGGCCACGGCTGAGTGTGCAAGCGCTCCTCTGAATGTCACTGTAGCCAAACTCTTTACCAAGCCTATCGTGCACTGTTAAAGACTCTGAGGCCACCGCATGGTTCTCAATGGTGTCTGACTGATGCCTTAAAATAAACGACTGAAGCCCAGCGAAGGGACGGGGGCCTGGAGGAGGCGAAGTTTGGAGGCAAAGCTGGATGCAGCATCCAGACCCCTCGGTGTTTCCAGGCTCGGCTGGCCCAACCTCATTCCCAAGGATCCCAACTGCCCGTCCTTTTGGGGCGGCCCCAGACGGGTGGATTGGCCTTGTTCGCATCGTGCCCAGGTCGATGTCCCGGGTTCAAGTGGCCGTGTGGCTGCCTGCTCCCTGCACGTGCCCCTGGTGGGAACAGATCATCCTGGCTGCTGCTCCCCTCTCTGCAAAGCAGGTTCTGGGTTCGTGGGAGGGGGCTCGGTTCCTGAAGGAGAAGGGTCCAGCCTTCTGAACAGGGAGGGTTGCCTGGTGTTACTTTTTTTTTTTTTGGTGTTCATTTTTCACCTTTTTTTTTTAATTTGAGTGCCAGTATTTTCATTTTAATTACTTCGTATCCCTTTATTTTTTTCCGCCCTGCCGGTATTCCCCATCCCATCTGCTTTCAAGGCAGCAGAAGGGATGCAATTACTTTTCTTAATGGTTGATGAGATGATGACTGTGTCCTGGAAGACGTTCTCTAAAGACGTGTGGGTGTGTGTGCGTGTGTGAGAGACCATATGTACAGCGCAAACAGCATGGAAGGGACCATGTGCAATTAGCAGCTCCCCGGCAATTAAGCAGCCACTTTACCTAAAGGTTGAATAAATTAGCACTGTAAATCACAAGCCTGTCCTCCCAGACCCGCCTGTGCCGTGGGACCTCCTGGGTGGTTGCTTAGGATGTGATTTCGGTGCCTGTGCTGCAGGGCGTGCGCGTTATAGGGGCACGACAACCCCTGGTACCTCAGCGGTGTCCGTGTGGGGCATCAGAACATGCTCTGAGCATTTGTTTGTTTTTGACTTAATGCCTTTAGCCGTGTGCCTCCGCTCCTCCTTGCTCCCCATGCACAAAATTCACGTTTTACTTGTGTTTGGCCCAAATTTTCAAGGGGCGCGGGATGTCCTGCTTTCTCTTCTCCTTGGGGTGGGAAGAGAGCTCGGGCCTCCCCAACTTCAGGCGATTTGCCCCGCGATCTGATTTCTCCCGGACAGGTGCCTGCATGTTTTACAAGCCCATTTTCAGTGCCTAAAGTTGGACACCTGAAATTACCAGCTGCTCCTGAAAACCTAGACTGCTTCCCCGCCCCCCCCGGCCTTTCCCCCAGGACAGTCTGGGCTTCTCGGGCTGAGGAGGGCATTTTGTTTCCCAGAACTGACTTGAAATCTGCCTTTTGTTCCCCTGCCACTTCCCCAGGCTCTGCTGGAGCCGGCCCCAGCTCAGCAGCTCTCCCCATCCTGCAGATTTACACCCTGCAAGTGGCCAGGAGGCTCTCGCAGGTTGCCTCTTGGTCAGCGCGGCACTGGGGCTGCCAAAAGTGGAGGCACTCGCCTGCCGTGTGTGCAGTAAGGATGAATTTGTGAAATCCACGTTGCTGTGTGTGTGAGTGTGTGCGTGAGAGAGGTCTCGATCCTTTTCTTCCCGTTCCTGTCAGCAACATCAGGATTTTAGTCTTTTGCGCATCCAAGGTGCCCTGGGCTTTAGGGTCCCCTGTACAGGAGGATCTGCTCGCAGAAAGGGGCTGGTGCTGGGACGCTGAGGCCAGTGGAAGGAACGGGAGAAGGGGAGCTGCAATCCTTAGCAATTTACTCTAGAAAAGGGGTGCAACGCTGCCCTGCCTCCTGAGGGTCAGGGGAAGGGGCAGTGGGACTCCTGCCACCCTCCGGCTGGGTCCTGAGCAATATCCCGGGGAGGAGGGAGCCCGTCGTGTCTGACATCCTAACTATGCAGGTGCTCACGGCTTTTCCCAAATGGGAAACGGAGGAAGGAAAGGGCGAAATCGTTCCCCAGAGCACCCCAACCCCACACTGTGTGGACACGAGGTGTCAGCATCTGCCCCGGGGCGATCCCGGGGCTGGAACTGGTGCTGCACGCCCCTCGCCTCGGCGGGGCTGTGCGTCTGTCTGTGTGTCCGTCTGTGCGTTGTACCCTGTCCGAGCGGGGAGGAGAACCTGTCCCGACCCTCTGCCAGTGTTAGTTCAGTGGTGTCTCGCCCCAAATATCCCTCGTGCCCTTTCCCACGTGAGTTTCCCCCCGGCTGAGGGGCGGCTGCGGGCTGGGTGCGGCGATGTGCTTCGCCCACCGACCCCGCCGAGGGTTGCAGGGGGATGGCCAGGGTGGGCAGAGCCCCGACCCCACACGGGGCAGGGGTTTGCTTGGCCATCCCGGTGGGCAGCCCCCGTCTAGCCATGTCAACCCGTCGTCACTTTGATTTCTCTGTAAGTTATCCGACTTATTTATGTGGAACTCTGTTTCTTGGAATTTTTTGCACTACGGGGGACCGGGGAGGGGATCCAAGCAATACGAGCCAACGTGGACAATAAAGATGTTTTCTTGAATACAGGATCCTGTCTTCTGCAGCCTTTCTTCTCGCTTCCCTGGCCCTGCTAACACAGAGACGGGCAGCATTGCCCCGTGCAGAGGGGCTGGGAACGTCCTCCCCAGAGCAAAACCAAGGTGAAGCTGCTGGTGGTGCTGGAGCCCACTGGGAAAAGCCCACCCCGAGCCACGGGGGCTTTAAGACAGGCTGATTTACGCCTCTCTCTGCCTTGAAATTCCACTTGGGGCTCCCCAGGAGTCCCGATCTCCAGCTCTGCTGACAGCTTTCCCCTGCAGTGGAAATGAGAACCAGCCCAGAGCCATCCCTCCCTTACCTCCAGCTGTCCTGCCCGGGGGCAGGAGCTGCTGCCTGGCCCCATGCAGGGGGGCGGCAGGGAAAGCTCAGATCTGCCTCCACGAGCTGCTGCCACTCACTGCTGGCTAGAGGGGGGAAAATGCCAAACCCATTTCATGGGGAGGGTGAAAAGGGCAAGGAGAAGCTGCGTGGCAAGGGGTAACCACATCCCGCGGGGGCCCGGAGGGGAATTTTCCCAGGCGTGCACCATCCCACCCCTGCAGCAAAGCCCCGACGGTGCACAGCAGCCGCAGCACGCCTGGCTGCTGCCCTGCCCTCCTCCTCACCGCTCTCTAGGCTCACTGCTGGGCTTCTATAAATAACGGCTGTGCTGCAAAAAGCTGCAGCCCGTCTGTTTCTGCCCCTCCTGGGAGCAGAGCTCCGGAAATTTGGGGAGCCGCCGGCCCCCGTGCGCCCGGCAGGATGGTGAGGGCAGCAGGAGGGGGGCAGCTGGAAGGTTTGGAGCTGGAAGGTTTGGAGCTGTGAGGTTTAGAGCTGTAAGGTTTTCAGCTGTAAGGTTTTCAGCTGTAAGGTTTGGAGCTGTTAGGTTTGGAGCTGGAAGGTTTGGAGCTGTGAGGTTTTATTTCGAGCAAACACGCCGGGGGAACAGCACGTTGCTGGTCACAGCGCCGATCGCGTTAGGCACGGCTCTTAGGAGGAATCGTATTTTTTCCCTGAAAAAAAACACCAGTTGTTGCTGCTGGCTGTGATTTTGGGAGGCTGCCAGCAGGCTCCGGGACAGGGCTTTGCTGTTGGAGAGGGAAAACAACTTGCAGAAGTGCCCCTGCCTAAAACATCGGGGTTTTCTGTCAGGGGACCCCAAAGAGATGCCCGGCTGCTTTGCCCAGCCGTGAAGGGTTAATGAACTCTGCAAGGCAGAGGCTGTTTTGAAAGCCAGCCGTGTGGAGGCCTTTGACAGGTTTTATGGCATGTCTGTTATCAGCAGCCTCCCCGGGCTGCTGCCGCCTGGCTGTACGACCGGCTCCGTGGGGCTGCGCTGCCTTCGGCCCCGCAGGGCTCCTCCGGCTCCCAGACGGGGCAGATGCAGAGCCCGACAAGCCCGGTGCGTCTGCGAGCTTTCACCTAGCAAACCCCAGGAGACTCAGGCAGCTCTAGGAAAACATCCTCGGCCTGTTTTGTAAACCTCTTGTCCCAGGATCTCCCAGTCTGGGAGCTGCTCCAGCCAGAAATGAGCTTTTTTTAAAAATGCGCACGCTTTGGGGTTAACCTTGTCCCACTTCTCTGCCCCAGCATCGTTTCTTTTCCCTTCCTTGCCAGCTGCTTGCTTCAGGGCTGTTCCCTACAACAAGACAGAGCTGCTGGGCTGGCCCTCGGAGCAGTGGGGAGACAAAACTGCCCCCTGACAAGCCCATAATTATGGGATCGGGCACATTTACCCCCCGAGACTGCTGTCCCCATCGGCTTCTCTCACTCCTGGCCGGTGCCGTGGTCCTGCAGGGCTCCCTGCAAGCAGACAGCGGCGATCCCAAACCTTTCCTGCTCAGGGCTTGCAAAACTCACCTGTGAATTCCCTGCGTGTTTTGTGCTTGCCTTTTCACACCCACCTGCAGCTCCAGGGAAGGAAAAGGGTTTCATCACTTGCTCTGACCGCGCTGCCTGGCTTTCCTCAATCCCTGGAACAGAAATATTTATTCTGCGTCTACCTCGTGCACTCCCATTCACGGCTCACTATTAGCATTACCACTTCCACGCAGCAAGGGGCTCACGCCACCGTCAGGAAGCTCTGTCTGGATCCTTTTGAAGTGTTTCTTCTAAAAGTAACCCTGGAGTTTTGCTTATCATACACGTCTCCGTTTGGGATTTGCTTCCGTTGCCAATTTTCCATAATTCCTACCTTTTAACGTGTGTGTAACTTCAGTATATACATTGGCTTTCCCATATTTATTTCTCTTTCTGCCGTTAGTTATACTTTGAGTCTATTATTGTATTTTTCTACCATTTGTTTCACTTCAAATCTAACCCAGGCTGCTCCTTTCCAGCTCACACAACTGTCCCAAACACCTTAAGCAATAATCGCCAACATTTTCTTCCTGCTCCCTTTTCTTTTTTTCTTTTTTTTTTTTTTTTCCCAGCCAAGCAGTGATTTATTCCCTTTAGGAAAAACATTCCCAAGGAGCTCTTTAGGGGCTCCAGCCTCGTCCTGCCTGCCGATCTGTGGTCTCCCCATGCACCCTAGGAGCGTGCCAGGGCATCCATCCCTGCGGGTGCCGCGGTGCGCACGGGGGCCGTGGCTCTGGAGCCGGCACCCAGCCCCTCCCCGCGGCACGCAGCGCGTCCCGGCCCCACGCGGGGAGGGAGGAGAAGCGGAGCAGCTGAGAAACCTTGGCCAAAAGTCTGTTTGCTCGCAGCTCACACCCACAAGAGTCACTGCAGACGGAAGCGGGGAATGGCTGCGTGACACACCGCACCGAGCGCCCCGGCTCCGCGCGCCCGCTCTCTGCTCCCAGCTGCTCCCTCCCGCCGGCATGGGGAACATAACTTGTGTTCCCCAGGCACCTGGGAGGTTCAGGCACTCGTTCAGAAGGAAACCTTCGCTGAAGAAAGAGTGAGTACGCTCGGTTTTATTGGGGACGGTTTTTTTCAAGCCTCCACGCGGGACGGGGTGCCCAGGAGCTGCTGGCAGGCTCGGTGAAGGAGGGCTCCTGCGGGGCTCCGAGTGGTGCCGGCGGTGCCAAACGTGACCGACTGGCTGCCAGCCCCTGGGAGGTTATTGCGGGGCTGTGCCGGGGGATCCCGACGAGGCTGCCCTGAGGAAAAACCTGATTTGGGTCATTTTGGGTTGAAAAATTAGGAAACTCCCCCCTGTGGGGCAGATGCGGGGTGAAGTGCCTGGCGTTCCTCCTCTTCACCCACAGCTCTTTATACGTGACACCCAGAGCTGCTGTGGGGTGGAAAAGCAGCATTCACATCCCTTTAATTTCAGCCAGCCCCGAATCCCAGCACCCTGCCCCTTCAGTCAGACCCCTGCCTGTACCCCCAGAGGAAGAAAATGCCTGCGAAATCCTCTCGGGGTTTGGTGTCGGGTGCCCGGGACAGCACTCGGGTACCACAGTCCCAAAATAGAGCCTGGGAGGAGACGCTGCCACCTGGTCCTGGGTCTCGGGGCTGCCCTAAACCATGGAGCATGGGCTGTGGGAGTCCACGGGAGAAGGGTTGGGGAGTTGGGACCCCGAGGGCTGACACCGGTCCTGGCTTCCCAAGGAGATGGGAGGCGAGGAAAGCTGCTGGGCAGCCCCAGTGCTTCCAAACCAGCTCCTTACTGGTGTGCGCATCGGGAAGAGCTGGGGGCAGAAGGAAAGGGAGAGGAAAAGCAGAGAGCTCCCAATAAAACCTGGCTGGATTTGGCCTCTGCCTTCGGAGCAGAACATCCTCCCCTACCCCTTTGGAGGCTCGGTGGAGCCCAGCTGATCATCTGACTATGGGAAGAAATGATAAAAAAAAAAAGAAAAACAACAACAACAAACCGAAACGAAACCCAAACACCAACAGGTGCAGCACAAACCCCATTACAACCGTCCCAGGCTGGTTATCAGCCCATTAAAGGGCTGGGATGATTAGAAAGCCCATGACAAATTGCTTACTTAGCGTTCCGACTTCCTTATTTCTGGGAAGAAATAAGAATTCACTCCGCATCGGCCTCGCTCGGTGTTTACATGCCTGTCTTGTTTCAGTTTTTCTTTTTTTTTTTTTCCCCTCCCCTCTGCAGGCAAAATGGCAAGAAAAAGCTGCCCAGCTTTTTCGGGATAGATGGAGGTGGGGAGCGAGATACGACCGCAGACAAAATCCTGCAGTACATCCCGGGAAAGGCAAGTAGCAACGCATCCTGCCCCCTCCCCAGGGTTTATTCCCACCCATCCCAAGGCCAGATGTGTGCAAAAAGGGCCCCGAAACGAGGTGCCAGCAGGTTCAGTCTCCCACCCACCACCCTGGGGCTGAGCCCCCCGCCTCTCCCAGCAGCATCACCGACAGCTCCGGGTCCCTAAAGAGGGCTCGAGGGGAGCCGCCGTGCCCCAAAAATTCACGTGCTGGTTGTGGGGGGCGGAGGGCGAGGCAGGCAGCGCGGTGGGAACGTCCCCCAACCCCCTTGCTCCTCTCTTTTTGTGGTTCTTTGTTGCTGGGTCGCCCCGTGGAGGAAGGGAAAAGGAGAGCGAGCGCTCGGAGGTGATTCATTCCCACGCTGGAATGAGACGGAGCAGGCAGCGCGCACGCGGGGAGCCTTGGGAAGATAATCAGGAAGGGCAGGTCTGCCCCGGGCACGTAGCAGCCCCGTGGCCATATGGCCCGCTTCCCAGCCCCGCTCGGGGCACGCAGGGGCGCACCGATGAGCCCCGATGCGTTCGCTTGGCTTTTGGGGTCGCCCAGGGCCATGGATGGAGAGGTCCTGGGCATGTGCCCACCCCCCCATGTGGGTATGGGGAAGGGGAAACCGGGGGGCAGCTGGGATCCCCGCTCCCTGCCCAGCCGCAAGCATCTTGTGGGGCCGGGGGAAAGCCACAGTTTAGCCCTTTTCCCACCCTCGTTTTTTTCAAGGAAAAAAAATGAAAAAAGCAGCAGAGAGCAGGAGGTGACCGGGTGCTGCGGGGTTTTAGGGCGAGCAGAGCCATCAGCATGGACATCCCCATCTCAGGGCAAGAAGTTTCTTGGGCAAGAAACACCCCAAAAACCTGTCCCCATGATCCCACCGTGGATAGTGCCCCCGGCACGCCAAGCCAGCCCCCCTGCTCCCACCCAGAGCCTTACTTCCCACTTTCCCCTACTTAAAACCAGGATGGGAGGACGCAGCAGGAGAGCAGCATTTCTCCTCTGACTGTTTTATCATCCGGCAGCAGCTTTTGGTGCCCCGGGGCTGCAGCCCTGCGAGGCTGAGCCCTTCCTGGCTGGGTGATTCAGCGGGGAGTCACCGGGGGCTGCAGGGGCTGGGGCAGGTTAATCAGCAACCGGCTCTACCTGCGGGATGAGACAGCGGGGATGGAGGTGGGGAGTGAGGATGTGTCGGGGTGGTCACGCTGCTGCGTTGCCAAACCCCAAGAAAAATCAGATTTCCAGGGATCTGTAGTGCCGGCAGCACAAGGGGACCGCTGAGCCACCCCAAAATGCGCTCATTGGGCAGGGAGAGGGTTTGCCCCCAGTACAAACCAGCCAGAGGAGGGCTTCTGATTGTTATTTCCTTTATTTTTGGCTGCACAAGGTCATGGTGGGGTTGCCAGTGCTGCTTTTTTAGGGGATGGCTGGGTGCGGGCTGTAAACCTGTCCCCCAGTGGGACACCCGGGGACGTCCGAGGTGTCTGCCTTCTGCAGGGCCGGGGTTCACGCAGCCTGGAAACTGCCTTTGGACCCGGGCAGAGCATCGGGAGCTTGTGGGAAAGGGCATCGAACAGGGGCTGAGCCCAGCCCAGGGGCTGGCCAAGCCACGGGTCCCTGGCAGGAGCAGCAGAGCCCGTGGTTGTGATGTCTTGTTCGCACGGCAAACGCCTCCAAAGCGCCGCTGTGCCCAACGGGGACCTGTTCTCCACGGATCTTGGCTGAGGACCTGCTCCAGCTGCTGGGTTTGGAGGTGTCCAAGGACCTGTGGAAAGCTGGGGGCAGCTCCCCTGGTGCCTCCTCAAATGCTGAGCTGGGTTTGGGTTCCGCAGGGGCACCCCGGGGAAAAAAAAACACACGGGTTAGAGAAGTCCAGGAGAGCCCTGCCTGGTAAAAAATTGACCAGAACAGTCCCACTTCTTCCTGCAATACCTGATGAGGAATGATAAGACCGCTGGCGCTTGAAAGGCTTCTCAATTACATCTTTCTCAAGAGAGAAAAATCCTGCTCCCCCTTTGACCCTGGCCGGGCGAGCAGCTGGGCTGTGCCCAAACGGCGCCGTCTGCCTCGCCGCAGCTCCGAAGCCAGGAGGGAGCAGCTGGGGAGCTGAAGCTGGCCCCAAATTTATCTACAGACTTTTTTTTTGTTCGTGTTGCACTGGCCCGTGCCCTACTTTGGTGGACTTGTCCCCATCGGGGCATCGCATCCCCACTGAAGATGGGATGTGGAGGTGCTTTCAGTCCTGCACCCCGCCTCACCCCACTGCCAGGCTTTGTTATCCCTGCCCCCAGCCTCTCTGGGTGCTGGCAGCAGCTCGTAGCACCAAGGCAATCATTTCCTATGCTTAATTGCCTCTCGGTGAGAGCGTTAATTGGCAGCCAGCGGGTTCCTCCCTCCAGGGGAGGATCCGGGTGCATGTGCACGGGTCCCGCGTGGAACGAGCCAGAGGGAGACGCGGCGCAGGGAAAGGCTCAGCCCACGTCCCCAAAAAGCCACCTAAATCCACGAGGGCGCAGCAGGAGCTCCAGTCCTTGCGGGTGGAAGGCTCCTGGGAGCGGAGAAGCACCGGAGACGGGCAGGGTGATGGGTGAGGAGAGGGGTTAATGCCATTCCCCAGGGCTGAGTCACGGGGGCCCCAGCACGGACCCGGTGCGCGCTGCTGGCTCGCCATCCATCACGGGGCTCGGGCAGCTGTCTCGCTCAGGGGGAGCGAGGGCTGAGCAGGGTGAGAGCTGTCACCCCATCCCCGTGCGCCCTGGCTCCCTGCTAGTTCCTGGAAATGCTGCTGCAACCAGGGGGGTGCCACATGCCACCGCCACAGCCCTCTGGCACGGGACAAAAGCCAGCCTGCAACGAGCAAAGCGGGGTCCCCCCAGGGTCTGTAGCCAGGGAAAGTTTGCATCTCCCACCTGCCTTTCTCTTTTTCTCTGGAATTAGTATCCCAGAGTCCGTGGCGTGCCTAAGACTGATATTTCAGTCTCGGATGTGCGTGCAGGGTGTGGATTTATGGGGACTGTGTGGTCTTGCTGAGACACAGCCCTTCCTTCACCCCAAATAGTCAACCAGGCTCTGGGAAAAATCAAACCAAAAAGAGCGTTCCCAGAGGAACTGCAGGGAGAGCTTTTCACCCCCGGGCTTGGTGCAATACCCCAGGGGCTTTTCAGTGCAATAGGGGTGTGGGGTCGGTGTCATTGCACAAGGGAGGGATTTCCATAGAACCAAGGCTCGGGAAATAAGAGAAACTCCCCGTGGGGGAGGCAGACTGTGTTTGCTGAGCCCGGGTCGATCCTTGCTCCAGTGAATTTAATTCGGATGGCAGGGGGCCAGCTGTGGTGACCCTGGATTTAGGATGTGCTTCTGCGCCCCCTCTTTCCCACCCCATAAAGCCTCCTTTTAGCTCCCCAGCTCCCCAGGCCTGCCAGCAGCACCCGCAGCCAGCACGCTGGCATGGAGACCCAGCAACAAACAGCAGGGGCTGGGCACCCTCCCAGGGCACCTTTTGGAGGATGGGTCACGCTGGGAACATCTCCTCCATCCCTCCCTCCCACCTCTGATTTGTTTCTCCTGAATCCTTCCCACAGCACTTCCAGAACCAAGAAAACCAAAAAGAAAACCTGGACCAGAGGTTCCCCAGCTTGTTCAAGAAGGGAAGGAGGAAAACAGTTGTCAGGAACCTGGGGAAAATCATCTATTACTCCAAGGTCAAGCTAAAGCTTCAGCACTGCCAGGTAAATCACGGCACGTGCCTGCGGGCTCGGAGTGGCCCTGCAGGGCTGGGAAGTGACGAGCAATTTTGGGCAACGGGACCCATGGGGACCTCCTCCAGCTATGGCTTGTGTCCGTCAGAGCTCCCCCAAAATGTTTGTATTTTCTGCAGGAGGTGAACGACTGCTACCTGGAGCTGTTCCAGTCTTACCTGTACTTCCAGTCCATGGGCTTCAACGGGCTCACCTACCAGGTAGGGCGGCACAGCCAAACTGGGGGCACTGGGAGGGCAGGACAGGACGGGACAGGAGAGGGAAACCCCGCTCCTGGGGCTGTGCTGGCCACCACTGAGCAAGCTTTTCACCTGGTGAATTCCAAGCCAAGGCTGTTCTGCCAAAAAATCACAGCCGAGCAAAGCCTGACTGCGCTCTCCCTCCATGGGAGTGAGCGTCTGCAACTGAGCGCTGCTGTTTTGGGGATGTTCGGAAAATTCATCCCTTTTAGAAATGATTTATTGTCTTCCCGGTCACTGGAGGTTAACGCAACGTGACAGTGCAGTCTCTTGAGTCAGCCGGCAAGCCAGGCTTCAGCCGAAAAGACACATGTCAGAATATAAACAACATCACCAAATCCCCTGTCTGCTTCATAAGCAGCCCCTCGGATTATTAATTCTAAAGGAATTAAAAAGGAATTAATGTGCCAGCAGTGGCCCCTAGACGTTAGGGCAATTTGCATCCTTTACAGCCCTTGTTCAGGGAGCCCACGACAGGGAGCACAAACTTGTCATCCGTCCCCGTGCCTCGTTGCAGGAACCCAGCAGCCCAATTTGGCTTTATGGGCATTTCCATCTGGTTTTCTTTGCTAAATCGGCATTGTTTTGTTGAGTCCTCTCTTCAAACCAAAAGATTTGAAGCCTACAGAAAGCTTCTGGCCAGCAGGGCAGTGGACACCCCAAATATTTCCAGGTTTCTGCCGTGGACACTGGGGCTGGGGCTCCCAGTCCCCAAGATAAAGGCGTGTTCATCACCTGTCCCCCAAGATAATGGTGCATCCTTCTCGTGCAGGGACTGCTGCCTTTGAAAGAGCTGAACGTGTGTGAAATCGAGGCTGGGAAGAGCCCGGGGCAGGAGGATCACGCCTTCCGCATCACAGGTCGGTGCCTCCGCGTGCGCGCTTCGGGAGGGGAGCAAAGGGTGCATTAGTCACAGCTGCCTGCTCTTTGTCCCCCTCTGACCTAATCCCGGAGGAAAACACACGGGGAGAGGAGGCAGGGAGGTGATGCTCGTCCTCCCACCTCCCCACGGCTCCAAAATTCCCGGCCACAGATGCCCAGGGATGCAGGCCGGGAATGGGGCTGGGTGGGAGCGCAGAGGATGGGCTGATGGGGCACCTGGTGATGGGTCCTGCAGGAGCTGAGCATCCTGGTGTAAATTTGAACACAAATTGGAGAAGTACTGAGAGGTGGATGGCTCCACCAGCAACACCAGGCGGGTGCCACCAGGGCACAGCATCATTTCTTTGACTCTCCCCCAGCAGCACCCCCACCTCCATGAGTTTTTAGACTTTTCTCGGTGAGATCTTGCTTTATAAAACATTTCCTGGGATATCGACCTGCTGCAGCGCGGCCGGTGAAGTCCTTACAGAGCTGCAGCAGCCCCAAGCCCCTAGGAGGGGCACAGAAATAAGTGGCTCACCCTGCAAAGACAGAGCCAAGGAAGCTCATGCATGCCCTGTGCCACTCAACCAAACAAAAATAACATATAAAAAGGAGCTGGGAAAAATGACCCACTGGTTTTAAGGACTGCCGGGTTGTTGCATCATTGAGCTGCGTGGGGCAGGGCTCTCGAACCCTTTTTGGCAGCCGAAAAGACGAAGGAAATCTCTGCACAGGGCTGGGCGGACGCGCTCGGATCGCGCTGAAACGCGGGTGAGCGCGGCTGGGTGGAAAATCGCCCCGAGCTGTGCTGGGTTTGGGTCCTGCTCAGGGGAAGAACAAACCGAGGCTCTTCTGGCAGAGGGAGGTGGTTAGGAAATAGTGATGAGGAGAGGCCGGGGAGGCAGCGGTGTGTAGGAATCCCATGAGATCAGCGGAGCAGCTTTATTTCTCCGCTGGAGAGGGAGAAACCAAGGCGCAGCAGGAGCAGAGCCTGGTGTGTGGCTTCAGGGTGGGAGTCTTTTGTCCCATGACTTGGCGACAGAAGACACGAGCCCATCCTCTTGTGAAATCCTGTGGATTTCCCCCAGGAACTGTGTTTTCTGGGCAGCTCGGAGCCTCGGAAGGTGCCAGCACCTGTCGCTGCTGATGCCGGCACCTTGGCTGCTCCAGCCTCCGGAGCATCCCTTTGCCCCTGCCCCAGCTGCGGATGCTGCAGCAGCTTTTTGCTGGCTCCAGGGTGGGAACAGGCTGCAGCCATGCAGGGAAGTGGCTTCATTAACCCCGACGTTCCCCTGGGAGCCTTCCCACGGAAAGGGGAAGCGCGGGGCAGACGAAGGGCGCACGAGGGCCGGCACAGGTTGCTCAGCCCCTCTGCGTCACGGCGCTGCCACAGGCTGTGCTGCTGGAGTTCCTCTTCTCCTTTTTCCCCCCCTTAGCACCCTGTTGGATGTGGCAGGGCAAGCAGTGCCATGCTGGGAAAAATTCCTGCTGGGAAAAAAAAACAACTGATGTGTTTTTTTCCCTGAAAATAAAAACAACATCTGTGATGGTTTGGGTGCTCCGGGAAGGGCTCGGAGCTTCCTGAACATCTGGATAACGTTGTCACGTAGACACCCTCCCAGCTGCCCTGCACAGGGCAGGGAATCTCTTTATCTCCGCTGCAAGGGCAGGGAAATCAAGGCAGGGGAAAAGGAGAAGCCCAGAGTCACGCGGGTTGATGGGCACATGGATGCCCAGGGCTGCGTGCCACCGAAGCGCTGCGATAGGGCTGAGCGCGGTGGCTCACGGGTGGTTCAGCTGCCTCAGCTTCCCCACCTCTCTGTTTTTGTTAGTGCGTTTCCGGACAGACAGAGGTGTCTCAAAGTCTTAATTAACCGCTAGATAATGCGGGAATTGCGAGATGACAGGCGCTCCACAGGGAGGGCAAAGTACCGTGTTTATGCCGAGCGCTCGTTATCTGAGCACCTCCAAGCCCCATGAATCCAGCTCATAGGAAGCATGCACCGAATATGGCTTTAAAGTAAGACCACGGGTAAATTATTAATCACAACATCCATTCTGCAGCGTGCCAGAAGTGATTATTAACGTCATTAGGTTGTCTCTGCAGTGAGTAGCAGGGGGTGTGTGAGGCTGGGGCTTGTGCTAAGGAGGGCAAGCCATCTGGAGACGTTAAACCCAGCAAGGTGTAGGGCTGTTCCCCCTTCCCGGGCCACATCCGAGAGCTGCTTCAGCTCGTTTGGCACAGGCCCTATCTGGTGAGGCAGTAAATAAACACTTTGGGAAGCTGCTGCTGCTCCATGGGTTTGCAGCCGAAGCGAAACCAAGAGCACCAGGCTGGTTCGCCGTGGCGTCACCGATGCTTTCCGCTAGCCGACGGGGGCTTGCGGAGTTAAAAGCTGCCTGCTGCTCTCAGCCGTGACTTTTGGACTCTTGGACTTTTGCTCCTGGCTTGGTTTGGGACTGAAAAAGGGCGGCCAGAGCTAGAGGTGACCGCGCGAGCTGAAGGCGCTGGTGGAGTTGCCTCCTGAGAGCTTCCCAGCAGCCCGTCCCTTGCCAGGAAACGTGACGGAGGCGGTGACGGCATGGGCTGGAGCTGGGTGGCCAGAGAGCAATGTCCCGGGCTGTGATGTGCTGAGCCAGGACAGCCCCGGCCAGCTGATTGCCCTGTGATGCTCGTGCCCTTATCTGCTCGTCTCATCTCATTTCTCCCAGGTCCTTTGCTGAATCCCCTTATCGTCTTCTGCCCGACTGAGTCAGAGCTGAAGCAGTGGCTTTATCACCTGGAGAAACAGATCCAGCTGAACGGAGGGAGCCTGGGCTTGCCCTTCCTCCCTCAGGTGAGCGTCTTGGGCTGGTGAAACTGTGTTAGGGGGGCACAACCCCTCCAACCGGCCGCTTTCAGCATTTTCCAGCCCTTTTTTCCATCCTCCTTTTTGGCTCAGGGTTCCTCCAGCCCGGAGAGTGTGAGCAGAGGGCAGGGGACGAAAAGGCAGCGGAGCTCTGGCTCCATTTCCAAGTGCTCCCTGCTGTGCTCGCTGCGATTTCCAAATGCTGGGTGGAGATGTGGGGTTTAATCCTGGCCTGAGCCCCGGTTCTCTGGGCTGGCTGCTTCCCTGCAGCAGCCAGGAGCTGCCCCTCTGGGTGGCACGTGGGGTCTGGCGGGGTGCGGGTGCCAAAAGGGAGCCCTGCCACCCAGCGGTGCCGCACCACGAGGTTTGGGGCAGCTTCGGAGGAATTCTCACCCAGCTGGCTGCTGGTGCAAATGTCCCGAGCTTGCAAAACGTTTTTGGAGGAGGAGGCTGGGAGCGGGGTCTAGCAAACAGGACCAGATTCGAGAGGCTTGCCTTCTCTTCCAAGCTTTAGGGGGTGTCCTCCTCCCCCCCTGCCTCTGTCTGGATATTCCCCTCTGAATTCCCCCAACGTGCAGATGATGCTAGGCTGGAAAGCTGCCTCCTGCACAGGTTTATTTGCTCTTTCCTGCCTCCGCCCTGCTTGAGAAGTGTCCTGCCATGGGCCCCGTGCTGGCTAAGCGCTTAGGGGGGGGACGCACTGCCCTGCTGCTCAGCCCTGCTCCCGTCCCCAGGATGACTGGCAGCAGAGCTCCATGGGGAAGGAGGAGCTGCGGTGGTCCGTGCAGAACATGCCTGTCCAGGATTGGAGAGGGACCCAGCGGGAATCCCTCGGCAACGTCATCTGTGCTTCCAAAGTGAAGCTTCAGCACTTGCCTTTCCAGGTAGGACACAGCCTCGGGTCAGCAGAGCCCTGCGCCAGGGGGTCCCCGAGGGCTCCTTTCACCCCGGTCCTAATAAACGGGACAAGGTTTGTCACCGCTCCTCCGGCCCCGCTGCGGTGCCAGGGGGTGGCACGTGTGCGCAATGAGCGTTTGGAGGCCGGGGTGGCAGCTGGAGGCTGTGGTCTGGCAGCAGCTGGGCTCTGTCCCCGGGGCTGAGCCTCCCTCCTCTTTGCTTTTCCAAGGAGCAGCACGACCGCCTGCTGGTGCTTTACCCTTCCACCCTGGTGATCGTGTCCGAAGAGCACAACAGCTTCTACTTCAAGGTACGTTCACCTGAAAGCCTCTTCTCCCTCCCTCCCCAGCCCACCGTGGCTATTCCAGCGCGGCCCCAGCTCTTTCTTCCCCTCCACCTGCCTTTCCCTGCGCTCCCCGGCTTGGCAGGGGCTCTCCCTCCTCGCTGCTCCCTTGCCAGCTGGCAGGCGAGCAGGCAGAGGGATGTTGCAAGCCATCTTCCCATGAGAAACACCTTGCCCTCCTACAAAAACCCCGGGGGGAAGGAGCTGGCTGCCAAGGCTCTGGGAGGAGGAGGTTGGTGTGCTCCTGGGCGGCCGTGCCGGCGGCTTCCCGAGCCCCTTTCTGCGGCACTGCTTGAGAGCAAGGAGCACGGGAGCTGCATCTGCGTGGCCTGAAGTGTGAGCCCTTAAAATCCCTTGCCAGAATTCATCCTAGACACGGCTGGGATGGCTGTTAACCAGCCCGGTGCTCCTCGACCCTGATTTCTCATGCTGTAATTGTGCCGAGACAAGCTGTGCACTGCCCAACCAGCAGGTGCAGCAGCACCGGGACGTGGTGGTGCTGAGCTCAGGGGTGTCCTCGTTAGCTGCTGAGACAAGAGACAGAGACCAGGGATGAGGAAGCCCTGTGGAGGTGGAGGGCTTGTGAATTTCAGCGTGAACCCACTGGGGTCCTTCGTGCTTTTTCCCCCTGCCCGTGCCGCTGCCCTGAGTGCTGCAGGCTGCTTGTAATACAAGCGGGAAGACCTGCACGGAGCATCCCGCTGGCTGCAGGAGGCTGTGCCCACAGTGGGAAGGGGCACGAGGAGGGATGCAAACCATCACAAGCTCTCCTCTCTCAGCCACCCCGGGTGTTTTCCAGCAGCGGGTGGCTCCCGCGACACGCCTCCGACTGCGCCTGCTTTCGGGAACGCGTGGTTTGCAGCTCCTGGGAACGGGGCACGGCGCAAGGGGGGCCCTGGGCTGGGCTCCCGGATTAACTCATCCCTTTTGAAACCTTACACCAGATTTGTCTTCCCCGGCCACGCAACGCTGCCTTCCCACGGTGCCGGAGCGTGGGTCCGCGGGCGCCTCGCTAGCGGTGCCGAGGGCAGGGCTGCGCGGCTGACTCACGGCCGGCTCCCTGCAGCACCAACCGGCTTTTCCACGGGCGTGTCGGGGCACAGCAGCCTTCTCCCAGGGCTCCTGCGAGCCGGCTTCCCTTCCTTCCCCACGACCAAACGCCGAGCCCTGGCTCTGGTTTGCCAGGGAAGAGCCCGGCCCTTTTGTTCTCCGGTTTTGGGCAGGAGCTGGTGCGCACGGGGCTGACCCCAAGCAGCCGGTTCTGGAGAACCGCTGGTGGGAAAATGCCCCGGGCAAGGTGTTGAGGGGCACAGGGGGGCTTTATAGGATTGGGGGCGTGCCCCCAAAAGGCTGGAGGGGCTGCACAGGCAGCGTGCATGCTGTTTGCAAGGGATGCTCTGTGCCTGCCCCGCGCCAGCTCCTCCAGCCCCCACCCATGCGCGGCACCCGTGTGAGCCGAAGCATCAAAGTCCACCTCTGACAGCAGCAGGGGAAACTGAGTCACGGCGCGGAGCTTTCCCTCCCACTTCATCCTCCTGGCTCTGCTTGGCCAGCAAATTGCTTGGCTGTGCAGGAGAAACGCTGCAGGAGCTGCGTGTGCCCCCAGGGGACTGCAGCGAGGCAGCCGCCCGCACAGGTTCCCGACACCTGCAGGGCACAGTGGGGACAGTGAGGGCGTGATGAGTTTTTTTTTTTTTTTGCCAGAAACCTGATTTTTGCAGCTGGAGAACTCAGGGAAAATGGATCCCAAGCTGCTGCACCTTAGGTTCGGTGACAGGGCTTTGCTTGGTAGGGGGCATGGTGAGGTGTGCACTCGGGTTTTGGGCACTGCGCAGTCCCCCGTGTGCCATCCTGGCCAAAATTGTCCCAGGGCCATTGCCAGCAGCAAGGGCACGGTGACCATGGAAGGGGAGCAGGGGCTGCAGGAACAAAGGGACAATGTCCCACTCAGCTCACAGAAAGGGAGAGAAATGAGAAATAAAGCAGGGAGCTCATCGGTGAGCGGTGTCCAGCACAAAATCTGTTTCAGCTGCTCGCCCAGGGTGCTTCTCGCTCTTCTGGGAGCCCCCAAAAAAGAGACCCCGATGCTAATTCAGCGTTGCCAAACCCTGGGCCCTTCTGCCAGGCTGTCTGCCAAGGGAACCAACCTGTCATCGGTGGCTCTTGGTGCAGTGAAACCCCCCCAGGCCACCAGAGTGGCATCCACACCTGAGCCCCATAGCCCCGGAGCTCACGTTTCCCCCGCTGGCATTTACGGGGCTCAGCCCCGCCTTGGTGAGGCTTCGCAGGGTACAGGTTGGGGGGGGGATTCCTGGCTGCGAGGCTGGAAATCCCAGCCCGGCACGTCCTGCCTTCTTCAGGAGCACGTTTGCACAATTTTCTGGAGAAGCCAGCTGTTAAAGCGTGGGAAATGAAAGCAGGGGAAGGCATTTTTCTGAGCTCCCTTCTCGGGGAGGGCTTTGTAAGGACACCCACAGCTCGTGCAGCCACGCTGCCTTCCCAGGCTTCTCCCCCTACCCCGTGAAGATCCCCCAGCTCCTTCCAACCCAGCCCGGCCCTCGCTGCCAGCACCTCTTCCCGGCTCTCCTCCTGCTCCCAGCTGTGCTGGCAGAACCTCACTGCCAGCTCCTGAAGCCTCTTGGCTTCCCTGGAGGGGGATAAATTTGGTGCGAGGGAGCGGAGCCAGTGGTGCCTGCTCGGGCGGGCGCGCAGCCCCCGCGTGCGCTCAGCCTGCTTCTCTCTCCGCCAGGGCGAGCTGCCGCTCAACGCCATCCAGGTGTGTTTTGAAGAGAACGAGAAAACCTCCTTTTTGATAGAAGGTGCGTGTCCGCCGTGCCGAGGGCTGTGCCGGCAGCGGCTGCGGAGCTTGGGCTGGGTTTCGCTGGGCGGCTGTGGGCATCCCGGCACCCAGCCGTGGTGAACTGAGCCACCCGGGTGCCATCGTTTGGATTCGGGCTGCCTCTGTCCCTGCCCCACGAAGGCACAGCATCCTCCTGCAGGTCCCGTGCTGCTCTGGATGCCCGCGAGATAATGGGGAGGGATGGAGCAGGGGGGTGCCCACGGGTTTTTGGAGGAACCGCTGTGCGCACCTGCAGTGCCAGCGGGGCTCGGTGCTGTTTTGCAGGCCGGCTGATCAATTCGATCCGGGTGATCTGCCGCAGCTATGAGGATTACGGGGAGTGGCTGGACTGCCTGAAAACAGCCCAGTTTCGGAACGCCGACTCCTCCCTGTCCGGATCAGAGAGCTTTTCGGGATCAAAGCAGCCACACCTCGGCCAGGTAAGAGGCACTGCAGGTTCGCATGGGTCCCGATGGATGTTTCCAGGGGGCTCTGCCCATCCTGCCTTTGGCCACGTGTGAATACTCTTGTGACACAGCAGGATTTGCTTCCAGAGCCCTGCCTGAAGGCTCGAGGTGTGCCAGGGGAGGTTTAGTGGAGGATTTCTTCCTGGAGAGGACAGTTGGGCACTGGGATGGGGTGCTGGTGGAGCCCCCAGCCCTGGAGACATTTCAGGGAGGTGGAGGCACGACACTAGGGGACATGGCTCTAGTGTCTAGGGGATGGGGTCATGGTGCCCGGGCACCCACCTCCCTGCTGCAAGCACCCCGGGGTGGGCTGGAACACGGAGCCACGGCTCCATCCTGCCCCGGCTCAGCCCCAGGGAGCAACACAAGTTGTGGGGATGCTCGGGGTGCCCTGACACACTCCCCTTCTCTCCCCCAACAGCTCGGTGGCAGCGGGAGAGGCTCGCTGGCCTCCGACGGCCGCACCAACTCCTGGGCATCCGGAGGGAAAGGGGCCACCCTGACGCACCTCTCCCAGAACAGCGGCTCCTTCCACGACACACAGTCCTTCGTGCTGCTGTCGGAGGGCAGGATGCTGGAGGACCCGCTCAGCCCCGGCTATTCCCAGCCTCTCCATGTAAGTGAAACCCCAAAACCCGGGACATTTGTGGGGTCAGAGTGATCCGTCCAGGTTCCCCGGGTGGGCTGAGCTCACGCGGGCTGCACTCGCGGCGCGGCGTTGCAAATCCGTGCCTGGAGCCTGTGTTTGTCCTGGCTCAGCTCTGTCACTGCTGATAAGGGAAAGGCTGATAAAGAGCCCCAGTTCTTAAATTCTCTGCGTAAGGGCTGCAGGTCTGGGTTGCAAAAGGCCGGAGACAGCCACAGGACCATGGGGGTGCCCAAGCGCAGAGCGATGCCTGCGGCACCCCGAGCAGGGCGGTGATGGTGCATGCCCAAGGCTGTTGAAAAGAGCCCGTTTTGACTTCTCCTCACAGTGCCTGCCCCACACCAACTGGCCAAGCACCGGGATGCCCTCGCAGGAGCTGCGGAGGGGCGGCAGCGCCAGGAAATCCAAAGGCAGAAGCGGCCAGGACACGGAGAGGACGGCGCGCGGCCTCATCCCCGAGCACCCTGACGGCGAGCTCGTGCCCGCGGCGTACAGCGAGCCCTACTCATCTCTCAGCTCATGGCATCACCCCACAGCCTCCCCATCGCACCCGGAGCTGAGCAATGTAAGGGGCTGTGGGGTCTGGGGGCTGCCGTCCTGCTTGGGGAAGGGGTTGCACCACCAGGGAACTGGTGCCCATTTCTCTCCGGTGCCTCGTGCTTTCCTCACCGGTGCTGTAAGGCAGCAGGGAACCCATTTCCACAGGGGCCAGCCCCCATCCCCTTTTTCTTTCCCCTTTTCCACACAGCTTTTGGGCTCCAGAATTTGTGCCCCCGGCCGTTTCTTTTCCTGCTGTGTGCCTGAGCCTGAGCAGATGTGGCACTGCAGGGCCGGCGCGGCAGGGCAGGGCACGGCACGGCTCAGTTCTCCTCCAGAGGGAACAGGTTTCCCCTGTCTTATCGCTCCATGCCAGCGGCACAACAGCCCCGGGAAGAGCCAGAACCCACGAAACAAAAGCCCAGACTGAGATGTCGTCCAGCCTCCAGAAACTGGAGATGAGTCAGAGGCTGATCCACACCCCCCGAACAACCGGGGGCCTGTTGGAGGCGATATTTCTGGTTCTGTGCACCCCTTAGCAGCCTTTTGGCTGGTGCCCCACACATCGCTGAGCCCCCTCTCCCCCCTGCAGGGCTCCTCCTGACCCTGACCCTGAGCTGCCCGTGGGTTTCGCTCTCCTCCCTTCACCCCTGGCCATCCTCCATCACCCCTGTGCGCGACCTGCACCCGTTCTTTCTCTCACATCGAGGGCTTTTGGCACAGGAATGTCGCAGAACTTGCAAGGCGGAGAGAAAAACCTTGTTTTGCCTGAGTCTGCAGCAACAATCTGCTCACAGCAGGGCTGGTTTTGGGGTGGAGGGGGGAGCAGCCAGTCTCCACGGCAGGCATCAGCTCTGCCATTTGTTCTATTTAAGGTCCTGCAGTGCCCGAAGACCTCCCAGCCCCTGCCCAGCAGACACTGGAGGGAGATGCCGGGGGCGCAGAGACCTCCCCAGCCTCCTGCTGATGCTCCTTACCTCGCCGGTGTGAGTCGTGAGAGCAGCCCTGGCTCATCCTGGTGCTGGGGAGCAGGGGTGGCGTGAAGTGCCCCGGCACTGCATGGCTTCACCATCCCCATCAGCACATATTTTATTTTTTTTTTTGTCCTTTCCAGGTCTCCTCCCTGCCTGGAGGAACACCTCGGCCCCTTGCTGCAGCCACCAGGTGAGACCCTCGGGATGCGCAGCCCCTTCTGCTCCCCCAGCATCACTCGGAGCAGGGCTGGGAGGGCACGCTGGGGGGATTCGTGCACATCCTCCCTCTTTCCTACCCCTGCTGGTGATGGAGCAGGCAGCTGAGGGGCTCTCAGCAGCTCTCCAAGCTCAGCTTTGGCTTCTTGCAGGTGACAGCAGCGGTGCTTACGACCTGCCCGAGGGCTTCTCGCGCCGCGGCTCCGCTGCCTACCACGACTACGCCGAGCTGCAGAGCTTCCAGAGCGACTTCAGCTACGACAACCTGTGGGAAGCCGAGGGGAGGGCGCCCAGCACCCCGCGGGGCTCCCCGACACCCAGCCCGCACTTCTACCAGGCCTGAGGAGGGGTCCCACGGCCAGGCACACAACGGCCCCCCGGGGCTGCCCAGCCCGGCGGGGTGTGGGGAGCAAAGGGAGGGGATCTGTGATGAATCCTGAGAATTGCTGTTAAGCCGAATCTTCCCCCTTGAGCTCTGAGGTCTGGGGAGATGTAAGGGACCTGCCCGGCACAGGACGTGAGGTAGCAATAGGTGGGGTTGTCCTGCGAGATCGGAGCTGTCTGGCAGAGATGGAGAAAGCAAGCCAGGGTCTTTGGGGATGTTCTTTCCATTTTACGCCAAAAAAAAAATCCTTTCCTGACAGTGCTGGCTCCAAACCATAGCGTGACCTGCAGTACTGAGAGCCTGGCACCTCGGAGGTGGAATAAAGCAAGGGGCTGCCACAAAATCAGCCACCAAAGTGGCTTGAGTTTACCCAGGAAGGATGCCCTAGGTTCCCCCTACGGGACCGCGTCCTCTCCTCCCACCCCTCCGCACACTGCTGGCCCCACACCAGAAGCTGCCTGGGGGTATTTGGGCAAGGAGGGAAGGAAAAAAAAACTCTGCAGAGACCTGCAGCTCGCTCTGCCCCCCAGCAGGATCCAGACACAAACAACAGGGGACAGAGTCTCAGTGCTATCTCTTTGCAGCCTCCTCAGCCAGATCCTTCAGCACATACAGGGCAGCAGCAAACCCGAATGTTTTTTTCACCCGAGGCTCCAAATTCTTAACCTTTGTTCCCGAAGGAGGCTGCAAGCCGAGCGTGGTAGCATAAAAAAATCTCGATTTTCTTCGTTCTTTCACTGCTGCAAACCAAACAACCCAGGATCTCTTTGTACTTGAATATCCATGCATTGTACCGTAGCGTTTTGTTAGGATTTGTTTTTCGGAGGGTAACCCGCCGAGTTTACATGTAAGGTTTGATTGTGTTTGATGTATTTAATGTGTACATGTGTCCGAGTCGTAGGGCTATTTAATTTTGTAGCTGAGCTCTAGGTCTATTTAATTTTGTAGCCGCCGATGGCCTTCGGTACTGTGGCACGGGCAGCTCTGTGCTCCTCCGTGTGCGCGTGTTGGTTTGGGTCTTGTAGCTGTTCTTGTTCTGTTTCAGGTTCACTTTCGTGTTAGGAGGATTTGTCCCTAATAACTTAGCCCAGGGACCTATTTATTCGGGATGGGATCTCAGCAGGGAGCAGCAGAGGCACGTGCTGTCCTGGATGGGGCCGTGCTCGTGGGCTTTTAATACACGTTGGCACGAAAGCTGTCACCACCATCCTTTTAACCGTGTTTTCACGGTGATGTCTGCGTTGTACCAGAAGGGGAAAACCCCTCCCTGTTACTGTAAAAGTTCCCCGGTGGATCACTGTGAGCCCGTGCAAATACAACAAACCCTCTTCTGCAAGACTTTTGTTCTCTCTTTTTCCAGCACCTGGCTTGGCGGCGGGGAATTTTCGCCCCTTGCTGCTGTATCCAAGCCCTTCCTCCCCTAAGGACCTGGTGTCCCCGGGTCAGGGCAGGCACGTGCAAGCACCTAATCCCAGAGCAAAGTCTCCACCGCATGGTGGATTAACGCCAAAGCTCGCTGCCCTCTGCTTTCCCCCGGAGTCCTGGGGGTCTTGGCGAGGAGCTCTCCGAGCTGCCTCCTGCACCCCTATCGATCCGCGATGGGTGCACAGGCAGGCGAGGAGCCCCCGGGAGCAGGATCCTGCTGCACAGCACCCAAAGCTCCTGGCAGAGCTCCCCCCAGCTCCATCAGGGCTAAATTTGTCCCTTCCAAGCGCTGCCCTTTGGCCGTGCAGGCTGCTCATTTCTCACGCCTCCAGCACCGCCTCCGTGCGCGCCTGCCGGGGTGTGCACGGCTCCTATTTCGGGTCCTGGACTGTGTTCATGCCTCGGGCACCTGAGGAATGGCCTGGCCCTGGCCCTGCTGTGCTGCTGGGCAGCGTTTTGGGGTCATAAAACGAGCCTGCCCTCAGCACACGGGCGCTGTCGGGGGCTTGCACCGATGGAGAGCTGGGCTGGGGGCGTGGGCAGGACCCCAGTGTCCCACCTTCATCCAGCTGCTCATGGAGACCTGCTCCCTGCTCCTTCTTCCCTGCTACCCAGTAGCAACTAAGGATTATGGTGGCAAACTGCCACTGAAATGCTTGCACAACCCCTGCCTACAAAGGAGTTTGGCTTATTCCCCTTCCCAGCTGGGGTTGGGTCCCCTACAAACAGCTCTTCTCCCTGGTCTCCCTCTATTTATCCTTTCTCATAAGGTCGTACAGCTTTCCCAGGCTGGCACCATTATTGCAGAACAATTTAGGTGCTTGTACAAGCCCTAAAGTTAGTGCTAAAAGCCATGAATTGGGTGTTGTGTCCCCCCTCGAGGTGTGGGAACCCCTGGGAAGAGAGCGCTGCCCCCGAGCAGGGACCTCGGCGATGCGCAGCTCCCCTGGGGATCCTCACCATGAGCCCACCCCAGTGCCTCATCCTGGCCTCGTTGTCCCTGCGAGCAAGGAGGGGGCAAAAAGGCAACGCCAGCCCCGCTGCAGCCATCCAGGGCTGGCACCAGCAGCCCGCAGACACCCCTCTGATGTCCCGCGAGAGGATGGCAATGACGCAGAAATGCCCCAGCAGAAATGCCCGCAGGAAGCTTTGCTCTGGTTTCATTGCTGAGAAGGTGAAGCGAAATAAAAAAATAAATAAATAAAATAAATAAATACCAGGAGCTGCTCTGGCTGCAGGAGAGGGGGGAGAGGCACAGAGAGCCCTGCCCTCCCCGGCTCCGGCGTGCGTGGCAGGGCAGCGCATGGTGCGCCGCGGCGGCCCAGGAGCGTGCACCTGCCTGACTTTTTCATCTGCTTGGCACGACGAGGTGTCAGATGTGGGAGCTACGTGCGAGGCGAGGAAGCGGGGTGGGATGGCACGGCTCCCGCTGCCGGCCCTGACGTTTTCTTCAGCGAAGTGCAAACAGCCTCGCCGCCGCCGCGAGGATGCTCCGAAAAGGTCGTTTCTATTGTGGTGGCCGCCGCTGTTGCAAAAGATGGTGAGCTTCTGGCTGCTCCCTCCGGGGACAGATACAAGCAGGCTGACCTGGCCGTGGAGAGAGGAGAGAGCTTAAAAGGTCAGAGAATTAACCAAGCGTTAAAACTGCAGGCAAGCCCGTGCTGGTTTCCTTGAAGGACACCGGAGACGCTGCTGCTTGAACGAGCACAGCAGACGCTCCCAGAGCTGCTACCAACGAGCCTCTTGCAGGATTTCCCTTTGCATCTGCAGTGGACTGAAAACATCCATCTTCTGAAATATTCATTTCGTCTGCTTCTGCCAGCGGAGAACAAAAGGAGTGTGAAATGCACCTGTGACCTGCTGGATAATCTGGCGTCTTCGGTGACTTGTGCAGGGGGAGGTGGCAGGGCGCATTTGTTTCTCCAAGCCCAAACTCTGAAGGACCAGATCCACTGAGATCTCCGGGCCAAATTTGCAGCACTGAGACAAAGCAGGGCAGCTTTCCCAGCCATTTTGCCCAGTATTACATTTGGTGATTTCTGGCACGAGCCTTTATTAGCTGCCAGCACTGCACCTGGGAGCGCTGCGCAAGCTGGGAGGGAAACTAACAGTTTCTGCACCTGCAAAGCGAAGGGAAAACATTATTCCTTCCAGGCTTGTGTGGCAAGGCTAGAAAACACAAAAATCTGAAAACTTCAAAGCCAGCAAGGAGCCAGCAGTGCCTGTTTGTGGTTCAGCTTCCACTGGGATCTTCAGTCTGCAGGAGGAGCTGTGCAGGATGAGAGGAGGGCTGGCGGTCCCAGGGCCCCCTTCCCTTCAGCAAGCCTGTCTGCTGCCCTCCTCTGCCCTTTTTCTGCTTTGCTCAGCTCCGTGTCACTTGGTCTCCCAGGAAAGCCCTGCAGAAAGAAATCGCCCGCTTCCTCCAGCTGTTCCCCCATTACCCACCCGCCACGCCGGGGCTGCTGCATTTCCACCTGCCGCTGAGCTCGCGGGGAGCGCTTAATGGATTATGGCTGGATAAACAGTAAAACTGAGCATATGGGAGCTTTTCCCCCTCCCCTCTGCCTGCCGTGCTCCTGCGAGCGAGGGCTGCTCGGCAGGACTTCCAGGGCTGCAGTGCGGGGCTGTGCAGGGAAGGATGGAGCAGACCTGGGGGCTGCTGCCCTGCGCCCCCCATGCTCGCCCCGGTGCTCGTGGGCATGGTGAGTGCTCAGGGACAGGCCCTGGGGAAGCAGCCAAAGGGCAGGAGAAGCAGCCCAGCACCCTGAGTGCTCTGTCCTCCAGGGCTCCCCACCCTCTCCTACACTTTTATGCCAACACACCCCCTATAAATTGATTTCTCACCCTTTAAAACCCAACCCTCCTTCACCAGTTGGACGATGCAGACAGAGGAAGGCACGCCGAGGTGTTAAATGGGATAGATCTTTATTAGAAGCTGTCAGCATATTAAATATGTTCTCTTCCTCCACAAAACTCTTCCTACTCAACGTACAGCTACTGTAGTCCATATAGAGCCTGCACATCCCTCTTACCACCTACTGCTACGTGCCTCGCTGTGCAACCACAGCGCGCTCCCTTATCCGCAATAATACATGGTCTGAAGTGCAACCCCACACACATTAAAATTGCATGGCACTCTGCATCACGAGGAAAGAGCCCAACCTCTCCTTCTGGTTCTCCTTACTGCTCCTACAAAGCTCACAGGCAGACCCACACAGGCATTTGGGGCACGTTTCCCCCCGGTACCTTTGTGGATCTGGTCCCTAAGCGCTTCACGAATCTCACGTTTGTGCTGTTGCCAGACTTGGGAGTGCAGAAAACCCTCACCAATAATGCCCTTGGGTCCCAGGAAGGCGCTCGAGACAGGAAGAAACCTGAACCACCTCCTCGGTGTTTTCCACCCCGTTTTTCGGTGCCAGGTCTCACCCCCCCTGCCCCGCAAAGCCCCACGCTCACCCTCCATCCCCTCCTGTTCCATGTTCCTAGCACGGGAGGCAGCAGAGGCCCCAAGGGGAACACCTAGACCCTTGGCTGGCCAAGTGCCTGCGTCCCGTGTCCTCTCCAACAAGCTCCTGTCCTTGCCAGGGCTCTTCCCTGTGCTCAGCCCCCTGCTCTCCTCCGTCCCCTCGCTGCAGGCACCAGCTTAGCAAAGCGCCGTGCTGGGGCACAGACAGCTCCTCCCCAGCTCTCTCCTCTCCCCCCCCAAACCCTTTTGCAGGACACGAAGCCCTTCTCCTGGCTTCTTTGGCTCCCTCCTCCCTCTGCTGCTCCCTCCAGCCCCCAGGGTGAGCTGAGCGGGGAGGCCGGGCGAGCAGCACACGGTGACTACTCCTAGCAGATGGCACGAGGATGCAAGAAGTGTGCAAAGAACGAACCGAGCCAGCCCACGCCGGGCTCCTCTTGTGTCCAGTACAGGTACAAACCGCCTACCGTATAGCCAGCGACCGTCACGGGAAGGATCCTGCTTCCTGTGACACCCTGTCCCTTTTGGGGATGGGTCCAGAGAAGTCTCGGTGCCGGGGTCCAGGCTTCCCAGGCTGCCCGAGGACGAGGTGCCTGGCCCCTGCCTCCTCCGTCCTCGCCCGTCCCGGGGGAGCACCTCCGGCGTGCGCCGGGGCTAGGTCCGCGGGCGTCCTTCTCTGGCCTGCCGTCGGAAGTAGCGGATGGCAGACAGCGTGCCAAAGCTCGCCAGGAACACTGCAGAAAAAAAAAAGAACATCGTGGTCCCATGGTGAGCCTTATTCCCGACCCAAAATATCCTCCTCGTGACAAACCACTGCCCATGCACCAAGGGGGTTCTTCCACTCCTGTCCTTGCGCCTCGTCCCCACCACGGTGGGTTGTTCCCAGTGCTTTCGGCCCCGAGGACATTTATTCCTGCAGTTTGGGCACGCCGTTTTCCCAAAAAATGGCTGGTTTTGGAGGGAAAGAGCACGCAGACTGCACGGGTTGGCTGAGACGTCTGGGGACTGAGCGCTAGGGAATGACACGAGGCGTGGGTCTCCTGATGGCGGTTGCGTCTGGCGTGGCTTGTGGCCATTTATGGATGGGATTATCAAGAAAAAAAAGCACTTCTGGAAGAAAATCTCATCTCCTGGGGCCAGCTACGCCGAGGTGCTGAAGGTGGCAGCCTTACCTTGGTGTCTGCACGGTGCAGGTCCTGCTGCGGGAGGTGTTGCTGACGCAGGGCTCCCATCCCTCCCCAGCAGCGTTGCGTGCCCCAGGAGAGGCCAGCTGCTGGGTGGCTGGAGGGAAGGACATTTGGGGAAAAGAAGAACCTTTTGGGAAGTCAAGGATGTTTTGGGAAGGAAGGACCTTCTGGAAAGGAAGGATCTTTTGGGAAGGACCAGGGAAAAGGGTGATGAAACATCTCCGCCTGCCTGGCTGGGTGGAGGTCTGCAGGCTGGATGTC